TTTTTTCGGAAACTATATGAAAATTATGTTCGTAAAGACGAATTATGCCGAAATTATGCTAGCACAATCAAAGCCTAGTGAGGGCGCAACGGAGCGGCGTAGCAGCGAGACCAGCGGACTTCCAAAAGCCAACACAACTTCCGGCACAAAACTCTAACACGATAGCCTACTCGCTAAAGCCATCCACTCGAATCTGTACAGTTTACTATACCTTTTCTTGGAGTAAACACATTTCTTCTTTTGTCAAAAAACCGCTCAGCTCTACAAACACGATATGGAAAGGATCCTGCTCTGGTCCTTTCTTGGTTCCAGTCTCCGATGAGATGCCATCAAATAGCAGACTTCCTGCGCATGTGTAGTCAACCAGTCTAATTTCTTTGAAACTTTCAACTGATTCACACAATGCGTCGTAGACCATTTTCTCAGTCATATGACAAGGAAGAACCGTGCCTTTACGGTACTGGAATTCCAAGACAGGAGATTTGTAGTGGAAGCGTGCGACTCTGACCACATCCCCCATTCTGTATCGGTAAAGACCACCCGGCGTAGTTATAACCAGCTCGTAGAGAGAGTTTACTTCAAGGTCCTCGGCTAAACAAGTCTATGAAGGAAAATAAAGGAGGGAAATTCTTTATTAAAGCCATCTGGAAAACCTTCAACAACGGCAAGGTATACAGTCCGGTACAGCCATTTATAGACGGATGTATATACCTGGATTTTTGAAAACCGGGTTAGCAAGAAAATCAACTCATTCTACTACTTGGCAATTTAAAACGATAAAACATCATTTAAAGGCCAATTAAAAGCCTTTATATGACGCCGGGCTGTAAGTTAGTGGTTACTAGAAGCATTTCAACGAGTCCAAATTAAAATGACGCAAATGTTATGACATGTCAATCCTTAGCGGGGGGAGGATGCGGCAAAAGCGTGATGTTGTCAGTTAGTCTCTGGATAATCGGTTCACTGATCTTGTGTCTGCTTTAAGTTTGTCATGCCAAATTTTTGAAATGTACCATGCCGATTGACCAATAAAAGGATTCCCCTCACCCATTTGCTGGGCTGCGAGGCCGTGTCAGGGCGATGTGGTCTTGAATTCTCTGCTTAGGGCTAGCTAAAGTCTCGAGCTGCCTCTGTCATCTAGAGCCTTAAAGCCGCTAGAGTTGGCCAAGTTAAGAGTTTCCTTTTGATAGACTTGAATATTTCTTTGCTAATCAGGCCAGAAACCAAGAATAGACTCAGCTTAGAGGGCTTGTGGGTAAGAGCGGAATTTCTTTACAAATATTTACTCTATTTAAATTAAGTTAAGATATGTGGCCTAGAGTTGCTAGCTGGTGCGGTTTTCATATATTCGGCTAGATATGTCTGAGTGGATTTGCAAAAATCGGTCTATAGAGAGCAAAGTCCAAGAATCAAGAACCTAACCTCCTACTACAACCTTTATTGACTTGGCATACATATTTGTTCAATAGTGCTGACCACTCATCATTAGTCAATCACTCCCCTCCCCCGTGAAGTACAATTAACAACATAGACACTGGACGAAAAAACGGATTTGCCTAAGTTTGCTAGTTGAGCAAATCTATTGTAAATTTAGGGTACTAATGTTGCTACTTATTTGTTCTTGGTGCAAATATTGCTCGAAAGTGAAAGTTTACTTTTCTGCAAGGGTGGCGTAAATGTGGAGTAAATATCAAGTTTACAGATATTTTGTTTCACTTTTGCTCCCCATAGTAAATTTGGTGTTTAGATTCAAATTTGCCGACATTTTGTTCTCTGTGTAAAAATCGAACGTCAAAAATGAATGTTTGCTTGATATTTTCTGGCATAGCAAAGTTAATGTGAAAATTTATGGTTACTAGAGGCGTAAATTGAAGCAAAATATGATCAAAGAACTATCTTTACGACCACTTTAACCAAGGTTTGCACATTTACCAAACTTCACAGTGTTATTTCACGCAAGTTTTGATTTTCCATTGCCCTGTTTCAATTACCATCACATTCTTCTCAGAGTTTATCATATTACTTGCTGCAGCTGGTTATTTCGGGTAAGGCCATCCCCCCTTTTTTTTCGTTTAGCGTCGAATGCGTTTCCTGATATTGGGATATCACAAGAAGTCTCGGAATAGGAGGCCCTGACGTAAAACGTTACCATTTACAATTTGCGTGAACAAAATGCACAATATCTGAAAGGTTTGAACCCAGGAGTCATTTCAATAGTAGATTGCAGAGTTTCATCGTCCGGGTGAATGTAGTCCTGAATGCACTCGATCGCAAGATCAGCCGCCATGTTTGTTGTTTCCCAGGCTTCCACGTGACTTTGGCACATGCGCGATTTGATTTACATTGTCACGTGCAGCTTTTGAACCAATAGAATGGTGTAAAATAAACTTTCGTTGAACAGTTCAAATTCACGCGGACTTCTCAAGCAATACAGCGTTGCAAAACGAGTAGTTTTGTTATTTTCGGATAATAGAAAGCCTGTCTTTCTATTCAGCTGTTCTATTACGATTTATACCTTTGTTATTTTCGAGAGACAGTGATCAGTTGCGATATTCTTCACATAAAGCCTGTTTTCAAGTCATCAACTCAGCTGGATTGCAGAAAGGTATGTTCTTCTTGATATCGTGGTTCGTTTACTTACTTTGGTTTTCTAATAACTTTGCGTAAGCTTAAAACCTCAAAGATAAGTCTTAAAATTTCAGATGCATGCACAGATATGCCATTGATTGATTCCTTTTTGTTTACTGCAGAAATAACTGTACTTTTTGATGCGCATCGTCTTCATTAATGGAATGATCTTAAGTAGCCAGATCTTGAGCTGTGCAGGCAAACATTTCTTTTGCACCAATATAAGTCGGTGATGTGACCTTAGTATGTCCATAATTCAGTAATTTGCCTTGTTGTACAGCTGAGTTAATATGTTAGATCTTTGGGGTTACTGTACTTTTCAGGTGACAGCACTTGACAAAGCAATGGTCACTATAATTTATTATTAATTAATATTCTACTACATTTCAAATGACAAATGATTTTCCTTTTGAAATTTTTACAGTCAAAAACTCTTGTTTTACATCTATACATAATTATCGTTCAGTGATATTGTGAAAACTTAATTTGGTTCATTTTGCAAGTGACGGCATAAGTTTGCCAGATCTTGAAGCATATGTGTCATTCTGAGTGACCAGTGTATTATTGTTCCACATTTAAATGACAAATGATTCTTATTTCATAAATTGTACCATCCAAAACTCTTATGGTTTATACATATGGCTCAGTGATACTGTGAGATCTTAATTTTGGTTCATTTTGCAAGTGACGGCACTTGCCAGATCTTGGAGCCTACAGTATGTGTCATTCTGAGTGACCACTGTATTATTGTTCCACATTTAAATGACAAGTGATTCCTCTTTCATAAATTGTACCATCCAAAACTCTTATGGGTTGTACATATGGTTCAGTGATATTGTGAGATTTTAATTTTGGCTCATTTTATGAAAGTGACGGCATTTTTTCATTTTGAAAGTGAAGCCTATGTGTCATTGTGAGTGACCACTGTATTATTGTTCCACATTTAAATGGCAAGTGATTCTTCTTTCATAAATTGTACCATCCAAAACTCTTATGGTTTATACATATGGTTCAGTGATATTGTGAGATCTTAATTTTGGTTCATTTTATAGTGACGGCGTATGCCAGATCTTGAAGCCTATGTGTCATTCTGAGTGACCACCGTATTATTGTTCCACATTTAAATGACAAGTGATTCTTCTTTCATAAATTGTACCATCCAAAACTCTCATGGTTTATACATATGGTTCAGTGATATTGTGAGATCTTAATTTTGGTTCATTTTATAGTGACGGCGTATGCCAGATCTTGAAGCCTATGTGTCATTCTGAGTGACCACTGTAGTATTGTTCCACATTTAAATGACAAGTGATTCTTCTTTCATAAATTGTACCATCCAAAACTCTCATGGTTTATACATATGGTTCAGTGATATTGTGAGATCTTAATTTTGGTTCATTTTGCGAGTGACGGCGTATGCCAGATCTTGAAGCCTATGTGTCATTCTGAGTGACCACTGTATTATTGTTCCACATTTAAATGACAAGTGATTCTTCTTTCATAAATTGTACCATCCAAAACTCTCATGGTTTATACATAATTATGGTTCAGTGATATTGTGAGATCTTAATTTTGGTTCATTTTGCGAGTGACGGCGTATGCCAGATCTTGAAGCCTATGTGTCATTCTGAGTGACCACTGTAGTATTGTTCCACATTTAAATGACAAGTGATTCTTCTTTCATAAATTGTACCATCCAAAACTCTCATGGTTTATACATATGGTTCAGTGATATTGTGAGATCTTAATTTTGGTTCATTTTTATGAGTGACGGCGTATGCCAGATCTTGAAGCCTATGTGTCGTTCTGAGTGACCACTGTATTATTGTTCCACATTTAAATGACAAGTGATTCTTCTTTCATAAATTGTACCATCCAAAACTCTCATGGTTTATACATATGGTTCAGTGATATTGTGAGATCTTAATTTTGGTTCATTTTATGGTGACAGCGTATGCCAGATCTTGAAGCCTATGTGTTATTCTGAGTGACCACTGTATTATTGTTCCACATTTAAATGACAAGTGATTCTTCTTTCATAAATTGTACCATCCAAAACTCTCATGGTTTATACATATGGTTCAGTGATATTGTGAGATCTTAATTTTGGTTCATTTTGCGAGTGACGGCGTATGCCAGATCTTGAAGCCTATGTGTTATTCTGAGTGACCACCGTATTATTGTTCCACATTTAAATGACAAGTGATTCTTCTTTCATAAATTGTACCATCCAAAACTCTTATGCTTTATAAATATAGTTCAGTGATATTGTGAGATCTTAATTTTGGTTCATTTTGCGAGTGACAGCGTATGCCAGATCTTGAAGCCTATGTGTCATTCTGAGTGACCACCGTATTATTGTTCCACATTTAAATGACAAGTGATTCTTCTTTCATAAATTGTACCATCCAAAACTCTCATGGTTTATACATATGGTTCAGTGATATTGTGAGATCTTAATTTTGGCTCATTTTGCGAGTGACGGCGTATGCCAGATCTTGAAGCCTATGTGTTATTCTGAGTGACCACCGTATTATTGTTCCACATTTAAATGACAAGTGATTCTTCTTTCATAAATTGTACCATCCAAAACTCTTATGCTTTATAAATATGGTTCAGTGATATTGTGAGATCTTAATTTTGGCTCATTTTGCGAATGACGGCACTTGCCAGATCTTGAAGCATAAGACTAGTGTCATTCCAAGTGACCACTGTATTACTGTTCCACATTTTAAATGACAATTCCTCATTATTTATACCGTTTGTACAGCTCAATGATGTTGAGGGATCTTTGTTAGTTCACTTTGCGAGTAAATGCTTTGGCTTTATCATGCCAAATAACCACAATTAATTAATTATTGTTCTAAACAACATGTGGGTTGCCTTAATGTTATGTTTCTCAGGTTCTGACCGTTTTTACGGTTTATGTGTACAGTTGAGTCACGGCTGTCCTCTGTTAGAGCCTGGTGACCTGTGGGACACTATCAGTTCTGCTCTTGAATGATAGGGGAATTAATTTATTTCAGTTTTTATTTACACTTAAAAGAGTCTTAATGAAACAAATGCAGATTCAACAGAAAGAGGCATTTCTGCTCTCTACTTTAACACCTGTTCCAGAAAACATATTATATATTTAATGAAAAAGTTAGTAGGAATAAAATGCAGGGAGAAATTATTCTCACAAATATCCTCAAACTGTTCCTTTGATTAAGAGAGTGTTTTCAGCTTTTAGAATCGTGTCATTGTTCTGCAACCCAATCATTTACACTGAGCATGAGCAGTACATGCTTGTTTACCGACTGTGGGTTACTTGTTGGCTGCTAAATCATGGCTCTTCATTTTTCTTTCAGAAAAAAAATTAAAGGGCCAATATGCTCTGAGGGAGTCAACTAGCATCAGTTAGTTAGACAAGGACAAGTAGCTTGCATGTATGTCTGTTGCATATAATGTCATCAGAGGAGTCTTTGTCTGAAACAGCTGTATCAGAGTGGCATGAAGGTAATTCTTCAGGTTCAGATGAGGACCTCCCAAACAGGGAAAATCTCTGTGTAAGGCCACTTTCCTGGCAGAGCATTGAGGTTAATGGTTTAATGGCCCAGTTGGACCGCAAAGTTGCATGGTGTCAAAGCCAATGAAGTGAAAATAATGGTAATAGAGCACACAGTGAGACCAGCATCAAACCAAGGAGCACCAGGGTTTGAGTTTGAGTTTGAGTTTGCTCTGGCACCCACCACTTACAATAGAAAAAGGAACTTGATCATAAGCATAACACAGATAATTTTTTGAAGAACATTCAGAAAAGAAGAAGACATTTTAGATAAAAATTTACAAAAAATAATAACACTCAAGTTGAAGTTGACATGCATCATGATTCAGTTCCTTTTCAGTTAAGTTTCTAGCAAGGCTGTGCTCTAAGGAAAATTGAAGGGAGCCCAGTCCTCTGAATCTGTAAAATCTAGGGTGCCCAGCATATGATTTGTATGAAAAATCTGTGATTTTCTAGTCGCCCGAGGACAAAAGTTAGGCGCCAGGGGCCACCGGGCTCTGCTAGAGCACAGCCCTGTCTAGAATCATATTTACTCAGTAGACAATTGCACAATTTTTTGAGTTTTGATGAAGACCTACAATGTAGTAAGTGAATATCCTTTGACACCCATGGGAAGGAGCCACGTTAAAACTAGGTAAATTACCAAATCTCAGAGTGATTTGTCACAATCCAGTGAAAATCTTGCCTGTGTTGCAGACACTCTAAACCTTCTGTATAGAGCATGCCGTCTGAGAATTAGTGCACAATATCATGTTTGAATCCCACAGGGTCACAAAGACATGCATGTATGTCAGCGTTTTGTGATTGGCTAGGTTCTTACGCTGTTTGTGATTAGTCCGATTTGAAATAAAGTGTTGACACAAAGTCACATAATCTCAATGACCTTTGTATGGTATGGTGGAGCCACAAACTTTCCCTTACCAGACAATTGTCTGCGAAATTTGCCATCTTTGCAGAGCTGTCCTTGTTAGTTTGCACCGAATCACTCTGTAACTTGGCAACTTTACTGAATTTTAAAAACCTTCCATCTAGTAGCCTGTAAATGCAGCTGTATTTTCAGTCGTCGTGTCCATTCACCCAACATATGTAATTGGAGATACATCTGCATCCACTTTCTGCAGTGGTGACAGATCCTAGGGCTACCATAAGCACTGCCTTAAAAAGTGCCACTCCGAGGACTAAATCTAGCCAATACACCCCATAGTAGAGTAATTACTGGACTCCAAATGGCATATTTTATGAAAAAAGAGTGCAGTTATGTTTTATGCAAAAAAAAAAATACCATGTGTGACAACAGTTTTTTGATAAACATGGCTTAAATTTTAATCACCTGCATGCCAATAACAATAATAATGATGATGAATTAAAGAAGTTCTACAGAGCTTTCATAGTGTATAGATTGTGTTTAGATAATTTGGATATTTAATCAGTCCAATACTGCAAGCAAAACAGCTGATCATGTGAATCAGAAAAAAATTGCTCAAATTTTTAGCAAATAATTTGATTTTAGTAGAAAAAAATAAATGTGATAAAATAATTATTTATGGTCATATAATAATACAAGAATTTCACCAAATCATATTATTTACAGTGATGTAATAATAATAATAATAATAATAATAATAATAATAATAATAGTAATACAAGTATTTAACCAAATCAGTGGATAGCAGATTTGCTTTCATACACTTGAAACACTTTTGGCTACCTATAGGATGAGAGTAAAATTGGGGTGTCATTTCATGCTAGTTTTAGAAGTTTAGCAGTAAATGAAGCACCTGTAAAATAAAATACATGTACATGCTAAGAAGGTGACAAAATTAACCTTACAAGTGTTTACTGCTGGGTAAAAATATATCAAAGTCGTACCCAAATCATAGAAATGCACAGAGCTTTTTTTTTGCATCGTAACTCATTTTATTTACAAGAAATATTTTTATATAACTGATTTGGTTAAAAATGAATCATACAGATGTATCTCCCCTTGGGGTAAGTGAATAGCACTAGGTACACTATATAATATTATTCACTGCCTATTTTGGGTAGTGGATAATATTTATCAGATGAAAACAAGTTCTTATAAATAATAATTAGAGGAATATCGCTTATCACAATAATTTGAGGCTAATTTTATTTCCTGTGGTTGATGTTCTGTTCATTAGTAAGGATGTCACATCTACATTGGGAGTGATGTGTACGTGTTGTCATCGTACAACCATTTGCCAATAGTATCAATTGAATCTAGAAAGAGTATATTTGAAGTATACCACTCAAATGGAGTTACGTTTTATCTGTACCAACCTTAGATAATTATGAACCAGCTAGTGTTGACTTGCACTTTCAAACCCAATGTACATTCTTATACACTTATGAATTTAGATAGTTTCACATTGTATGTGCTTTTTATTTAAAGGCATATATTTTGTGGTACATGCAGTGCCCTGCAGAGGCCAATGGAACTTTCTTTTAATTTATCTTGCTTTTTATTGTACAGTGTATATTAAAGATAATAAAGTCATTTTATTCTTGAAATTTTGTTTGGTGTCTAAATTGTTTGTCAGTCATTTATGTTACCAAATAAAAATAAGAAACATATGGATAATGATGTTTTGATCAGATTTGCTATCTTGAGCGAAAGTGTAAAAAAGTGATATTTTAATCAACTTTGTTTACCTTACTTAAAGTATGGAAAACTGCTATCATGGCAATATTTGCCATCTTGAGCAAAGATACAGAAGAACTGATATTTGATCAACTTTGCTACAATGGGGAAAAGTATGGGAAACTACTGTTTTGATCATATCTGCCATCCTGAGCAAAATTGAGAATAAAGTGGTATTTGGCCAAATTTACTACCCTGAGCAAAACAGTGGCAAACGCCTATTTTGATCATATTTGCCACACTGAGCAAAGATACGGAAGAAGTGATAATTTGACCTCATTTACTACACTGGGCGATACACAAATAAGGTGAATTTTTGCTCAGATTTACTATCCTGGGCAAAACTGTTGAAAAATGAGTTTTGGTCACTTTTGCTACATTGAGCAAAAATGTGGCAAATTACTACTTTGACCGAATTTTCTATAGAGAGCAAAAGCATTAAAAATTCATCTTCGATCGCTTTTTTTGCCCATTTGGGCAAAAACCTGACAAATGTCAGTTTTGCTATCAAGTTTGACACCCCTGTAAATGCCTTGATAAAGTAAAGGTTATCCTTGTTTTTACACACGGGGCAAATTTGAGGCAAATTCGGCATTTACCACCTTTGCCACTAACGCAAAATTATGGCAAAGTTGGTCCTATGTCATGTAGCAAAACTGAGCAAAATTAAGCAAATGTGGCATTTGCAGATGATTTGCTCAAAATTTGCTATAGAGGTAAATCCGTTTTTTCGTCCAGTGAGAGCAATTATCTGGCTGGGGTAGCCCGTAGGAAAAATTCCTCGACTTTGCACTGCTGCTTTCTAACTTGTCAAAGTGTCGAAAGTCTCCCCGTACTTTGGTCCAGAGCTCCCATCCACCCACCCACTGTTAGGTCTGTCCCTGGGGTATCTGCCGGTATTGGGTCCCGGGGCAGCCCCCTCTATTTTTGCCCGCTACCCTGGCTTGACACTTAGTAGGCACCTTTTAGCAAATTCACACAAATATATATACGCATATACTATATTGAAACAATTTCCATTGACTCTCGTGCAAGTTTGGCTTGTATTGGCCAAGTTCCAGTTCTGTGGCTTTTCACTGTGAACGTGAATTACGCAACTTGCGGGAACAACGCAGAAAAGCCCTTAGACCAAACCGAGGCCCGAAGGGCCGAAAAAAATTCTTTTGAGACTGCCTCCCCTTTTCCCAGGGTCTGGATAACCACCCCCCCTAAAGAAATGTCACTTATTTTCATGATTGACTGTGGTCATAAAGAGTTAAAAATAGGAGAAAAAATGCTTCCACTGCGATGTTATCCTTCTCATGATGAGACTGAAAAAGTATATAAAGTGAGCGGCGCTGAAAAGAATGAGAAATGAAAAGCAGTTTTTGTTTCTTTTTTACATATGCCTGTACAATCATGACATGGCTTGCGCGACTCGTCCGCAAGAGAGGGTGTAAGAAAAACCTCGCGACTAATCAATCTGGACATAATGTCCAACGAAAACTTACCTTGGCTTGTTCTTCATGGCAATTTTCAACAGGTACAAATTCAAAAAAGGCGGCTGACAGCACAGGAAGATACATCGGCTCATCTTTTGGCCATAAATTGACACCAATGATCGATTCAGAACTTATGTATAAAGAAGAGTACATAGGCACATCACCCGTGTATTTTTCTCGCAGTCTCTTTGCATACAACTCTTGTCGCCCTAAATAACGAGGGAGGAAAAAAATATTGGCAAACACAAATTTCCTTAAAATCGCATCATTTTTTAAAAGTCAGGTTTGCAACGAGGATCTGGAAATAAAGCAAGTGAAAACTGAGCAATGACAGTGCTTTTGGGTGCGTTCTTTGCTTGTGGCGAGCGAGTAGTGATTCGTAGCATCCTGGTGTCCACTTTTTTTTTTTTTTAATCTGATGAAGACAAAAACATGACACTTTGCTACCATACCTGTAGTCCTACCCCTTATAATCCTTAAGTTTGGCCAGATTCTTGATGCTATTCCATCAAATCCTGCCTGGAATTCTTTTCGTAATTCTTCAGCTCGCTTCTTGTCAGGTTTAAGATACCTATCCAGCTCACTGAAACAACACCATAGTAAAACAACAATTAAAGTTCCCCCATCACGTGTTGATCCTCCTTTTTTCACGGTGATGAGAAGAGGCAAATTGGTCGCCGCTCGATGCACAATAATGCGTCTCTGTTTACAAACGCAGGCACTTTTATTCCTCGTTCGGTGTTTTCGGTGGCAAGCAGTACAACGAGGAAACAAATAGAGCGCTAAATCATGTTTGAAAAACGATGCCCTCTCAAAAGTAAGCAGGTCTTTTAGTAACAATTAATGTTGAGGAGAGGGACTAAAGGATCCCATTTCTTCGACACAGAGACTTTTCGTTCTTACGCCGCCATCACTCGATCCAATCCCAAATCAATAAATCAGTTGCGGATCCAGGGGAAGGGCCCGGAAGGCCCGCCCCCCTTATTTTTAGACCAAACTGACAGGGTGAAAAAAAATTTTTGGAGACTGGTCTCCCACTTATCTCAGCGTCTGGATGACCGGGCTCCCCCTTATCTGAAGGTCTGGAATTGCCTTAAACTCTAATACACTTAGCAAGCTTAGGGCTCAAACGTGATTACTTTCAACATAATTTTTACCTTCTTGTCTTAGCATCCAATTCTAGATCGGAGTCCAAACTTCCTTCTTCAATATCCTTCACCAGACGTTGCCAGTTTTTCTCTAGTTCCAGAAAACCTCTATATGTGTACACGGCCAAGTACGAAAATATAGTTCCGATGTTACGATCCTTTAAACCAAATAGCAAGTGAACATAGTACGACGCGTGGCTTTCGAAAATGTGGAAGCCGGCGGCTGGGGTCGAGTACCGTGCCAACTCAGATACGCTTGGTGTGTTATTGGTTATAGCACCTTTAAGTATTCCGCCTTCAGTTATCTCTACGTTTCTACTTCGTCTAAAGAATCCCAGAGTTTTCTGAAGATTAAAAGTCTGCAATTTAAGGAATAAAATTGTAATGTCAGGTTGGCTACACTAGCTACATAACCTGAAGGTGCAGTGTAAGACCAATCGAATCACAAGGCTCTTGAATTAGCGCGTTTGATGAAATAAGTGCGCGAGAGCCTATTTAAAGTTCATGCGAAAGAGAGGGTGCATATTCAAAGAAGGCGCTTAATCAAAGGGGTCCCTTAGTAAGACTTAGAATTTGTGGCGTTTAAAAATGGCGTGCATGGTAATATGACAAAAATGAACACAGTGGATAATGCACAAAAAAAAAAAAAAGGCAAACACTTGAAGAGAGACAAAACTCCAGGCTGGAAGTGAACGGACAAGAAGGTGTTTTCCTTTGTTTGCGCTGGATACTCACATTTTAATAAATTTTAAGAAATTCTAAAGGTGATGAGTAAAGGAAAAGATTTTCCTTTAGATATATTTACTTTGATCTTAATAATATTAAAGAAAGCACCCAGAGAAAGGGTACTCTTAGGAATTCTTAGTAGGGTTGTACCGCCCTTTTCTCGATCCTATTTCAGACCACCATGGACATAATTCATATCCTCTTTCAGACCAAAACCATACCCTTAGGGGGTGGCACATATAAAGATCGTACATAATTTTAAGGGACTCACCCCCGCTGGGCATGAGAGGAACGCTCATTTGCTAGTGTGGTTAAGGGATAGGCGCTTATTCAAGTAGGGGTCCCTTTTCGCCAATAACAGCAAACCTTTTTCGTCTACCTGAGGACGTGCAGAATACATAGCACTCGACAGTGCGGCTACTGCAGTACGGATTGGTTTCTCCTGACTCTGAACACGAGGTATCATACTTGGGGAGCCTGTGGTTCCTGACGTCACGGCCAGTTTGCTGGTCTTCTCTTTTGTCAACACCCCATCTTCACCTTTAGCGATCCTGTCTTCATACGTTAAAATCGAAGCAAAGATTTAAGTCATTTTCAATGCAAGGGAAATTCAAAAAGTCCTTGCGCTTAGGGGATCCAGACTGTTTGGTACCGTTTCTAAGGAATCGGCCACTAATTTTGGACGATTAATAGATGTTAGTTGACTCTTGACTCCCGATAACTCGAACCCTCGCTAACTAGAACCCAAGTCGATTTTCCCCGGGATTTCCTTGATACATTTTTTATAATTATACCCTCGATAACTCGACCCTCCATAACTCGAACCTCCCGCTAACTCGAAGTAATTTTTGTTTTCCTTCAGATCATTTCTATACAATTTTACCCTCGATAACTCGGACCATGTTTTAAGCGCGAAAAGACGGAAGAAAACAAGACGAAAAAAATCGTGTACTAAAGTCCGAAAAACTGAATTTATTTAATTTTGAAACAGCTGTCACTTAGGCCACTTAAGGCTTGACTGCATATGCATATTTAGGTAAAATGCTATCTAGAACGGTTTGCTTCCATCAATGATCCTGAAAATTGAACTACAAATGTAGCTTAATGGCCTTAGCAATATGAGACATTTTAGAAGCTCAAATTTTCGTCACGTGACTGATAATTGGGAATTAACGGTCAAAATATTTACTCTAAAATAGAGAAAGGATAATGAAAGAGCAACAAGTTCTTTTAGGTACATTTCAGAGGCTATTAATTGCTTCGAACTCCCGATAACTCGGGCTTTTTTCGATTTCCCTAGAAGGTTCGAGTTATCGGGAGTCTGTAAAAGTAAATTCTCGTTACACTTAGAAATTACTTTACTTTACTTTGTTGAATTTGTTCATGTTATTAATTAATATGTACATAAAAAAAATATAAGAAAATATAAAATACGTTAGATAAAAAAATGAATAAATAAATATTATAATGCGAAGGACAATGTCTTAGTTGAAATCTTGCCCCCAAATCCAAATAGAATAAAACCATAAATGGCCGTCTCTCAGAAAGGAAGGTGTGCGATTTTGTTTTGTCATGGATTTGACGAAGGACCAAGGGCGTTTAGTGTTATTAAGCAGAGATTCGTTCAGTTTGGACTTCTTGAAAGTTTAACTATTTAAGCCTCAATAGTGTCCAACATTAATTTTCTCCTAACAATGTCCATGTGTTGCCAAGAGAAATGGTTATGAGAGTTAATAAAATGATCACCTAAGAGAAACTGCTTTGATCTTCTACCAAATTCTCTCAACTTATTCTTTTAGGAATTGTATGGAGATCAGTTTGGAGAATTTGTATGTGGATATTGGGGCTTAAAGGGTTAACCATGCAGCGCCCTCAGCATTCACGGTGTCAAAAAACAGCCACCTAATTCAGGCGCGTATCTAGGATAAATACTGGCCGAATTCCTGAACGACCGCCGAAGGCGAAAGCTTCTAGGGGAGTCCGGGCGCATGCTTCCCCGGGAAAACTTTTGTATTGTAACTCCCTTAAGTCCCCTTTCCTGGGATTCTAAGTCATCCAGACAGGGTATTGGCCAGTTCCATTTTCCTCGGTTGAAGCCTTGCAACTTGGAAAGTTTTTTTCTTTATTAAAAATATCTTTATTATGAAAAATCTGACCGGTGTGGATCCGCGCCTGTAATTCTCCGAGTTTTACTGGCCGTGCCTGCCCTATCCAACTCTAATAAGTCGTTAGCCATTCGCCTTAGCGATTATGTTTTTCCAATCTTTGAACGTGACGCTTTACGGGTCAAAGCTTTGAACGAAGGGTAAAGTAAACACGAAGAATAATAACAACATTAATTATAATCTTCCTGTTACTTCTTTTTCTCTATTATTGTGATCCTTAATTATTCTCCTTTTAGCTATGGCGTTTTTATAGATGTTTGAATTGTGAAGGATTTATTGTTGTTATATATCCTTTTTTCTCTATGACTATACCGCATCAACTTTTTTTCTATTGAGTCATTGCCTAAAAAGGTCAGTGCATTGCTGATGAATTATTGTAATCGGCCGGTATATTGTAATGCCTTGGAAATGCAAATAAATTGAATTGAATTGGAAGTGTCTCTCGTGTGCTGATCTCCAAATCGTGCCAAGTTTGAAGAAAAGGGTCAGTAAATGTTAGAAATGGTATACATTTAAGATACCTGTGAGGGGGAGATGAATTCCCGGTGGAGGGTGGGGGGAGGGGAGGGAGCACTGCCAATGTTCACACCCTGTCGCAATCAATAACGCAATTGACTCAAGACCCTGCTGGGCAGAACTTACCTGTTTAGGTAAGATAAGGGAGTGCCCGCCCTCCCCCGGAGAGATTTAGGACTAAATAGAGTTAGTGTGTTAAATGTGCATGGCTTACCAACATATTCCTTGTAAGAAGCCTTGGTCGCTAGTGGAACAACATTTATGAAGTCTTTACTGCTCTGTATGCTTTCAAAGTTGTACTCTCGCCCAAAAACAGTGTTTCGATTGCTGCTTATTATCTCCAACAGAAACTTTTCCTGTACTTTGCGACAGTCGTCTGCCTCCCGATCAAAGCGTTTCCTTATCCGCCCTCCGAAAATCCACAAAGCCATTATAACCAGATAATTCTGAAGCAGACTTCGCAAATTGTGAGATTTTGATCTGTGTTGGCTAAAAATGTGAACACATGCGGAAATCATGATGCATGCTAAGAAAACAAATAGCGCTGCGAAGAGAAAAGCAGTTAATTTACGTGGCAGCGCTGCTAAGAACAGTGGAACCAAGATGAATCCACAGACTTTGACAAAAGTCACTCCAGCCATTTCTGACGGTTGATTAACCGTATCTCAGTTTCAGAAATAAGGTGCTCTCTAACATTTGCGTGCCTCGAAATAATTGTAGTGGATGTTAATGATTCAACGCCGACCTCTGTGTGAAAGAACACAAAGCGATTACTAATATCCCTAACATGAGATTCAAGTCACGCAACACTAACACCACCACACAACAGGCAAAGACGATTACATTATAAAATACTCAGTCCACTAGCACAAGAAACAATCGAACATTTGCAGTAATGATTGTTACAGCCCCGAAATGATTCTGCCCCCCAAATGATTCCCAGTGTTCCATATGGGCAGCCCTAAAATAAGGAATAACGGAAAACGAATCTGGAATCTGGAATCAAACAGGATTACTCTTTCTTCCACAGGGCCCGCGGAGCGGATTTTCAAGTGGGGGGGCTAAGGCGAACGCGTTAGCGTGAGCCAACTAGGGGGGTCCGGGAAAATTTGAAATTGAAGTCTTCTGAAATGGCTAGAAATGGATCTAAAACTGCCAAAAGTGAAGTTAATTTTTAATTCTTATAAAACAACGAGTAACAAACTGGCCTTCACGTTTGACCAAACTTAAATGAATAGCCTAACTTCTAAGCTAAACCCAACAGACGCAACGGATGAGTGTCACCTGGACATTTTTAAGTCGGATTCTTTGAAGGTGCCAAAGTTGCTTTTTCGATTTTCATTGAGAGCTGCAAACTCATTGGCAACATCTATAAGGCAAAGTTTGTCTGTTCTCTGCTTGTGGGTATTAAGTATTGTCAGATTGCTAAATCTTGTTTGTGTCATCGTCGAGCGTAGCCACGTTTTCAGTCTCCGAGCAGAAGAAAAGGATCTCTCGCCTGCTGCACCGGTTGCTTGATTTACAAGAAGAAGTTTACATAGGGTTATGCTTTCAGTTACCATACACTTTTCGGCTTCAGAAGGCGGCTTGATCTTAGCTAAAATGTCATCAAAACAGGTAAATTCTCCGTCCTTCATCAACACCTTAAATATTTCCAGTTGAACATTCAATGTTCTAACACCACCTGCCAAAAAAGAAGGGGGGGGGGGGCTAAAGCCCCCAGCTTTACCCCCTGCGCGGTCCCTGTTCCATTCTGTATTAGTTTACACCTAAAACAAAGAAAGCATTGGTGTCTAGAATTTCTGTTTAGGTCAACAACTTTTCTTATCCGATTAAAGATCAAACACCATTTATCGAATAAGGAAAGAATATAAGAAACAAAAGCACTATTGTCTTCCAAAAATGCAACTTTAGCAATGAGCAAAGTTTGATTCGGAATCCATTTTTTATTCAAACTAAAGAAGTAAAGAAGGGTTATTATTATATGATGTTCTTTTCAGAAAACAAAAAACAAAAAAAAAAACATTAAGGTCATGATATAAGATTTTTTTAGGAACTTTCCCCAGCAAGTTCAAACATGCCTTTAATATGATTTCCGCTTGATTTTTTAACCAATTAGAATTTTATCCCGTGATAATTTTTTTATCTCGTAATAACTTCTTTTATCACGTGATAATTTTTTATCCCGAGATAACTTTTTTATCCTGTGATAATTTTGTTATTCCCGTGATATTTCTTATCTCGTGATGGCCTTGCAAAACCTGCGCTGTCACAGACTTGGTCAAGCAAAGACCCAAGGTCGGCCCTGCTATCAGGTGATTTGTTTTTCGGGAAAAGCACAAAAGTCGGCGGACGGTGAAAGAGAAGGGCAGGTTGATCGCAGGCTATATTTTTATCGGCAAAATGATCCTTACGGCAGAGTGAGGAATAAGTAAACAAAATAATAAAACCAAAAATATATCGCAACAAATTTGCCCGATATTTCGGTTTGGAACTCAAACCTTCTTCAGGGGTTACGAAAAAAATGACAATGAAACTTAAAGATCGTTACAAATAATGGTTTGAAAATTAAAAAAACAGATGGTGATTGGTGTAGGTGCAGACTAGGTTTTATCATATATCATCAAGCTTCTTCACGTCTTTTTTCCCTAGAGGAGACAATGTTTTCTCTTTGTATATTAAGTAAACCTCCCGAGCCTTTCTGACTCAGTCACATTTGCTGCGTGTGACTGAGTTCAAGGGGAATGAGGCGAACATCGTTGAATGAATGTCCAGGTTAATTGAAATATTTATTTGTAGCTGGGCAAGCTCCCGTAGCGTCCATCAAACCCTTACACCTCTAGTAGACGAATACGAGAACCATTCTCGTAAGCGGCCAGCCCTAGTTACCGACACCTTTTTCGCGTCCCGAGGGCGTCTGCTTAAGAGAGCTTCCACTGTAATTTGATAATTACTTCATGTGTTCTTGCTGGGGATGCAAGTTTTCAAGCAATAATTTTCCCGCAGCCTTGGTTTTTATTAATCGTGGGATTTTGAACTGAATTTGGTGACGTCATAGGGTTGGCTTCCATGAGATGCTTCATCAGGAGATCGAATGTCCCTTGTTTCACTCGGTACAGGAAAACAGGCGACTCTTCACCATTCTTTCGAAAATCGCGGTAAGAACTGTTGTGGTTGCAAAGAGCCTCTTCAAGCTGTAAAACAAGGGAAATAACTGTATGAAAACGTGCGCAAATGACAGTGTTCTAGAAATTGGATAGAGAAACATTGAGTAAGAAAAGCAAAAATTGTGGGTGAAATGAGTAATGAATTTTCGTCTTATTTTTTAAGGTAAACAATGCCTTAAAGAAGAATATAATGGGGAAAAGAAAAAAAGAAACTTTTTTTAAAAAGGGTTTTTCTTATGGGTTTCGAAAGAAGTTGTAATTGACTGAGAAATCTCTTGCCACGGCTCAACCAATCACAACTAAAACCAAAACCAACGGCCGTAACCGGTAACTTGCTCGCATTAATCAGTTCTGACGCGCCTGTCCTGGTTTACAAAAAGGCGTTTTACAGCGATGCACGCCAATCTGAAGTGTGGTCTCAAGTTTCTTTTTCAACCTGCTTGATTGCAGGCTCTCTACTATAAGGGGGCATGCGCAAGTGAGCGTTGTAGAAGAGCCGGCTCCCAAGACCAACGCAAACTTTCGCACAAACCTCAAACAAGAGATTCTACTCGAAAAACAACCAACCATCCACCCGAATCTGTACAGCTAACTATACCTTTTCTTGGAGTAAACACGTTTCTTCTTTTGTCAAGAAACCGCTCAGCTCTACAAACACGATATGGAAAGGAGCCTGCTCTAGTCCTTTGTTGGTTCCAGTCTCCGAGGAGATGCCATCAAATAGCAGACTTCCTGCGCATGTGTAGTCAACCAGTTTAATTTCTTTGAAACTTTCAACAGATTCACACAATGCGTCGTAGACCATTTTCTCAGTCATATGACAAGGAAGAACTGTGCCTCTACGGTACTGGAATTGCAAGACAGGAGATTCGTAGTGGAAGCGTGCGACTCTCACCACATCCCCCATTCTGTATCGGTAAAGACCACCCGGCGTGGTTATAACCAGTTCGTAGAGAGAGTTTACTTCGAGATCTTCGGCTAAACAAGTCTATGAAGGCAAGCAAAGGAGGGAAATTCACCGGGAAAAAAGTCACCGGGAACTAATACCTCCAACAACGGCAAGGTACACAGTCCGGTATAGTCACTTATAGCCCGGGGGGTACTGCCATATATGGGCTATATAGGTATGTGCCGCTGTGAAGGGTATGGTTTTCAAGCAGTTTACTCTAGGATAGGGTATATAAATCAGAGCATTTGGGTCTAGAATAGGGTATCATTTTTCAGGAAACTGATCAGTTGGTTGAAGATTTTATCTTGACTAGGGAAACAGCTACTCTAGGATAGGGAGGATTTGGGGAGTTTACTCTAGTATAGGGTAGCAAAATTTAGCTGAACTAGCTCTGGTATAGGTTAAGGGTTCCGGGGTCCCAGCGGCACATCCCCACCCAGAAATTCCTTAAGTACCCCCCCCCGGATTTATAGACAGTTTATCTGACTGGACTTGTTAGAGGGTGCATGCAATCGGTCTCTTGAGAGCCAAACTCAAGAACCCAAAACTCACCCTCCACACCCATGACACCCATCACTAATCAATCACTCCTCCACCTAGCACTGCTATTCTCATCATGATTATCAGTCAGAGCATTGATTTGGTTGGACCACCCCGCAGGCAAAATTCCTTGACTTTTTTTACTGCTTTCTACATCCCCCTTCTTCAACTAGTTAGTGAGTATCCATCTTACCAGAATAATCAGTCAATTAGCAGGTCTAACGTTATTGTGCGTATTACTACAACTGTTGTACTATTCTTTCTCGTCTTTATGTAATTTTGATCCAATCTCTAATATCGTTATATACTTTTTTTAGTTTTAAATTTTCAACAGTAATATTTGTTTTGTCAATAAACGTAAAATTATATTAAAAAAAACAAAAGAAACTCCAATCAAAGTGTCAAAAGCCCCCTCCCCACTACTTTCCTACTTTTGACACAGAGCTCCCAGTCACCCACTCACTGTTAGGTCTGTTTCTGTGCTATCTCCCAGCATCAGGCTCGACGGTAGCTGCCCTCTTTTTTCTCCCGCTACTCTGGCTTGAACACACGCGATGCCCGTTTTCAAGCAAAAACTTAACTGGCAACTTTAGGCAAATTCACACAAACATTCACAGACGTGTACTATATATATTGAAACAATCAGTTCTCCTGTACAAGGTTAGCCTCCCACGCAGGCGTTCTTAGGGGAGCTCGTATTTCTTCCCTCCCCACAAACGCCTGCTCAACGGAGGACAACATTCCTTTCCCATTGTTGCATTCGCGTGGTAAGTGACCTATCAACGGTTTTTAAATAAAGTGTTGGCAGGCTAAACATGACTCATAAGCTCGTGATAGTGAAAAAACGTGACCCAGAACGTGACCCTTGAGTTACCTTTTTCCTTCTTTTCTTTCGTTCGCCAAGGTTATGCAGTGCACAGAGAATTCTAAAATCTGACTGAGTAAATCTTACTTTTGCCGCTCTGAGACTAACATTTATTAGAGGTCATGAAGGTTTCTTAAAGTTTCATGCAGATCGCGTGATTATCGGGTTACCCTGCGGTCAAGGTCAACTTTCCAGAATTTGGAAAGTACAACGTGATTAGCTAAGCGTGGGAAAGGAATGTTGTCCTCTGTTGAGCAGGCGTTTGTGGGGAGGGAAGAAATACGAGCTCCCCTAAGAACGCCTGCGTGGGAGGCTAGTACAAGGTTGGAAAGGAAACAGGAGTTCAAAATTCATTTCTCATCAACATTGCGACGGGGGAGGGGAAGGCAGGTTCGAAAAGGTTCAGGTGGCTAGATATTTGCCAACTGAGTTTTTTTGGTACCTTTTCATGGACTGGAACGAAGTGAGTGAATTATGCATCTTCTGGGAACAAAACAGGAATTCCCGAAAAGCCCATCAGAATGCAGGATCCACTTCATCTTGCATATTCTCGGAGTCAGCCTTTTAATAATGTTACACATGATCATGATCAATTCATGAATGCTGCGATCGCAAACGCGCGCTCTTACATCCCAGCCAAGATGGAGAGGTTGAGTGAGTGAGTGTGCGATCACGAGACATCTTTTCTATTTCGTTTATGATGAGAGTGGTGCTGAAAAGTGGAGTGGCGCTGAAAAGAAGGAGAAGTGAAAAGCACTTTTTTTTTACGGGTTACTGTACAGAGAAAACCTACCTTAGCTTGTTCTTTATGACAATTTTCAACAGGAACAAATTCAAAAAAGGCAGCTGACAGCACAGGAAGATACGTCGGCTTATCTTTTGGCCATAAATTGACACCAATGACTGATTCAGAACTTGTGTAAAGTGCAGAGTACATAGGCACGTCACCTGTGTATTTTTCTCGCAGCCTTGTTGCATACAATTCTTGTCGCCCTGAATAAAGAGGCAAGAGAAAACGTTGTAATCGCATCAGTTTTGAGCCAGGTTTCCAACGAGGAACTGGAAATGATTAACATTGCAATGATGAATTGTAATACTTGCTCTTAAATGTATATACGCTTTAGCTCCACAATATCTTGGTAGTCTTTTAACAGTAAGAAAGTAGTCATGTTAATCTTCGATCAAGTGACGGGATTCTCTTAACTAGTACTAGTCGCCCCTTCTATCATGACAAAGAAAACACTGCGAGACTGAGCGTTTTCAACCGCTGCACCGAAAGTATGGAACAACTTTCCATTACATATCAGGAATGAAAAGAACTTTAATACATTTAAAAAGTTCACTTGCTCAAAAACTATTATTTTAAAATAGCTTATCATTTACATGTAGCTACCTTAACGTACTTTTAAACCTTTTTAACGTTCTTTTAACGTTTATTTTTTAACCTTTTAAAAGCCTTTTTAACCTACTTTAGCGTCTCAGAATTCTTACAGCGTTTATCTTATATTTTAAGTTGTTTTGCATTCATATTGTATATACATTTTATTAATCTTCATTCTTCATCTGTGTAATGTGCATTTGACCATATTTTTATGTTAATTTGGGCAATATAAATGATAAGTATTATTATTATTATTATTAAATAAAGTAAAATATAGCCAATGACAGAGCTCATTGTCGTGTTCTGAAACGACTTAAGGTTTGCCTGCGACGGGCGAGAAGCGATCTATCCTCGTGTCCCCTTTTATTCTCTTATCTGATAGAGACAAAAGCCTGCAATATTTTCTACCATACCTGTAGTTACGCAGAGTATAATCCTTAAGTTTGGCCAGATTCTTGATGCTATTCCATCAAATCCTGCCTGGAATTCTTTTCGTAATTCTTTAGCTCGTTTCTTGTCGGGTTCAAGACACCTTTTCAGTTCACTGAAACAGCACCACAGTCAGTGTTGACAATATATTACTCTTTACCGTTCACGTGTTTTCATCGTAACTTGTTTCCTGAGTTAGTGTTATTGAAAGCACTAACCGGCACTAGAGTGCTTACCATTTACCCAAACCACCCGGGTGGGAATCTGGTGCATAAACATAAAACTATAAAATTTGACGTGGTGGGTGGACGGCCTGCTACAAAGTACTATCCACTATTTCAGTATTACAATAAGGCTGTGGACCTGTACGAAGTTGACGACATCAGAACCTGGAGAACAATCTCTCCCAGGTGCAACATAGCGAGGACTCTCCTGTGCCCGCCGACGTGCTGCTTCTACCAATTTGAACTTCTGTTTTGCTCCTTTTGATTTTTCTTCTAATATATCAGTAGCTTTAGTCATTAAGTTTTTTTGTGAACGATTTCTTTCTTTATTTTTTATTAACGAGGGATCCACGGTAATTGTTTAGGCTATGGTGGTCTCCCTGCCTAATAATTTTTATGTATTCATGCATAAAGATTGTATTCTAGTTAGGCGAAGCTAAATTAATAAATATCCAAATATCCAAATCAGCTGAAAGACTAAACAAGAGGGAAAATTGCATCGGCTCAAATCACATCCCATACTTTCTGAAGCTTTCCACACGGAAAGCCGCTTTGATTTTCCAACCAGAATTTCTGTTTTTTTTCCACGTAAATGGTAAGTACCCAAGATCTCTTGATTTCGACTCTTTTATTGTCCTCGTACCAGTCGTCCTGATTAAAAGCTTTGCGAGAGGTATGTATTCCAACACAAGGCAACATAGAGCGAAGACCCTTCCTTTAGAAGGCGTGGTTGACGGAAGGATCGAACTCCTTTCCCCTTCCATGTTCCTAACTTAGGTCGAGTCTTTAAAGAACAGCTAGAGCACTGCTTTTGGCTGGCCTTTCAACTGAGTACGAAGTAGGAAAGAGAACAAGTGGCAAAAAAAGGTAAATGCCCCTCATATAGGAGAAAATGCCTCTCATGTAGGAGATGATAATAATGTTTGGTTGCACTTCACAACTGAACAAACATATTCTAGGTAGTGGTCTCAATATTTTGGATTAAAAAAGGACTTTACTCCCAAAAAGACCACCTAGAGATCTCATGGTCAGCACGATCAAGGTTACTATTAGTAATTAAAATTTACAATGTAAAACAAAACAAACATGCCGACTTATCTCAGTCTTAAGTGCGTCTAGAGTTATAAGCTAGAGCCAAAATAGCGAGAGTTGCACCTCATGATATTACTGAGATAAGAGACAAAAGAGATCGGCTCTCAGTATGCAAAGACACAACTTGACACTTTCAATCAATATCGAAGGAATTAAGTTTCTTTCTTACCTTTTTTTCCAAACGAGATACAAGAGGCCTCGGATGGAAAGGCGTTACCAGTATTCTTAGGCCAATTTGATGTTGCGCATTTGTTTCAGTTTGACTGATCACGATCTGTTTTGATATAATTTTGATAAACTTTAGACAGTTCATAGGATTTGTACCACCTCGTTAACAAGGTCCTCTCCTACTCGTCGGAATATGGATGAGCAATAACAACGTGGTTGCAACGCATAAGAGGAGAATACCGCTGGTGCTATTGAAATAAGAACACTGAGTCCGTGCATCTGAAAACAGCCTGGGAACAGTGCGTTCGTCTTTCAGAACTTTTCCAATAAACTGGTTGAACTAACTTCGTTAAACATTTTTCTACCTATTCGTTATTGCTTTTCTGTTGCTAGACACTGAACTGTTTTTATCTGATGGTTGAGAGCTATTTTGGCGCAAAAGAATAGATATTTTAAATAGCCTGAAAGTCCAATACGCTGTGGGTTATAATTCTTACCTTCTTATCTTAGCATCCAATTCTAAATCAGAATCCAAACTTCCTTCTTCAATATCCTTCACAAGACGTTGCCAGTTTTTCTCTAGTTCAAGGAAACCTCTATACGTGTACGCGGCCAAGTTTGAAAATACAGTTCCGATGTTGCGATCCTTTAAACCAAACAGCAAGTGAACATAGTACGACGCGTGGCTTTCCAGAATGTGAAAGCCAGGACCTGGCGTTGAGAATATTGCCAACTGGGATCCGGTTGGTGTAACATTGCTAATACCACCTTTAGGAATTCCGCCTTCAGTCGTCTCTATGTTTCTACCTGGTCTGTAGAATCCCAGAGTTTTCTGAAGATTAAACGTCTACAATTTAGAGAATAAAATAATGTCAGGTTAGCTACGATACAAAACCTGGAGGTCCACTGTAAGACCAATAGATCGCAAACGAATCACAAGGCTCTGAATTAGCTGGCAACCTCGTCCCCAGGGATTTTCCCTTAAAAAATTGGCCCCACCCATTTCTTAAGGGAATTAGCTAGGACACAAATGATTTAGATTAGCAAAACAAACAACCTTCCACGTGCAGCACACTTTTTGTACACTTCTGATCTTTGCGGTGACTGCAACACTACTAGAACATTACCTTTTATCGAGAACGAAAACAAACGACGAAGAATTTATCTTTCTCTTTTTGGACTTGAAAATTTTCCTTACGAATTTAACTGCAGGAGAGTTAACCTTCATGTTACAAAGTGAGCGAGTTGGGAGAGTAATCGCACTCAAGTTTCAAATGTTTAAGTGACGCTTTTGCTTTCATCGCTGTCATGGTTCCTTTAACTTCCCTCTGTTGTCAATACACTTACTTATATAGAGAGGTACCCCCCTTCCCGCTAGTGTTGACGAGAAAGAGCGTTTTTCTTGAAGTGCGGTAATACGTGTACCTTCTTCACTTACCTCAGGAAACGCCGAATACATCGCACTCGAGAGTGCGGCTCTTGCCATAAAGAATAAATACGCTTGACTCTGAACACGAGGTATCATACTTGGGGAGCCCGTGGTTCCTGACGTCACGGCCAGTTTACTTGTCTTTTCTTTTGTCAACACCGCATCTTCACCCTTAGCGATCCTGTCTTGTTAAGAGAAATCGCAAGCAAATATTTAAGACATTTTTAAGTGAAGTCTAAGGAGAACGGATGTTTTATGAGTCAAATGAGTCAATGAGTCAGATCTGAAAAAAAAATAAAAGTTTCGGTAGAAACAATAAAATTAGGCATTACTTTTATTTATTTTGTCTACTTGCTTCATTGCTGACTGCAAATGCAAGGCCTATTTCTGACATGAAATCTCAACCTGGGCTGTTTCTTAGCAGTATCCCAGGCCCTGTGGCTACTACTACGTGCATGCCCCGAAGAAACACCCTTTACTGAACCATTTAAACCATCAATTTAAGTGTTTACAGGCTAGATACCCTGTAAAATTCTCGGGACCCCGAAAACCCTACCCTTTTAGGCAGCTCATACCCGTTTAGGATCAATTCAAGGGACTGTATCTCCCCCGCCCTCATGTGCATTCAGATTATCACAATAACTGTGGGGCGCTAGTTTCCTACGAAGCCGTTCTTTGCGTCGTCACGCAACCCTGACACGAAGAACTTGATAGGTTAATGGCTACGCTGACAAGAGTGTGCATGGCTTACCCACATATTCCTTGTAAGAAGCCTTGGTCGTCAGTGGAACAAGTTTTATGAAGTCTGCACTGTTCTGGATGCTTTCAAAGTTGTACTCTCGCCCGAAAACGGTGTTTCGATTGCTGCTCACAATCTCCATCAGCAACTTTTCTTGTACTTCGCGACAGTCGTTTGCCTCCCGATTAAAGCGTTTTCTTATCCGCCCTCCGAAAATCCACAGAACCATAATAGCCACATAATTCTGAAGCAGACTACGAGAATTGTGAGATTTTGATCTGTGTTGGCTAAAAATGTGAACACACGCTAAAATCGTGATGCATGCCAAGAAACAAAATATGGTAGCGACGAGAATATAGGTAAGTTTACTTGGCAGCGCCGCTATAAAAGACAGTGGAACCATGATGAACGCACAGACTTTGACGTAAGTCAATCGAGCCATTTCTGATGGTTTTTAAACGGTATTGCAGTTTCTGCAAAAAAGGACTATTCACTATTTTGCGCTCTAAAATTTGCGTGTCTCGATACGTTGTTTAGTATGCTACTGACTCTGTACCCCGCATCATATTAAAAAATCCTTTACATGTAAGCTATATAAGCGATATCAAAAATAGAAGATGCTAGTCACGCAACGCTGACGCTTGAAATGACGCAATCTCGTTCCCAGGGGAGGGGTAGGAGAGAACTGTACAGTACCGCAAATGATCCCCAAAATGGACCGCAAATGATCCTCGACCGCAAGTGATCCCCAAAGTCGACCGCAAATGATCCCGAGAGAAAAATAGGAATGACTTGGACTCAAGAGTTGGCGGATCATCGTGTCGATTTTATTGTTATTACAAAACGACAGATTAAAAGCTAAATTTTACTTCTCAAATAAATCTATGAATAAAAACTAAATGACAAAAAAAAAATCATTCAAGTGTAAAAACGAAGTCGGTAGGCAAAAGAGGACTTTTACCTCATGCTAAAATCCCGGATTCGAATAATTATAGGCGGTTTTCTTTTTCGTCCGTGAATGTGACGGTTTCCTACGATGTTTTGTCACGCGATAACTACCGCTTACCTTACCTCAATTGCTTCAATTTTCTTTCAAGAATGTTTCGTCGCTGAAGAATTTAAGACAGGCAGGACGTTACGCAGAAAAGACTCTATTATTTTAACGCCTAGAAGCTGAGGAATACAAAGCTGGGCACCCTCTTCATAACAAGAGCTTTATTGACTTTACTGATCTTTTTGAAAGTGTGAAATTAATTTTCAGAATATTTAATTTTGATTTTTCTCTGAAGTGTTAATTTTACATGATAATCAGGAAGACATTTGTTCGTAACTTAGGTGACCGTTACGAAACAAGACATGATTTAACACAAACACAAGTCAAAATGCCCCCAAACTTATCAATGTCCACAGGTTTCTGTTTATTTCCAAATAGCAACTTTCTTACAACTCATGAACATGTTGCGAATAGTTATATTGACGCTTTTATGTATATTCATTTGTTTTGCCTTTGCTGGAGACAGTTACCAGGAATCTAAACCTGGTAATGAGAAACGCAAAAGCCAGGTAAGCGGTAGTTACCGCGTGACAAAACATCGTAGGAAACTGTCATATTCACGGACGAGAAAGAAAACCGCTTATAATTATTCGGATCCAGGAGGCACTTTGGAAAAAAATAAACAACCTAAAACCCTTAATTAGCGGCAATGAAGGGCACTGCATTTCAAAAGAGGTCAAAGGAAATGCTCTTGCATCAAAGGGCAAATCATGCTGACCAGAAACAACAATAACCGCAGAAAATGCGTGTCATGACCTCTCAGTATGAAATAAGCGGCAAAAATTACATTTGCTCAGTCAAAACGTTTTGCTCCGAGGTATAATCTACCCGCCAGATCCGGAAAAAATTCATTGGAACAAGCAGCATTTTAGCATGAGGTAAAAGTCGTGTGTTGCCTACCGACTTCGTTTTTACACTTAAATGATTTTTTTTTTCATTTAGTTTTTATTCATAGATTTATTTGAGAAGTAAAATTTAGCTTTTAATCTGACGTTTTGGTAATAATAATAAAATCGACACGATGATCCGCCAACTTGAGTCCAAGTCATTCCTATTTTTCTTACGGGATCATTTGCGGTCGACTTTGGGGATCACTTGTGGTCGAGGATCATTTGCGGTCCATTTTGGGGATCATTTGCGGTTGGGGATCATTTGCGGTACTGTACAGAACCCTGTGAACGAGGTTGGCATTAGCCTGAGTAGCAGGCGCTTGGAAGTAGTGGGCGCAAGAAAGAACGGGCTCGCGAGAGGGAGACACGCAGGCTAGGTTGGCATTGACGAGGCCGCGTTGCCCTCTTGCGGTCGGCGAGTTGGGGGGTTGGCATGGGTGGTTACTTATGTCCCTAGTTAGACTGTAAAACAGTCGATTTTTTCCCAAAATCGGTTTAGCGCAGCGTAAGAATAGCGTAAGAGTCTCACACGTGTGAGGCGAGGGCGAAAAAGAGAGGGAGAGAAATAAAAGGATTTTTCACGTCTCTCCACGGTCTCGCTCTTTGTTTTCACTCTTGCTCCAGACCTTTTGTTTGACTGTTCGCGCGAACTTGCAGCCTAGTCCTCAGTTTGAATTTTAAGCGGTCTTTTCGCGTTTTGAGGTATAGGCGCATAGGCCATGTCCCTCTCGGTATTTAACCCATCTCCGTAGTCACTATTTCATCCAGTAGCTTCCAGTCTTACGTCGCTGTTTCAAGGCCATACCTTCTTACCCCAACAGGGTCTCAATGACCATGTAGGGCCTCTCCAAACAAGCCCGGATGACCGATGATCTCGCCTTACCTCCGCCTGTACGTGTGACAGCCGTCCCTCCCTCCTCGCTCCTCGCCGCTTGGGACTATTCGAGGAGAGAAGGCTGTCTTTGCAGGCTATGATGATTACACTTCGAAAATACCCAGACCACTGGCAATTTAAGAATTTAAATCAAAGAGCTCGTAGTAAGGATCCAGGTAGTATCTCAGAATGGTCCAAAATGACTCAAACCCTGTTATTGTCCCCAGCCTCACGAACTAAATAATGAAATTGTTTTATTTATGTTTGTTTTTCAAGGCCCTAAAAACAAGTTTAATAAGAGAAAAATGTTAAGGGGAACTGCTAGCCAATGAAACCCGTACGGCGCGTCCCACGCGGTTTAAAAGGTAGATTATTAACAAATAGTCTTGCCACGACCTGGTCCTGGTGGTCAAACAATAGCCTAGTTACTGCCGGCTAGTAGCAGTAGCAGGTAGTTTTTTTTATCCTTTCCCTGTTATTCTCCCTGTTCTTTTGTATTATAACTTCAGGTATAGAGGATATTACACGGTGGCGTGAAGATATTTTCGAGTGGCAAAACAATATTTTACAAACGAGCGCAGCGAGTGAGTAAAATATTGTTTTTGCCACGAGACAATAAAATTCATATCTTTAAGCCGCCGTGTAATGTTCTTTTTATTATATAGACAAAAAGACATCGACAAAATGATACAGGAAAAATTACGTCATCGATAAACTCACGTGTGAGATTATGGAAAATAAATCACTCGGGTCCCGGATGTAATTTTTATGAATTTTACGAGTGGCATATTTTCCAGTAAAACACTCGTGTCTATATAATAAAAGAGGTTATAAAACTGCCTGAAATAGTTCTGAACTATAAACTCCCTCTAAACACACGACAGTTAGGCGTCGATACGGGAGAGACATCTTTGATGAATATTCGCGCTAATTTTTGTTTCCCGTAAATTCTTACATATAACTGATAACAAGAGAGACTCTTGTTGATAATGGATACAACAATATCACTCTTTATTTGCATGACTATGACAAAGTATTGAAAAGAACAGAAAAATTTAAATTGAAAGAACAGAAAGCTTACAATCATCGCTTATTTCAACAATTCAAAGGAGAAGTCACTGACCGGTAAAATATTTAGAAGCAGTATAATTTCCTAAAATGTAGTCATAAGGTCTGAGAATGATCGTTGGGATTTTAGGTTGTTTTTTTACGTCTCTTATCTACGAATAGCTTAAATAATCTTTTTCATGCAAGAGAGGGGTTCATTCCGGTTTCAGTTTGATTCATTGTGTAATGCGAATGTTCTAGAACAAGAGACTTTCCTCATCCGGTATCATTAGATTTGGCCCATGTGAAATGCGACGTGGCCTAAAGAAAGTAAGAGGGTCTTTTAGTCGAGGGAGTTGAAGCAAAAGCGTTACATTTCTGAAAGATGAGATGCAAGTCCCTTGGAAAGTACTGTTTTGGAAATCATATCTATTATGATCAGCCCATGTGAAAACATAATCCCATTTCTTTGTGACCGTGACACTCGAATATACCGTGCTCCGAACTTGGGATTCCGGTGGTACAATCAGGTGAGTTAAATGCGATTATGTATTTGAACTCATTGACCCTGGCCTAATTTCTTTTAATCTGGGCTAAGAGAGGATATGCTCTCAGTTCCCGGCGTCATAGCTTAAACCCTTGTCACGTGTTTTTATCGCGTCAAATATTGAGTCGCTCGAAAGAAAGACAGACGCCTCTCGTCAAAGCTAAGACCCTTTACTGAGATATGGCACTCTTTTGTTGCACTTTTAGTCGCCTGGATTATACGGACAAAGAAACTAAGACTTCTTTCAGGAAAAATCGTTATGGCTTAAAAACGGACGGAAGATTAGGGCTAACTCTTAATCTTCTGGGAAGAATTATGTCGTCTTACGGTTAAAGAAAGCCAGGCAGATTCTTGAAAAAAAGCTTTGTACTATAGCTATGAAGTTCAAGGGGGATTAGCAACGACGTCTGCTCACAGTAGTTCTTATAACTTTTTCTTCCTGAAAATAATATCTAGCTACAATAAGCTCTTTTAACCGTTAAGACTTTTCAAGGTATCTGAGTGACTCAAGACTATGGCGACTGATGAAAACATGCAGCTGCTTCTATTAGAATGGTAACAGCAGCTTTTATAAATATGAAACATTTACATCTCGTGCTTCTACAACTAAGATAAAGATACTACTGTAGATATCTACAAAGGGTTGTAAGTTTTCGCCGCGATATTTCAGACGGTTAAGCCGGCCATTGGTGGAGAAAATTCATCTGCTAGAATAACAAATTGAATAAATGGTTCTGCATTATGTGAAAATACAGGTGAAAGTACTAATGAAGAGGTTCTTTTACATAAGGCAGCGTGGCCATGTGGTTAGAGAGCTGGACTCCGCGGCAACCCGAAGGTCCAGAGTTTGAATCCACGCCAATCTTGTAAGAAAGCTAACTGGTCTGCTTCCTGCCAGTTGGAATCTTTAACCTTTAGGCTATTTAGATAATCGTTCCATCACTGCCAAGGGTAAAAAAGGAGTATTATTAATTTTTTTTATTTGAAGTCTCTCACTATTTAAATAGGATTCGGCACGCAAATCAAGGTACTGAGCTTAAGGACGTCACCTCTGACAAAGCACGTGACCCACTTACTTCTCTGGATTCCAAGACTTGTCTCGCGTTGGGCGACCAAACTGAACCCTACCGCGTCGATCGACTGACCTTCTCAAGATGTTGGGATGCAAATTGATGGGCTAAAATCAGCTTGGGAAGATGCGAAACGTTTGAAGACAAAAAGTGAAATTGGTGCGGACATCTTCGGCCCACAGTGATTGATCATTGAATGATTTGATTGACAGCTCAGCTCATCCTCAGCTCTTTAGAAGGCTTCACACACCATAGGGATTTAGCTCACAGAGTAAAAAATAGAACAACAAACTAGATGAATAGTACCAAGAAAAAGCACTTGACTCAGCCATAAGTTGATGAGTTCTGAGTCCTAACGACACGTACCTAAAGGTGCGTTCGATTGACGCTATTCCGGAATAAGAATGCACAGAAGTTTTGTTGCAAGTTTCTTTTACCATCTGTCTTGGACCACTTGAACGCTACGTGGATCTTAATCCTGTATTTCAAATAGCTAAGATTTGGAGCTGTTACGCTGTGACGAATTATTTTATTCCGGAATACCGTCGTACGAACGCGCCACAAAGCATGCTCTAATAACTCCAAGGGTAAGGGTCAAACCAAACAAGAAAGTTCAGGTCACTGTGTGCTTTACGTTACTTCCAGGTTAGTGCACTAAAACATTATATGAAAGCATTGAAAATGACATTCGATCAGGTAGACATAGCCGGCAGACACCATCACAATCAAGAATATACGTCAACATTTATATCATTCTTTTAAATACTACTTCGAAATCAGTCATAGATTTACTTGAAAAAAATTATGTGCATTAAGTTTGTGTGTGGGGGCGGAAGGGCTAATCCGGCCTACAATTCGTAATTGTGTACAAATCGCAAATCCTCTTTAGTTTAGTTTGTCAAAGCATCTGACAGTGTGTAATCTGCTTGATTCCACGCGCTCCGCTTATCATATCGCCGAGATCCACAGAGGGAGGTCGAACTATTGCGTAAAAGGGCGTCTTTAAGTTCTTTTAGAAGTGGCATTATACAAAACGTGCTGTTTTGTAGTATATTTGAGGGAGTGTTATGTCTTTTCTATCATATATTTCCGTTATAAAGAATGTTAGAAGATTTTAGAAAGCATAACAACTACACTGCGTGAGGTCTTATTCTGAACACGGCAGGCAGACGGTAAAAGGGTCTGTAAACAGCTTAAATCAAACATACAGCCATAAGGTCACGAGATGTTAAAGGTAGTTCTCTTAACATGGGTTTTATTTTTCTTCGGTTTCGTTATTTATCTAGGCTTCGAGTTTCTTCGCGTCTGGAAAAACGGTCATTCTAAGTTCCATACATTGTTGAGTGTGATCATACACTTTCTTCTTAACCGCTTTGTATTTCGTATCGGAGCAACCGCGAGAAGAAAGCTGGAATATGACACAGGAAACTTTTCCTCTGTACAAGAAGATTTTCTGTTGAAAATTCTGAAGAAAAATTCCAGGACTAAATATGGAGAAGAGTTCAAATTTGGTCGAATATCAAACAGGCGTGAATTCTTAAACTGTCATCCAATTACAGACTACGACCATTACAAGAATTACGTAGGTATGTAAAAGCAGTTCTTCTTCCCTACTTTTACATAGTCAGTAAGATATTTACTATCTGCATTAAAACTGTATATTAACCTTAACAAACAGCTAGTTTTTGCTAAATTTTGTCACTCCTGATAATGTCTCAGGTGGAACTACGCTGAGAATTCGCTGTATTCTCAGTTCTTTTTACTAAAGCTGTTCATACAAAAATAATTGCAACAATAGCAATAAAAATAACCCTGTGTAATTTCAAGTTACTTTTCAGCAAAAATTTGCAAAATAATATTATTGACATTTTTTCCGATAAATTATTTATTTTTTTAAAAAAAGGTCTTCAATTTTCGGTGCTTGAGCTTGTACGTGCATTGTATAATTTGTAATTTGTAATTTGTAACTTGGTTTACCCACGAAGCATTGACATTCCCAAGAGCTGATCCCTAACACTGATTTCAGTTGAAAGTACACTTGAGTACCTGGACGTAAAAGTCAAGTGCTACTCAAGTTTGAAATTTAGTCCCCATATGTTCCTTTGATGCTTATCCTTAAAATTGGATGTTTTTATAAGAAGGCAAAATCAGGGAAAATTCGTGATATTTCGTGAATTTGTGATGACCTTAGTGCATTTGTTCGCAACTTGCGGATAAATCCGATCACTATACTTGTAACCTTTAGATACGATAAGTGAAAACAAATCAGTTTGTGCTAACAACTAACAAACGAATTCCATACTAGCGTGCGATTCTTCAGGCACCGCAGATCACAGTTCAAGTGGACCGACCATTTTAAAATTTTTGTCATGTTCTCGACATGCTGTCTACCACACTTGGTTTCCTTCTGAACTAATCATGCGTGCGCTAATGCGTGATTTCATGTCGGTTATATAATAACATAAAAGGACTATCATGGCTTCCGAGAAATTTTCCACCAAACGGTTTGTTAGTTTTGCAATTTTTTTTTCCCACTTGTTTGCCCGGAGGGGAGGTACTCCTCAGAATTCTTGGTGGAGGTGTACCACACCCAGTTCTCCAACTCCTGACTTAGTCTATTTTATATTACCAGATCATGCCATTTTCCTTACTTGTTTTTAGACATCATGATGGTTCATGTCAGAAGCATATAATGTTTCTGTTCATGTAAACAGGAAACCCCTTTCTTTGTGCATATCTATATCATGACAAATTTAACGTTGTGTTGACAATCTTTCCCCCGGCTTTCTTGTGGGCTTCCTTGCGGTGGCTCACGCGACATACATATCTATACAGTTGTTTAGAGAAAGGTTGTCAGAAAAAAGTGTGCACACGACAATCCCGAAATGTAATATGGGATATGATCAATACACTATTCCTGACACTGTAGCTGTCGAACCTACTTTTGTTGCTTTCCTTTAGCACTCGTAAACATAAGTCCATGGCCTCTCGTGCCATTCTTTCGAATTTCTTGGAAGAACAATAAATTAAAAGCCACCCACAATACCTTTCGGTATGGTTGCGTGCACTCTTTCAGACAACCTTTCTCGAAATAGCTGTATACGCCTGAATTTTGTCATCTTAGCTTAGGTTAGAATGCTAACAAAATTGTTAAAATTCTGATCGATTGATATCTCCTATTATTTCTCCATCTGTTTTATTCAGTTTGGAGCATGAGAGGATAAAGCTTTATCCTCTCTTGGTTTGGAGTTAAAAGGACAAATATGTTTGTACCCCCTCGTAGTTCCCTTGAAAATCATACCAGATTTCAAACCATAATTTAATTGAACAACTTTAGGAATTAATAGTAAGTATTTGAAAAATATTTTGTTTTGTTTTGTTTTTTGTTTTTTCAAAAGACAGAATAGCTAAAGGCGAGAAGAATGTTATGACTCATCAAGAGCCTTGGATGCTGGCAGTTACATCCGGGACAACAGGAAAAAGCTGCCTAATCCCCAAGACACGTGACAACTCCCGCGCTTTTGTCAAGTTCGGTTTCGCTGTTGGTGTTTATCATACCATATTTGGTGCTCTTCCACAGGTGAGACTATAATAGACAAAAACAATCCTAAGACATACGAGACAAAATAATGGTCTAGGAAGAATCCGGGGTATCGGAGCCAATCAGAAACGGTAGAATGTCTTGAATGAATAGTAGTATTCATTTCTGCACTTGAATAATGTCTATGACCTTTTATTTGAACAAGTGGCGATCGATGCCAGCCTTTGGAGATCCAAGGTTTGGAGTCTGTCTCTTTTGCAGTGAACCCATTTCACGTCGAACCCCCACTTTCATAAACACAATTCAAGTTAGCCCCCAAATTACGACACGACACAATTACCAGTAGCTCAGGACACGACGTTTTGTACAGTATGAAGCACAGACTGTAACAATTTGCTTCCATTGTGGAAGAGTCTTCTCAGTTATGAAACCGTAGAAACCGTAAGATGATCGGAAACATTTTCAAATTTGTGGGCAAGTGGAAAAGTTCAAAACCATAGCACAGAAAAGCTCAAAAGTCGATTTTCTTGCCTCAGTCGATTTGGTCACCCGTACGGCAGATTGGGAGATTTATGCCGTATTCGGGATACTGCCGCAAAATCCAGGTTAGTTATTGCGTGCCAGGAGCTACAAGCCCTCCCACAACTCGCCTCACGATTTCTCTTGCTCACCTGAAAAAACGCGGGGAAAAAAAGCCTGTTCCACACGCTACGTAGAGTCAATTCTCATGATTAAGTCGTATTTATTATTTTCATTTACAGGCAGACAATTTACAGAAGTGCCTCAAACTGTTTCACGCCCCTGAAATAAAGTACTCTGAGGGAGGTATTCCAATAGGACCCTCAACATTAGCCCCTTCTCTTCAGTTCCATGCCCTCTCTACGCCCCGCATGCTTCTGGACGTCCCTTCGGTGCCCACAGGACTTTACATTCATCTGTTGTTTGCGTTAAGAGACAGAGATCTGGGCTGTATATGGAGTAACTTTACGTATTATATTCACGGAGTGTTTGTTTTTCTGGAGGAGAACTGGAAACTTATGGTACAGGACATCGAAAAGGGAGAGATCAATCCTGATCTTGAAATAACAGAACCTGTTCGAAGGTAAGAATGAACCAAAGAGTTTAATTTATCTCGGTGTCTGCTCTGTTGTTAATACTGATTTCCTACATGTGGGATGTTCCAGGGACGTGATTAGATTACACCTCAGTTAACGAGATACCGTATTTATTCGAGTAAGCACCCAACCACGAATTAGCGCCCACTTGTAATAAGCGCCCTTCCTAAAGGCAGAAAAAGTTAATAAGCGCCCGCCTCCTCTTCCTTCAACTCAAACTCAAATAAGCCCCCACAACCAAAACCCCCCCCCCCCCTTCCCCCTTCCACACAAAAATGAATAAGTACTAATCTAATAAGAGACTTCCTCGAAGACCAAGTTTTCTTCAGAGTATTTTACGGGAACTTGCTTACATCTTCGCGTTTTGTTATTACCTTTTTTGGATTTGCTGCAAAATAAACATACTACACTTGCTAAAAATAGTGAAAATTTAATAAGCGCCCAGCCTCGAATAAGCGCCCACCTCGAATAAGCACCCATTCTCAAGGTCCAAAAATTTTATAATCGCTCAGGGCGGTTAATCGAATAAATACGGTGAGTAATTCTCTCTATATAAATTCATCACAAATGAAGATACCAAAGGTTTCGTAACACGATAAACCTATATTTCGGCTGCATTCAACAGCCTTCATTAGGGTTATAAAAGCGGTTACAAATCCGCGTAATACTAGCTAGTTTAGAGATACACAACACTTGAGCACTCGTAACCAACGAACCACTATAAGCGCGCGCGTTTAACAATTACCTGTTACTTCTACGATTTTATCTACGTCTCGCCGCTTATTTTGAAGCAAAAAAAAATCATCCTCATTAAGGCCGTACGGGCTCAAAGTGTTTAGTCTATAACTGGCCCTCCCCGTCTCTCAGTTTCTCCCCATTACTGACTCTGTCAATGAGCTGTATCTGCAGCTGGATATCCTCCAATCCATGATGTCCCTCCCCCCCGAAATTCTTATAGATGAGATCATCCTGATCCTACTGCACGCTATCCAAGTTTCCATGGCGTCTAATACGAGTTTTATGATTATTAAACCTCATTGTAAGTTTCGTTTTTTAGTTTTTGCTACATACTTGGAGGGCTATAGTAGCTTTAGGTTGACTTCACTACCGGAGTCTACGCCTCCAACTTTGCAGTTACTGTTAAGTAAAACGGAGCCAGGTTTGTGGAGGTTCTGTTAGCCTACAGTTTTTCGTCCTTGTCTGAGAAGTCTAGAATGTTTAACAGTTCGTAGACTTTTTCAGAAACAAGGGTCGCACATTTTCGTTAATCATCTGAGGTCCTGAGTATTGGTTCAGCCGCGAATTACAGGCGCGGATCTAGGATAAATACTGACCGTTTTCCAAAACGAGCGTCGAAGGCGTAAGCTTCTAGGGGGGTCCGAGGCATGCACCCCGGTGAATTATTTTTTTTTCACTCCCTAAAGCCACCTGAGTCATTCAGTCAGGATATTGGCCAGATTTTAACTTGGAAAGTTTTTTTTTTCATGAAAAATTTATTTATCTGTGAAAACTCTGACCGATTTTCGTAAAACGGTGGAAACCGGTGTGGATCCGCGCCTGAATTAGCAGGATTAATTCAATTTTCAAAAGTTGCTCGTTTATTTCGTGACTGCTTGACAAGGTGTTGGCAGTAGCTGTTCACGAGAGAGGATAAAGAGGAATCAGGAAATAGGCACGGGGGGGTATATATCCTTCCTTACCGGAAAAAAGTTCAACAAAGAATCATTTGTGTGCCTCTTGTCCCCCCGTATGAGGAAATCCACGACATTCTTCGATTCTAAATACTGGATTGCGGACAGTCTTTGTCAGTGGCACTTGGATTCCGGATTCCATTCGTTGGTGGGATTCCGGCTTCCTTGAGCCATAGTCCGGATTCCAAGGCCCAGTATTCCGGATTAATTCCACAATCAAAAATTTTTCGGATTGTGGAATCCTTACATGGTGCGACTATTAAAAACACTGTATTTCTCTCTGTCTGTTTCCTGACAGCGACTTGAACAAACTTCTTAAGCCTGACAAACAGCGAGCGAATGATCTCCGGCGCGAGTTTGAGAAAGGATTTGATGAAATAGCAAGAAGAATATGGCCGAATCTCAAATATGTACACGGCGTGGTTTCAGGTGAGAAATGATGATTTTTACTCAATCACGTTTGTTAAGACAAGTGAGCTGTTTCCGCTTGAATAACAGGAAATGTCGTTTGTTTTATAGGATCTTCAGAGTTATATGCTACCCAGCTACGATGTCATTACCTTAAAGGTGTTCAACTCTGCTCCACCATCTACGGCGCGACAGAAGGTTTAATAGGAGTCAATCTTTGGCCATTAGAGGACACGCCTTGTTATTTGCTTGTTCCGCGATCGATGTTTTTCGAGTTCGTACCCATTGAAAACAGCTACGAGGAACAACCCAAGGTGCGCTTATTTTCATTGTTATTTTAATTCAGAATTACCACCATTTTTTTGCATTTTAACCTGGGAATTCACTATACACATTTCCCCTTTACATGTGTGTCTATTTCTGACACAGATGTTAATTTATTGAGGAAAAATAAGGGCAGGATCACCCTTTATTTTCATGATTGGCACAATGGATGGATGCCAGGATTTGGAGGGGTAGACCTGAGTTCCATTCCCGTGGTGTCCAACGCTCCAGTTCCTAAAATAACTGAGGAGAATGTGTTGCTTGCCTTGACATCTGCAATGGTTCAAAATTCTACTCTTCTCTGATAATTATAGGAAGAAACATCTCAGACTCACAAAACTTCACTGATCTGACTTTGTGGAACGTAAAAACACCTCTAGCGCCCTATCAGTCTTTGGCCCCACTTGGCCACTTCAATCTGCCATGAGTTTTGGAACGGGTAGGGAGTAGAGGGCACATTACTTAGGACCTATATAAGTGAAATTTGTGTCCATTCATACAGTTTAGCAGCTAGCTTATGTAAAAAGACCTTCCTCTCGATTGCTAATGACCCGGCCCATCGCTTACATAACATTCTTCAATCGTCAGGGCCGTCGTGTTATAATCTTCGGTGCAAAAAGCGTTTTGCGATTCCCAAATGTAAGACCGAGCTTTTCAAAAATAGTTTTTTAGTTAGATCATGTATTAATAACGAATTTTAGCGCTCGGTGAGTTTTGTAAACGAGACTGCGATGACGTTGTATATATTTTAACAGTTTTAAGCTTTCTTTTTTTATATATTTATAGGATGTTATTATTTATTTAGGACTTTATCATTATCATTTTATTATACTCACTATTGTAAGATTCTGTTATATTATATTATATATTATATTGTAAATACACAATTCAGCTTAGTAGCTGCAAGCTTTTTACAAATAAACTATCTATCTATCTTAGCAGGTTTTTACTAAGGAAAAGCTGAATATCAAAATCTGCAAAAAAAGGCGAAGCAAAAAATAAATAAAGAAATAAAACAAAGCAAAGCGAAGAAAAAGAAAACAAACACGATCATTTTCTCTTGTATTTTGTAGACATTGTTCGGTGAGGAAGTCAAGGTTGGCTGCCTGTATGAGCTCATAGTAACAACATTAAGCGGTCTTTATCGATACAGAATTGGCGATGTGGTGAAAGTGGTTCGTTTTCACAATAGCTGTCCAGTGATTACGTTTCAGTACAGACAAGGTCAGCTACTTAATATGCGGTCAGAGAAAACGTCTGAAGCGATGATCTACGAAGCCATCACGAAGGTAACCCGAAAGAAAGGCAAGCATCACCTCGTGGATTACACATGCGCAGAGAGTATCCTGTTGGACTTTGTTCCGAACGGCCGAGCAGTCATCAAAGAACGCCAAGCAAAGAAGCATTTAAACCACACAGGACTTGGCATTGGTGCCAAACCTTTTTACTTGGTTTTCTTGGAGCTGTCACCTCTGATACGAAATACGAAGGATACCGAGGCACTTGAACAGGAGGTAGGCTTCTAAAAATGTGAATACCTTAGCCTCGTCTTTGGGCCAGTTAACGCTGTGCGAGTGGATTAGCATTAGATCCCATCGGCCTAAAACCGTTGGACACCTTATGAATATTTTACACAACGTAGTATTCCTTATCTCTTCGGTTCCCTTTGTACTGTAGTTATATTGTGTAGAAGCCATAAGGTATACTTAGTTAGGTTGTGTAAACTTCATAAGGTGTCCAAGGGGTTTTAGGTCTAGGCCGATGAGATGCAATGCTAATGGTGCGAGTGAGGGCCAACGGGATTATATTACCCAGTCTCAGGCCAAAGTCTCCAGAGAAGCTTGACGGATGACGACACATCCGAACCTGCCTTGGACGACGGGGAACGAAACTGAATACCGTAACTAGAAATAGGTGTCTCGCACGGGAAGGATCGATGTACAGAACTGAAACAAGCATTCGATCAATCGAGGCGGAAAGCACCATGACAAAATTGCTGGCACCAACGGATATGAAAATATAACAATATATATGGGCCACCTGAGTTTGAGGGCAGATAGGATTGACGAACAATCCACGCCCTGCCCGCGCGACCATTAAAATACCTCGGGTTTGCGAGGAATTTCTTGTTTTTCCTCGTTTAAATGGTCCTATTGAAGCTCTTATGAATCTAAGCCGAAAAACGTTTTATTTTTTTCTTAGTTGGACGAAGCTCTGTGTGAAATAAACCCATATTATTTAACCCGACGGGAGAATGGTGGCTTCATCGGGAGACTCAGGGTGTGTTTGGTTAAACCTGGTACGTTCCAAAAGTTTCAAGAATTTCTTCTCCAAGTCACGCCTACTGCGGTCAATCAGCTGAAGATTCCAAGAAAATTAACATCGAAAGAACAGCTAATATTCTTTATCAACCAACTTGGTCTGAAAAGGACGAGTGCATGAATAACTCTCCCGACCAGAGGTGTTTTCTGTGAGCATTAATTGATAGACAGCTAAGCTTATACTCAGGCAAGCCACTGAATTCTTTGAGTACACGATGCGTCAACAAGGTCTGAAAACGACTGTGAGTTACAATGTTTCGTTGGTTGGTGCTATCGTAATCACTGGGAATGATTTCAGTTGGAATCCTACATCAATGTAGGGTAACAACAAATGTTACCGGTAAAATCTAGCTTCACTATTACTTTATGTCAGTGACGAGTTAATTTAAGGGAGTTATTTGTGGTAACCTTAAAAGTCACTCTATATTTAGTCTATTTATTGCAGTACACAGCCGATTGTTCTTAGAGCGATCATCACAAATCCAGAGTTACTTGATTCATAAGTAATAAACGTGTTCGTGTTCAGGTCATTTGAAATGAAAAAGATCTTTATGGTTTAAAAGTCTGCCGCCGTAGATTGCCATTGAATTTCAGACATGATACTGAAAAGTCGCGGATACACGCTGCTGCAGTTTGCCCTCGCTCGGCTGTTCAGAAGGCTGTGTTCACTAAATGGAAGACGCAATTGGCTTCCCTAATACTTATCCGCTGAATAGTGATTTATCTGACGGTGGATAGATAGTCTACGAACAGTCTCTCTTTTTTCTTGGTCCGTCGAGCAAAACGCCCGAGACACGCAAATGACCACGCGCGTGACTGAAGGCGCGAGACGGGGAGCCCTCTTTTCTCGCACGCGCGTGCACTCCCCTTACTAAATCTGAAGAATAAGAGAGACTGCTCGCGGTCTAGTGGATAGAGCTATCCAACGTTGAAACAACCGGCCTCATACGTTACTATCCAGCGGATAAGTTTTAGGGAAAAAACTGCGTTAATCACTGAATGGAGAGATATCCAGTGGATAGCGTTATCCACCTTTTAAACAACTGGGTCCTGATCCTGATGATCACTCTTTGAAAAGTTCGGCCAAAGAATTTCTTCAGTCGCTATGATTCTATTTACAGGCATTGCACAGCTTAATTACTATTTATCACTCATGTGAAGAAGTCGTATAATGTGTTGTGATTTATTTTATTATTATTATTATCATTATTTTATTTGTGCCAGGATAAATCAATGGCAAAGCATCCAAGACTGGAACAACCTAATAAATAATGCTGATATACGTGCACTTTTCAAAAACCACTGGAAGTCTCTATTTGTCTTAGTATGAAAAAGGTTTTTTAAGCAAGATAACACAGAGATAAATTGTATTTTTCTTTATATCAATTATCTGTAAGTACTTTTCAGTTTTGCCCAGACGGTCTCCCCACATTCTGCCCGGCAGCAGAGCTTTAAGGACCAGGCGCGGACCCATACCGGTTTCTACCGTTTTACGGAAATCAGTCAGATTTTTCGTAATAAATATATTGTTAGTAAAAAAACTTTAAACTTTGCAAGTTGAAATCTGGAAAATAGTTTGGACAGTCAGTAAACATCTTGTCTGAGTGACTCAGAAACCCAGGAAAGGGGACTTTAGGGAGTTAAAATCCAAACAATTTCTCGGGGGTGCACGCCCCTAGAGCTCCCTAGAGGTACAAAACCGGTCAGTATTTATTCTAAATCCCCGCCTGAAGACTGTGCATGAATCAAGTAAGATCTGTGTTGAGCAATCGCTACTTGCACATCTCCCATAATTCACCTTCTTTGCCCCCCAAAATTTTGCATAACCTTTGTTTTTCATTTCTCTTGGGATGGCTGTAATACCCAGGAGAAATGAAAAACAAAGGTTATGCAAAATTTTGGGGGCCAAATAAGGTGCATTATTGGAGTTGTGCAAGTGGCGAATTCGCTAGATGTTGTTAGGATACAGTTTCGAACCTAGGCCTAATAAACCTGCTCTGCTTGGTACAGCGGGCTTAAGTTATGACCATCCCTTTATCAAGAAAAGAAAGCTCGCACTGGAAAAATCAGTTTGACGAGAGAAAACAATATTGACTAGTCCAGGTTTTTGGGCTGCGGCGACTCCACTTTAAGCTTGACGCGGCTCTGGCATAGCCTTCTTTTCTCATCCACGATCAAGAAGAAGACAAAGGGAGGCTCTATTCCCAGGGTGTTCTCCCCGAAGAGGCCACTTTCGTTTGGTTTGTGTATTTTCGAGTTGAGAGCTAGGCGATGTTACTCTGAAAGAACTGTTATTCCTTCAAAGTTCGTCTTATTCAAGCGCATACGTAGAAATAATTTATGAAAATACAAAGGGCAAATTCCCTGAAGACATCACATGACCTCCTAGTGCAATGGCAAAACCAACAAAACAAGCGAAAGTGGTCTAATGTGGATGGACTATTTATAGAGTCCTTCCTTTGCTTTTCAGTCAGCCTCGATAGGGTCACCGATATAAAAACCAAGACTTTTTTTTGTAATACTAGCAACAGAGATTACGTTCATAATAGTTCATTATCGGGAGGTTGTTCTTCTGTTTTCTCCTCAGTCTCTATGCCAATTTTATTTTCCTCCTGAGCGTTTTGTTCTGAAGCTGATTGCGTAAGTTCTGAGAGCCATGACGTCACCAAAGAGCGTGCACTGTTAATGGCACCACCTGCGATAGAAAAAGAAAAGATTTATGACCACGGAAGGAGTGGTTTCTATTTGAAGCATTTCATATTGGCCAATCACAATACGCTCCTATTATCAAATGGACCCATCTTTTACAGAACTCGGAGAAAAATAAACGTGGCCGCCGACGAGGACGAGAAAAACGTGTGCTACCATGTTACGAATGGTTTAACTTCTGATTGGTTGAGAAGCTGGCGGGAATTTTTTTAGTCAATCACCAGGCGTAGCAATGCAAAACCGAAGCATTTACGAATTAACTTTCGACACAATTGAAAGGAAAAGAAACATTTCAGCACACACACGACAACAACAACAAACAACACTTTATTCACATTTCCATTACAGGGTTTGTCAAACTTATTGAATAATTAGTAACTTAAAACGTAGAATATTCAATTACAATTTAAACTAAATATTATTACATAGAAGGAAATGCCTAGCGGCTAGATAACCGTAAGGTTTTCGAGCTAGCAACTAGTTCTTTGAAAGTAGTGTCGGATGTACAGGACATCACAATAACTAGACATACAAAACATCTTAAGACACACACCATAAAAAAAAAAAAAAAAAAAAGCACATAGATGGCAAAAAAAAGAAGAGAAAACAGTCATCATAGTACATGACGATATGATTAAAATAAAATAATTTCAGTAAGTTAATTGTTCGGCCAACAAGTATTCTTTTAATGTTTTAGGAAAGTTATAAGTTGAAAGGTCTTTTATATGGGTAGGGAGCTGTTGCCACAATTCGGTCGCCATAGCCGCTGTTGTTTGCTTTCCAATATTGGTCCTGGAACGTGGTTTGTAGAAGTTACTTTTTGAAGCATATCTCGTATTATATGTATGGACTTCACTTGCATAGCGAAAATGCTGATTAAAGATATTTGGTAATTTTTTAGAATGCCTTTAGAAATCCAAGGTTTTCTTAATAGTTTTCGTTTACATCGTGATGCTCTTTCAATGGGTGCATGTTTGTTAGTCATTCCTTCTAATGTAGAAATAATTTTTGCCATACTGTCATTCACATCATTAGTAACTAAACTACAGAAATCTACCGTGGCTATGTCAGCTAGGTATCTGGCTTCATTAAATCTTGAATAGTTCCTAAGCTCCGAATATTACAATTGAATATTGAGAAGCCTCTTGTGTTAAATTTTTGAAAGCACGTGCCAGATTGCTTGATTGTGTAGTATTTTGACTCTATCTTTAAATTTCCTAAGATATTCAAGAACTGATCGTTTTTGTCAGGGCTTTCAAGAACGTTCTCAAATAAATCTCTTTCTTCAAGCGTAAGAACAGTATCGTACACCCATGATCCCACAGCTTTCGCGAATTCTCGCCTGTCTGTTAAGCCATAAAATGGCAGTTCCGATAAATAATTCACAGTCGTGTCAAGTGATTATAATTAGATAACTTGAACAGTTCCAACTGAATGACTTACCAGGATCGGTACTAGAAACAGCAAAATTTGGGCATATGCACCTACTAAATAAAAGAAAAAAATAGACTTCACTTATCCAAGAGGAAATTTACTTTTGAAGTCAGCGAACTCGTCTGCGTAGTTGAATGTGAACGTACGCTTTTCCCCGTCTCCTTGCTTGAGGTATATTCGCCCGTTGTTGGTCCAAATATATTTCCACTTGTTGTCCTTCTTAAACTTGTTGATCCTGCCAAACAATTTCTTTCTTGCTTGTGTTAGCGACTCGGAGATATATAATTTCTTCTTTGGGTCTTGAGAAAGATCCCGTAGAGTGCCAACTTTACCAACTTCTTTGCCGGCGATTGTTTTCCTCTTTCCGTAAAACTCGTCCCGAATACTGCGACGCGTAAACTTGACGATAATCTTGTCTTCTGCACTTTTATTGTAAGTGGGTAAACGGTGGGCCGTGGAGATGTCTTCATCTTGCAGCTCGATACCCATTTCCTTCCCAATAGAACAAACAAGGTCAAAACAAGATACTTCTTCGGTTGGTAAAACGCCTGTCAGCTCCAAGCAGTCGCGGCGCAAGTATTGAGAAAGGTCTTCAATTTCGCGCCCTATTTTCTTGCACTGCTTCATATCTTCCTTTAGGTTCTTAACATCAGTGGAAAGGCTTGCTGTTCTATCATTTGAGCGCTGTACTTGCTTCAAGAGCTCATCATACTTTGCGGAGAAGTGTTTGACCGACTTTTCCAATTCAAAGAATGACTTTTCAATCGAGGTTAATTTAGCTTTTAGAGGTCCAATTTCGGCCTCCAAGAGTGACTTAATTTCATCTTTAGTTGCCATCAAAGCAATACAATTGCAGATGCCTGCACTTAACAATGGTAGCCGAAAATTTGGCCAACGTTAAAAAACACGTGCGGCCGCCATTGCGCCATATGCTAATAAACCATCTCTTTACACTACAGCTCAAAATGGAACATTGTAGAATTTCCAAAACCTTTGATCCCTGACTTCTATTTAAAAGTCAGAGGAATGATACGGACTTACCAACTGCCTTCCCTGTGCTTGCCACAGCCTGACCAATTCTGCGCCCTCTCTCTGTGTTCGTGGTCACATCTTGCATAACGCTAAACAACACACAAGAATAATTTGGTCAGTTACAAACAAAGAGAAAAAAGAACATACCAAAACAAACAAACAACAACAATAAAAAACAGCTTGTCAAGACCATCAAGGAAATCGCCAGCAGTCAGGCCATTCTGCGCGACTTCGCTTTCGTCGTAAAATTATTTTTGCATTGAAAAAGAATCAACAGCTTGCAAACCACATGAAAACGTTTTTAAAAGCAAAAATACTACCCGACATCCCCATCACTTTGCCTTTTTTGACCACCACAAAAGGATATTTAAATATTAGGGCCGTGCATTACCTGGACACTAGCTGATAAAGCTAAGCGTCAGTAATATCCACTTTAAATTAAGTATCGTATTGTAACGCATCGTATCGTGTTTACAGCAATTTTCTTGTAGAGTTCTCAACTTGGCAAACGATTTTCTCAAGTTTTGGGGAGAATTTTATTGCATCCAGGGTGGTGATCGCGATATTAGGGTGGAGGGAAGACCAAATCGAAGGAAAAATGCCCTATAGATTTTTTCCGATTTCTGTGAATATGGTACGATGTGCGGAGTAATTGTCGTAATCATGTTCACGACAACTTTTTTTACTAGCGTTTATCACGTCACTGTGACGGGAACATTAACTTAACGACGAACGATATATTAGCGAGAGCGACAAGAACCTTCAATTACCTGGCGAGTCGGATCTTTAAATCAGACAGTCCTAACTGGCCTTGAAATGGATGTCTGCAAACAAAAAAATAATAATAACGTTTAAAAACTGCAATAAACAAATGTATTTTTACGAAATATCACGTGATTACCCTGCGTGAACATCGTCGATCCCAGCATGCTCTTTCCCTCGCCACACTTGATAGTTGGTAGTTTGTTTCCAGGCATCCACAAACTGCTCATTGTAGTTTGTCATCCCTTCGCCGTCTGCAAAACGAGAAGTATAAGTTTACTTCGAATTGCATTCCTGTTTACTTGTTATGAAAAAAAATAATAATAAAAAAAAAAAATGGGGTAATCCAGCAAAAAACTGAAAAAAGGCTCTTCACTACAAGATTCCCAGTATCTATAGCACTGAGATTCTTTGTCATTCCTCAAAAATACTGATTTTTAGAGCAATTACTATGACATTCTCAGAAAACACGGCTTTGTAGAAGGCCAAACCTTTAACGCAAAATGTTTTTCAGGTCAACTGCGCTATACTCTTGCTTTACCATAGAAAACTCTCGCAAAGCTTACAATTAAGACAACCGGTAGAAAAAGCAATAATTGGGAGATAATTCAAGGCGTTCTAGTTATGTTTTACAGCAACCTAGCGCGGGAGAGTCTTTTAGCTCCCACCCCTCTCCCCCTAATTTGTCAAGCTGCCGCAAGATTTTCTAGTAAAACTTGAGCTTATCTACAGAAAATAAACCCAAACCACAGCCTCAGTGTGGAACGCGTGAAGAACCCCTAGGGTCTGCGAAGGGGCTGGCCAAGCCACGAACATAATTGAAAATCGGCTTTATGGCACGAGTATATTTGTAGACGCGACTACAGTAAAAAAAAAAGTTTGTATAAAAGCTAAGTAAAAAATTTTATAGCGAAGAATTTCTCGACGCTGACAAACCTGTGTGTTGTATGGTTGACAGCAAAGACATGAGATACATCTTAAATTGAGCTCGTATCCACTCGTCGCTTCCATCCCATCCTGGTGAACAAAAGCATGTATCACATTCTAACAATTCTAATGGCTTAAATGTTGCTTTCATGCGATTTCATTTACCTGGTTTCCGCGTCATCTTTGCCCGCCAACACTTACGATTATCAAAAACGCACAACCAACAAGTAAATTTAAACAGGCTGAGAGAGTACTGTTTGGGAATGCGTAGCAAGAAAATATACCAATCTAGGACAATTTCAGTTTTTTTTTGCTTGTTCGCGGCAATTTTTCCATGTTTAATGTGTGATGGATTGCAGTTCAGTGCGCCCGACGATGTAGGGCGAAAGAAAAACGGCGAAAATTGACAAGGAATTGCACACCCCGGAAATGGGGCAAGGGGGAGGGTTGAGTTGGCATTTTTAGGTGGTGGGGTGCTTATGGAACTCTTGCATATAACCTTACGCTATTCTATTTTGCGTCCAACTGCAGTTTTAGTTCCTAACCGTTCTTTCGGCTTGACGCCAAAAATAATTAAAGCCGTACCCTAAATCACATAAAAATATTTCAACTGGTTTTTTACATTACCGTCCACTCACCGCTGAATATTCTGCCAGTAAATTTTACTCTGTTCTTAGCCTAAACTCTCTCGTACAGATCACATACATACTTAGTCTATATATCCAACGTGACCTCGCATACTGTGTCAGAACTGCCAGCTCCCACAAGCATTGTGAGCAGCTGGCGGTCAGGGGAGAGCCTTGTGCGTGCTTACGCAAGAAAAAACACCTGGACACGGCAGATGAGTGTACAACTGTGTGACCGAAAAAGTGTCCAACCTCTATGCTAAGTTGCTCAGCCTAAAATGGGGATTAAAGGGCACACATGACCGCCACACACTACTTTGGTGACCTAACTTTGTGCGTGTGTACGATATTGGCAAGGCCCTAGGATAATGACAGTTTTCGGCTGTTACTGGAAACTCAGTAGCGTAAGTCACTTTAACGACTGACCTGCTTCCTGTTCGCCTTTTTCAACGTAATCATTGACGTGTTGAATGATGTAATCTGCAAATCTCAGGTCAGCAGTGGACAGCGAAAGCTGTTCATTTAGTTGTACATCATTTATTTCTACGGCGCCACTCTCAAACTATTGAAAGAAACATAAATTAAGTTTACACTTTGTCTGCCGTTTGTTACATTGTTATAGTAATAAAAAAAATATATGTTTTCGAGTGATTTTAGTGAGGTAAATGGCAGATATGGTTCTGGCCAGGAAGTTCTAAGTGGGCGTTCAACTTAATTTTCGAATAAGAAAGAAAAACGCTAATCAAGATGTATTTTAAATTTTTTTCTTCCAGAACTGGGCGAAAAATATCGACTTTTTTCCGCTTTCTCTGTTAATTTGGCCTCCTTGATTGACAGCTGTCAAAAAATGGCGCCAAATGAAATGCTTGCAAGGTGTGACGTTAAAGCAAACAAACATATACAGAGATAACCCATTTATTTAAGCACAATTTCCCGGAAGTACGAAGAGACTTTTCGGAAAAAAAAAATTGCGCTTATTCTGTTCCAAAAATGGCATAATCAACATAAATGAAGCGGTGGTAGACGCCATCATTCAAAACTGTGTGGCCTACGCTCTAGGCCTCATCAAATGTTCATTCATCTTTATCTTAACGCAGTTCGCCATCTTCACAGCTACAGACTACTGAAGACAAGAAAATCTATGCCGCGATTCTGATCTGAGTTTCGCGCGATTTTTGACTGCTGTCAATCAAGGAGGCCCAACCAAAAAAAGCGGAAAGAAAGACGACATTTTTCTACTTTGATGATTATACCACTTCATGAGAAATGTCTGCAATTTGATTGGCTTAGAGCAGTGGTATTTCAGCTTCATTTGAAATACCTACATGTGAAAATTACAAACCTTTTGTGCGTAGTAGTATAAACAAATAATAGCATGATTTGTTCGTGATATTTGGCATAAATACCACTCGTGATATTTCAAAATTGTCTCAAATTTCACTCGCCTAACGGTTTGTGAAATTACGTATGACAGTTTTGAAATAAAATTATCATTCGTGGTATTTATGTCAAATATCACTACAAATCATGCTATTACCTATACAAACAGCGAAAAGCTGAAAATACTCGAGAAATTTCTCGCCTTGATCTTCGCAATAAGTGAAAATTAGCAATAACTGTAGTTGATTGACTTGAGCCATACTTAGTAGAAGAGTGAAATCCTAAAAATTTCAAGTTTTCTATTAAAAGGCAAGTGAATTCGACAAAAAAAGTATTCTATTTTTCGCTTTGCGAACAAATACAAATCACTTAGAAGGTGATTTTTATGGAGTTTTGCAGTTTCCTAGATCCAGGATTTTATTGAAAAGTAGAATTGCCGGAAGCGATAACTGATTCCGGCGCAGAAAGGAAAAAAAAAAAAACAACAACAACAAGGAGAGGAAACGTACGTCAGTTTAACACCTAGCAAACACTGCAATCAGCTAGCGACAGAGTGAAGATCGCGCCACCGCTACCATTCGACAACGTTTTCGACATCTTTCTTCGACATTTTTCTATGGGTTTGTAACAACTTTGATAAGTTTGAAGCAGTACAGAGCCAAGACGTTTTGAAGGCGGAGTCGGTTAGCTATGGAGGACCAGAAAATGGAAAGTTTCGAATGCATAACTACGCCTTCAAAGCATCTTGACTGCTGATTGGTTCTGCATTATACTAAGATAGGGCGAGCTAAGTTATATGAAACCCATCACAGTCGTCAAAAGTGTTTTTTAAAAAACTTACGAAACAAAACGTCAAAACCTTGTAACGTGGCAATGTATAGCGGTGATCTACCTTGTAAATGTTTCACTAATATTACTGCCTGACAAAAGTATGGATACTTTGATGTACTTCTCTTCAAGTACAAAGAAACCAAGCGGCACATGAAAATAGTTGTTCGTACTTACATCAACTAAAACGTCCGATAACCCCTTCTGTCTTCTGTACAAATAATTTGAAGCTCCAACCAAAAAGCTGCGAACCTGGGGGCTTTTCAATAGTTCCATTTGTTGTAAAGATAAATATGGATGAAATATTGAGTTCTGAAATAAAATATTGTGATTAAATAAGTTTTTCATAAGACTGTATCAAATTGCAGTGATATATGAAACATAGTTTCACAGTGATTTCTCCTTGTCAAAGTTAGTTTTAATGATGTTTGCTTTCCTGGCTTTTTTGACTAGCTGTACATGTATTTCAAATGTTTTTCTTCGACAGTATTTTTAACACTTACATCCCTAAACTTCATGTTATGTACTTGATGTTTGCTAGCTGTGCCAGTCTCTTCTACTTAACTATGGATAAACATATACACAATGTACTACGAAATACAGGAGAATATGAAAATTACCTTTGTAAAAATTGCTAAAGGGAATCCAAAAATGTCCACTGCAAGTTCTTCGGATTCTTGTACATGTAGTGGAAGGTAAAAATCCTGTAAAAAAGACAGAAAGAAGTGTTCTAAGAAAAGAAGAGGCGCAGTCAATGACGAAATCAAATCTTTTCACACGGCTGGACTCCATTATCTACCCGCACCAACAATTCAACTGAACGTAATAAAAGGTAAAATCAGTGTGAGGTAAATAACGTTTGGGGTTTCCTAATTGGTGACATTTACCTACAACCGCATCTCCAAAAGTGAACAGTGGAACGCGGCACTGTGAGCCCCCGATTACTACTGGAATTAGGTAAATTAAGTTAAGGGATTCCACATGGTGATTGTTTGAAATAACGGGCTGATCTTATTAACGAAATTGTAGCTTGACGAAACTACTGTATATGAACGGTACATAAAACAGATTAATTAGGCCCCTGTGACTGCATAAAGCAACTTGCAAACTAGAGGTGATCCCGGGATATCATTTTAAGCTCTAATGGGCGCTTCTTCAGGTCAAGGGGTTGGTAAGGAGGGGGGGGCGTCTAGCATACATTTTCTGTCTTGTCCAGCTCACTTTCCTTTGGGGTTGCATAGACCAAGCCATTTTGAATCATTTCTAGGAAAAAAATCCAAACAGGAAATTGTTATTTTAATATCAAAAGTAGGATATAAACTGTTGAATAGAAGGATAATACAAAAACGGAAAAAAAACATTTTCAGGTCTCAGACTCTTAATTCTCTTGCCCTGAACTTCAAGAACTTCATATCTATAATAGAAATCAAGATCCCGGGACTAGCTTGTGAGCAGGGACAAGGAGCAGTGCACAGGGGTAGGGGAGGGAAAAGAACGAGAGGGACGTTTTCCACCCATCCACCCCTGCCCAGCAGAGAAGTTGCTTGCAGGCATTACTTCCCAGGCAATTACAAGAAAAATCACATACGCCATATTGAAATTACTGTTCATGTAAGTTATCACAAAGTAACATCTGCTTCATGACCAAAGCTGGCGCCCATCCCTCATTGGATGTGGATACAGTTCCATGATTTCTTATTGACGTGTGACGCACCCGGCCGGAGGGGGGGAGGTGGGGGGGAGGGAGGTCTCAACAAAGTTTTATACGTGGAGGCTCTACCCCGAGGTCCAAACCCTTACCCTTTTATATCCCATTTTTTCACGAAAAAGGTACCTATTTCGTGTACCCTCTGTTGACAAGTGGTACTCTTTTCACAAACCTAGTTTAGAACTTTGCATCCTTTAACTGCTGTAAATGCACTGTCTTTTAAATAGGAATCAATCACAAAAATAGAACGTCTTCTCGCCTTTTTGACAGCCATAAAATCCATTTGTCAGCCCTGTTGGTAATTTTTATCTACCAAAATGACAGATTTCCCCAACCTTTTCATATACTTCAGATAGTAAAATCCCTACCTTTTCATATACCTGAAGCCTGAAAAAGAGTACCCCTTTAGGGCGGAGCCTCCCTATACAGGCTATTAATTTTTAGGGAGTACCCCCTTGAGGTCTGATAGCATTCAGTTTTTAAAATCGCGCCCAGAAAAGGTGAAAGAATCGTAAGATTATTATAGCATACTTACTAGGAAATAGAGATACTAGTGAGAGAAGCTGAGTACATAGACTGCCAACAGGAAATCCATGAAATATAACCTAAATTGACAGAAAGTGGGGCATTAACCTATGATCAGTCGATCCTTCTTTCTTTTTTCTTTAGGAGGTGAGAGGTGGAAAAGGACCTGCTTGTCCGTCGAATTTCGTGTTCCCCCGACAAAAAAAATAGAACGCCTCATCACAGGTTACTGGGGTATGAGAGTAGTAGAAACAGGAAATAATCCAGCTTATAAAAAGTTAAAAATACTAGTCTGACAATGTTCACAGTGACAAGATAAAATCTCATTACATCGAATTCTGAGAAATAGACCTTTCCACGCTTTTTCAGTCCAACTTTTTTCTTGAGCAAGATAAGAAAAATCTGTCTACTTCGCTGAAAAGAGCGCCTTTAAATTAATAAAATAGCCAAGTTCGAAATTGATTTGTTGAAAACTAACAAAGATATAGCCCCTCAAAGTCGCAATATTTTAGAGAAGTTTGTATGGTGAGGGTACAAACTTTCCCCCCACCATACAACGGCTGTAAATTTTCGCAACTTTGCGTATGTATATCTTTGCTCGCTTAAGACGTTTCACTTTCAAACTTGGCAAGTTCATGGTAACTGTCCTACCTTTTTCTCTAATAGAAGTAGTTTAAATAGAATTAAAACCTGAAAAGCAAAAACCCCACAGAGTGAGTTTGTATAACATGATTGCTTGCAAACTCTCCGTTTTGAGTGTCAAGTGAAGGAAGCCCGCAAAAGAATGTGCAAGAAGCAAAGCAAAAGGGTGAAGGAAAGGAGCTAGAGCTTGCACTGATTACTGTAGGATTTTTATTCACACTTCGCAGGGCAAAGTGAAATACTACTGCCAGTTATTATTACTTTCTCTTTTCAGTTTCCCTCCCTCTTGCTTGCATCTCCTTTACAAAGATGCAGCCTGGCCGAGTGGTCAGTGCATCCGACTGACAATCTGGCAGTCCCGGGTTCGAGTCCCGCTCTGGCCACTAGCTGGATTTGTTCTCAGTTGTCCCGAGTTCAAATCCTCTGCAACGCTTGTAAAAAGCCAACTGGTTGCCTTCTGCCAGTTGGGGTTTTTTAATCCTGTTATGTTGTATTATTTTGAGTTATTTGATTCTAAGTATTTGAGTGGAGTGCCTGTAAACTAGCTGGATAAGCTAAGTGCACCTTCCACTATAAACAAGCCTTTAAACCATTTTCCTTTCACCTACTGCTAGCAAATAACCTTTCATGACAACCCCCACTGTCATGGAAAGCTTGTTCACAGGCTTAATGTACTTGATTGCATATGACGGTGATTGCCTTAACCCATTCGCTCCTGGAGATTTTGCCGAAAAACGCGTTTTGAAGCTAGTCGAGTGGTTTTCCGGTCACTGTCGTGCTATAAAGAGCTAAAACTTACCACAAACCGGTTTACAGGTCGTACACTTCGTGGCCTTCTGATCCAGATGCAAAATATCAGCTTGCGAAGTTCGGGCATGCGCAGAAAGCAAAATTTCGAGAGAGTTTTTGGGTTTAAAAGTGACACAGCAGTCTTGACTTTTACTTTTCGCTTTCTCTCCTCCCTTCTTTTTTCGCTTTTCTTGCCTCATTTTTTTTTCTCTTGCTGGGCATTTAGTAGGCTTCATTTTGGTGGGAAGAGTTTTTAGGAAAGCTTTTAGGATCTTAGGATTAGGTGAAAGGAAAGGTAGGTGAGCAATGCAACAAGATTTTCATGGAGATTTTCATGTCAATGTCACGTGGTTTTTTGCTTCTTTCTCCGGTGTCCTTGACTGAATTGTGCTCATTCTGGTATGGTTTGAAAGATTTCTTCACTCTGCACAAGTTAGCGAAGAAAGTTGTCCTTGACTGTTAAAACTGATGACGTCACAAAGGGTAGAAAGGACCTGGATCCGCACAGGCGGTTACGGGCGGTTCAGGGGCGAATGGGTTAATATATACCGTGTTTCCCTACACCTGAATGTCAGTGCCCACACTGTCGTAATTAAGTATCCTCCTTTTCATAAGTACAGCCCTGGAATAAGCACCCTTCTTTGACTAATCACCTCTCTTTTTTGCCAAAATTTTCAAGTACAGTACTTGCACCTTTGTTAAGTGGCCCCCTATTTAAGAGGCCACTCTCTACTTACTGGCCAGTTACCAGAGTCCCAAGGAATAAACTTGTCAGTAAATCAGTGAAAACAGAAACTCTAGTAAATGGCCAACTTTTCTTATGAGTACCTTGTTGAAGAAATAATGGTATTTCATTTTTATGTTTCATTAGCATTTGGTTTTTTAAGAGGCTACTGCGCAACTTTCAGTTCTCTGTAGCACAACATTTTGCTCAGTGCCAGACTGTATGATAATGATCTTTTGTGATTCACATGCAATTTAAACAAAAGAAAAATTCAATTTAAGCATGACTTGTGACACACTGCTTGTATGCTAGCGTGCTATTTCTCTCAATGCTCATTGCTTAGTGGATCATTTTAGTGTGCTTACTCATTCACCATTTTATCTAAAATCTTGTAGATAGTTGCATTTCTTGAGAGAGAGAGAGAGAAAAGAGTTAGACTGTGAACATCTCTCTTTCTCTTGAAAATCAGTGTCAGTGTGTGTGATAATGCAAGTGTGCGAGCAGCGACACTGAGAGCAGCAAGTTATGCGGGAGCTTGCAGCTTCACCACTCTCACACTTCCATTATTGCTCTCGCTCTGTCACTGTTTTTTGAGCAACAGAGAGACTGCTCACAGTCAAGAAAAGGGTAGGAGAAAAGCAGAGTTGATACTAATTTTTTTAAGTAGACACTTACCCTATGTCTGAATTTTCTAACTAACTCAACCACTGAGAGACCTGAAAAAGAAGAAAATAAAGTTGAGCCACGTTCATACATACACTAGATATGTCCAGAAAAACCTGCATAAAATAGACCCTACATTGCATGGACAACTTTTCTAGAGTGTCCAAACAGAAGTAAACATTTTCTCCCTTTATTTTTTTCTGCAACAAGGGACCTGTATAAACAGACACCTGAATTAATTGAACATTTGAAGGTCCCGTAGAGTTTACTGCACTTACTTTAACTGGCAGAAAATTGCTCCGCAGCAGACTACAATCAGTAAACACTTCATACTCAAAAGAAGGAAAAATAATGTACAGTGTATGATATACATTTTTTCAACTTACCAACAAATAGCAAAGACTCTTCCATTAGACTTGGTGACAGAGACATGTTTAAATTTTTGTACAGTTCCTTGGGAAAAGAAAGACAAGAGTGGCGTTAATTACTTCATTTGTACTTGTCAGCCCTGTTATTAATGCATGAATTTTTTCTTTGATCCATCTTTAATCTTCTTCCCATAGCGCCTCAAACAAAACTCTAAGGTTAATGTCCCCTGGTGGGGAAAAACTGCTCCCACTGAAAGCATGCAATGAATGTTGTTCAGTTTAAAAAGTCCCACCTCCAGTGGAGAGAATATGAATACCATAAACTGCCCCTTATTTATCTTTATAAGTGGTTTTAGGAGGGCTTATAAATGGAGAGGATTATATCCAAGAGGGCTATTAAAACTAGAATAAAAAAAAGCTCCTCAAAACAAGCCTTAGCAGTGCTGATCAAAATGTGTGTTGTGGTTCAATTTTATCCTTGGTTTAAACTCTATCAGCATGCAAAGAACGTTGTGTCCGATAGCCTAGGGCTAGTGGATTTTGCCATCGGGCTAGTGATTTTTGTACTTGACTTGCCTGATGGCTAAGTGCTGTTTTTTGGGGAATTCAAATTACAGAAGGATTGTAATCAATCCTGCTCATCAAAAAGGGTTTTGGGGCAAGTTAAAATGACTTGTGGGCTAGTACATACTAGCTACAGCTTGCCCGAATGGCAGGCTGTAAAACTGACTTTCTTTGCACCCTGTCTATTTTCCTTTGTTTTTGGGTATGGTAATGTATGATAATGAATAATTAATAAAATTTAAACCAAGGATAAAATTGAACCACAACATAAAATGTTTTGCATCTTTGGGTTTTTAATCGAGCTTCAAAAGGTCATAATAAGCCGAATTAAAGAAAAGGAATCCTAGAGGAAGCTTATATCTGGAGGACCTTATATTATTGGATGTATTTTTTTGTTTACAGGTAGATGGGCCTATTACTAGGGGGCTTGTAACTGGGAGTGCTTACATGTATAAGTTGCAGGGGGCTTCATAGGCAGTAGCTTAAGGTGGTATGTACAAAAAGTTACACTAGTCTGACAATATTAATGTAGGCAATAATAATTATTGATAATAATAATTATTAGAGGTAAATTATTTACCTCTAAAATTCCTGTCCTTGAGAAGTCCTTCTCATCAAAATACACTCTTGTTGCAACTTGAAGCTTTTCTCTTAAATACCCATAAAGTGGCTGTTTTTAACCAAACATAACAATTAACTGAGATTTGAAGCAGTCTAGATTTTTCAGTGGATGTAGTATTACTGGTAGCCTGTGCGCAGATGAAATTAAACTCTGGTTAACTCCGTCTGGAAACAGCGCCGAAATCCTTGTTCTGGACTTCCAGCTGTGTACCCAGATTTGAGTACGCGCCACAATTGGCCAGTTAAAAAAGGCTTTGTTTTGTTTGTCGTGATCGCCAATCAGGTTGAAGGGGAATTCGAAATGCACTTCCGGTAATTCGTTGAGTCCGTTGGGGGCCCAGAACAAAGATCTCTGCGCTGCTTCACAGACGGTACTAATCAGAGTTTAGTTATCGTCTGCACGCAGGCTATATTACTGGAAGCATCTTAAAGTCTATAGAAATTGGCACAAGTACTATTTTATTGTAAAAATAATCTAATTTCAGTGTATTTTAGGTCTACATAGTCATACTAGGCAATACTTTTAGACCAATCCCCTTTTCAGCATGTGAGAAATTGCCTAATTATTAAATAATGAATTATTGATTAACTTTTAAACTGAATCTGCAAGTCTGCCACTACAAGTACCAAAATCAAATCTGCCTTCTTCCACGGATAATGAGCAGCGGGAGTAACTTAATTAAACTGCACCTTCCCACTATTCAGTCAGATTGAAATATCGATAGATACCAATCGCTATGAAGACATTTACCATATAACAAATTTAAGAAGATTAACAGAGCAAGCAGAAATTTTTACTACTTTGTATTTTTGGGTTTATATTATGTTAAGTATAATCAGTACATGCAACAACCTACCAAACAAGACAAAATGCAAACACTTTTCTGAACAGTACTTCTCGTTACATCATCATTCTTGGCTTTCAAATCCTGCAAAGTTTATAAAACTGGTTCAAATTTGGTTAATTGATATGATTGTTTATTTCAAATCGACTACCATAAATCATAGAAGTCTTCAAGTCTTAATGGGCGTTTGGCTGCCCACAACAAGGGGGACTTTGTTTGAAGGTAATCCTCATGCAATTAAGTGTAGGGGAATACAAGGGATTTAGAGGACACATTTTGTAAAGTCCTTACCTTAGTGCCCTCCTTACCCTCTCTGCAGGGAAGCCAGTGACAAGTGTATTAAGTTTAATCATATCCTGGATAACACCCATTTACAGGACAACATAATTTCTAGCCACAGAGCTAGGCAAAATTAATTCTTTTTTGTTTGTGGTTTGGTCACAGTGAAACATAATAGGTTACTTATTGTGGTTAATATGAAGATCATACAAAAAAGGCAAAACCATCTAAGAGGGGAGGAGGCCAGGAATGGGCCACTGGTGAGCACAACACCGCTCCCATCAATAAGGCTCAGGTTTATATCTCAGCATTGACACCATAATTTTTATGTGGATTGAGCTTGTTCTTGGTTCTCTTCTCCATTCAAGGAGTTTTTTCTGTTTCTCTCTGTGTCCCCTAGATGATGATGATGATGATGATGATGATGATGGTGGTGGTAGCACTGGCAATGGTGGTGGTTGTAGTAGTAGTAGTAGTAGTCATAATAAGACATGTATACTTAATTTGAGTGTTAATGTACTAATAAAGGACACTATTTTTATGAAGACCCCCTGAGTATTGGTCTGGCTGTGGAGATCAAACCTGTGACAACCTGCTTTGCAGTCAAGTGCCTTAGTACTAACTAGTCATGCCGAAGTTAACAATAAAAGAAAATCATAACAAACCTTGCTATCAACCTGCTTGTAACAGGAAACCCCAAATACAGTGGATTGTTTGTGAATAGCAGTGCTGCGACTTGGTAAATGAAAAAGAGATGTGTCTGAAAGATAATAGGAAAACAGACTGCTAAGTTTTGCTGACTTCTTTTATTAATAAATAAAACCAAAACATTGCATTGATGCATCCAATAAGATAAATACAGTGCTCTCCCTAAATTTTAGCTCAGTAGGTAAGGGACCATTCATAGTTAGTAAGGCAAAAAATATGCACCAGAGGTGCCCTTTCCTGGAGGCAGCAGGGTAGTGGAGTGCAGGACATGGCCCTGCCCTTGCTGGGAAATTTAGAAGCTAAGTTCTCTGAAACGTCATTCCCTCATTTTAAGACTTATTTTATGCAAATTGGCCATTGTTACCTTTACACTACAATTTCAATTAATGATTTATTCGAGTAATTTTACCCTGTCTTCAATGTTCTCTTTTCAAAATGCTTGGCCCATAAAAAGAAAACCTGTGTACAATGTATACTTTAGTACTTTTCCATATATTCATTTATTTCCTTGTGGCATGTGAAAATCAGATTGGATCACAACTTGTACATTTTTTAAAAGTACGTCTTTAATTTTAGTAAATCTCAGGCTGTTACAGGCTGTAAGAAGTGTGGGTTCAAGCGGTAAATTTTACCAGTTACTGCCTGATAAGAAGAACACTGTAAATATACAGGAATTTTTTCATCAAACCATGTATCTAACAGTGAACTGGATTGGGAAATCCAGATTTTTGGTTAATTCCTGAAAAACCTAAAATATGAAAAAAAGGATTCTGAATCAAAATCTGTTGATTAAAATACATTCAACAAAAAAAAGATCCTTTTAATTCCTCGTTCGCGAAGTCTGTCTTTGGTTTTTGTGTTTGATTGGTAATTCTAATTCTAATTTTTTTAAAATCCAAATCTACACTTGACTCTCAATAACTTGAACCCTCGCCAACTCGAACCAAAATTGATTTCCCCTGGATTTCCGTCATACATTTACTGTACTTTTACCCTCAGTAACTCGAGCCCTCAATAACTTGAACCTTCCGCTAACTCGAAGTAGTTTTGTTTCCCCTCAGTGTCAGATAATTTCTATATAATTTTACCCTTGATAACTCGAACCATGTTTGGAACCCTTAAAAGTTGGGAAAAAACAGTCTACTGGCATCCCAAACATTGAATTTTGAATTTCCCATTGTTATGTTGTAGGTATATAACTTCCCAGAGGCTGATGTTGTTTGTCACAAATCTAACGTGAAACAGCTTTACTTCTCAAAACAGTAAATAGCCTGCGAACAGCAGACGTTTCTCCTTGCTCATCGCCGCTGAGGAACGTTTCGCGAGGAGGAAAGTCTGTGACTCAGCGACAGAAATTCCATACTGATGACGCAAAATTTGTCCGGAATCCGGTCAGAAGCGCTAATTGGTCGACGGAGTAGATTCATTGTTTTAGCTATTGTTTACAAATGACAGACAAAAGACAAAGGGCCGCAAAGGTCAAATGTAAACGCAATGAATCTCTAACAAAACAGTCAATATTTGTGGAATATAGTCTTCTCTAAAAGTAGCATTTGAGTTTTGCTTCAGCTCATTTGCAGATGAACACAACACTTCACCAAATCGACCAGGAGAAACGTAAAATTGAACAAATTTGCATTTGCAACCCCATGACTACCGAATTTATTATGTAAACATTGATTTACGTCATCAGTATGGAATTTCTGTTGCTGAGTCGTAGATGTTCCTCCTCGCGAAACGTCACTCAGCGTGCAGCGGTGATGAGTGAGGAGAAACGTCTGTCATTCGCAGGCTAAACAGTAAAACGCATGCCCTATTTTAGCAAGGTTTGGTTATGTTACGTTCTCATTTATAATCTAGAGGTATCTTTCAATTTTCACTTGACATTTCTACAATTAAATGTGATTAGAATGTTCACCATACAGTAAAAACTGTTTTTTTCCTTACTGCCGGCTATTTTTTTCGAGCTTCCGATCACTCGAACCTTTTTCTGAATTTCCCTTGAAGGTTCGAGTTATCGGGAGTCAACTGTGCAATGGTTATCAATTTTGTTGAAACACTGAATGAAAAATAAGGATTTGTCCTTTTAAACCTGCTCTTGAAACCGACTTATCTGACATTTCCCTGTATGTACTCCATCTCTCCTTCACTGATGTTGATACTCACATCTTTTGCAAAATTATGGGTTATATGTGAATCAACATAATTGGGGACGGTGTGAAGTGTCAAGATTAGTATTTCAACAATATTAATGTGAGGACTACTGACAACTATTGTTGATCTATTAATCCAATACACCCTTGCAAATTTGCTTAATTCTCAATGCAAAAACGAAATGAATAAGGTTCACAAAATAAGGTCTCTTGTCTTAAACAGGGAAGCAAAATGAGCAACTTAAACAGAGCCCAAGGCACATCCCTCCGCCCAAAATTCCCTCGAGTGTCCCCCTCCCTACTCCGGGGACTACAATTACCTTGTTCACAGTTGTGGGCTCCATCCGGCAAAGCCAAAAATGGCAGAAACTGCCATTCACTAGGAAGTAAGGTGCTGTGGGAATTTCCAAGTGGTGGAAATGAAAACTCGACCTACACAAGCGGAATCAAATAAAAAGAATAAAAATAGACGAACAACCCAAAACGGTCGACGGCTTAAATAGCTGTTTAGAGTATTTTTAATGGCCTGAGTGAGTGAGATGAAAATGCTCATTGCTCTTTACAAGACGTACTTTTAAGAACGTCTCATATTTTAAAAAAGTACATTTAATTCAAAATACCATCATGAAAATTGTCTGCCTTTTCTTGCAAATCTAAATGAAGTATTTTAGTAACTCGAAACTTCTATCAGTTGCAAACTTTACAAGTAGCTTCCAGTTCGCTTACTCTTACCTCTGAACCTCGCTTATGATGAAATCCGATTACTATGATATGCAGTATAACTCTTTCAGGATCTTGAGGGTCCATGTTTACATGTCAAATAAATTCCATGGGGTGAATATGCATTGAGGATTTTTCTGTAAAAAGTGTGCAAAGCGGACTTCATGTTCCGCCATTTTGGAATCTAATTGGCGAGGAAGCCTGGGACAAGTCCACCTTACCCTTCTTAGGTCCCAATTCTTTTGCGTTTAGTGCCAGCGGGAAAAAATTTTAGACATGCCGGCAGAACTAACTCTTTTTTGACTTTTACTCAAAAAGCATTGCTTTGCTCATACTCTCAGCCTGTCAATGTTTCAGTTAAAGCAACACATATGCATAAATAGCCTGCAAAACAGGCCTTATGTTTTTCGCGTTTTCAGGTTTCAGGCGAGCGAGGAAAGGCGCGAAGCGCACGCGCAAGGCCTTCCTCCGTCGCGCGTGTCTGGAGCTACCCTTCTTGCTTTGGCGAGATTTCCTTTGCTCGCCTGAAAAACGCGAAAAATAACGCCTGTTATGCAGGCTAGTTCATAAAGAGGGGGGATGAATAGGCGAACGGATCGGCGGATTTTGAAAATGTCTTTGCCCGTCTTTCCCGGATTTCGGATTCAAAGCAAGGGGCGCTTTCCATTTACGAAAAAAAACCGGAAATTTCGGTGGTAGCAAAAGTGGAATTTCCGATTGGTAAAAAGTTGTTCCATTTGGTCGTAAACCCCGGTACGTGGCTGGGTGCCCGACCGTGGACCTGGAACTGGTACAAACTACGAGAAACGTAAATGGAACACGACATTCCGTTCGGAAATTCCAACCGGGAAAACGGGACCACCTTTTTAGATTTTCCACTTTTTCTGGGAATTTTCCAGTGGGACGAACCGACGAAACGTGTTCCATTTACCGCCGAACCGGAAATTCCGGAAATTTTGACTAAATGGAAAGCGCCCAAGATTTTAACGGATTTCCGGATCCTGCAATTGCAGCGAATAGTACAATTGCACGATGACGTCATGTTTCTACAACTACCAGAATCCTTGAGTTTGTTGTTTTCTTATGCCAATTAAGGCTATTGTTCTTTAATCCTCAGCGGGATTGAGAAATTTAAATAACAAAGCAAAACCGAAATGAATTCTGGTAGTTGTAGTCAAATGTCGTCATCGTGCAATTGTCCTATTGCGGATTCATTCATCATTCACTTTTTGGGCCCGGATTTTGGATTTTGCGTGAAACAAAAAAATATTTTTCGCATCTCGGATTCAGGGCGAAATTTTAAAGGAGGATTTGGTTAATAGGCCAGCATTATGTAACGGAAGGAACATAATGGTTTTTATGTTGGGACCAAAGATAAGCTTATCAGTAGATAACAGCCAAGGAGCGGCATTGCGATAAGCAGTTCTCTGGGTGGCCTCTGCGATCTATTACACGGTCTTTTATTTGTCACGTGGAGAGACATCAGCTATGTAAAGGCTGCGACAAGTAAGTTCTTCCCCTTTTTCTGCGAACAAGCTCAGCGAGCACATCTCAGCGAAAGTGAAAGTCTATCGCAACTCATTTTTGTCACCACCCCCCACAACGCCTCCTTGGTTGTTTTCTAATTTTGTTTTTATTTTTGTGCGGGCGTAATTTGCCCCCACCTAATTTTTCCTGAGTTGAAATGTCATAGTGATCTATAATTTCGTTATAACAGTGTGCTATCATGTAATCACAACTTGTTAGTGATTTTTGTCAATTAAACGCCACTTAAGGTGGCTCCGTAATTAATACAAGAGCATTTAGCTGTGACAAATTTTCCGTCATAACTTTTTGGTTTTTAACGCGATGGCTGCGAAACTTTGCAAAGAACAACAGATATCATTAGGCAATAACACGAAATATTCCGATTTCATTGATGGTAAATATTTCTCGAGAAATTAGCGCTTAAAAGGACCCTACTGTTCAAAGAAAATCGCGTCCAATAAAAAATTTTGCTGATATTTTTTACTGAAATTTCTGGTATCGGCTTTAATTGATATAATAAATATGCCAGAGGAATTTCAGAAAAATCGTTGGAGCAGAAGTCCGAAACTAAAAGTCGCTCAAAATTCAGCTGTGAAATTGTTTTGGAATTTCAAAAATAAATTACCATCAGCGAGAAGGAGCCACCAGTTTGAATTTTCGTGACAAGTAAATTCAGTGTTTGCTAATTCTGAAAACAGAAGCCGATTGCCTATCGTGCTATTCTTTAAAAGGTACTTTTCAGTTTTAGAAGCACTATAAATTGCTCCAAAACTTTGCTCTGACGTCGAATGACTTGTTGTCCTTGTTCCTCGACATTTTTAAAATATCCCTTGGCAGTTTTGGTTCAAACTCCTGCTGCACACATTTTGATGTATTGCAATGCATCCTCAACGGCTTTTCCTGCTGTACGTTGTTTCCAATTCAGGAAAAAGGTATTGGGATTGTAAGCTACCTTGTATCAAAGCTCAGATAGAACTGTCAAGCACCTTTGTTTATGACCAGAAAATGAGCACGAGCGGCACTTCTGCGAGGAATTCGCACCTCAGCTAGGGGGGACGAATGACAATGATGCCCATGTCTGTGAACCGATCTGTATAAACATGTATTGCAGAGCAAAACATAATAATCAAGAAAAAAATACCCATTCATTGAGGGAAGGAGTGACAAAAATTCCAGAGTTGTAAATTTATTCACGGGCAGTATTTTTGCGATAATTTTATTTTGGACTGTGATGTTATTCGGTTCACAGGCATGGTCATCGATGTCGTTCGTCCCCCCTGTGTGAGGTGCGAATTCCACGCAGAACTGCCGCTCGTGCTCATTTTGTAGCCATAAACAAAGGTGCTGGACAGTTCTGCCTGAGCTCTGGTACGAGGTAGCGTCCAATCTCAATACTTTTTTCCTGAGTTGGAAGCAACGAACAGCAGTAAAAGTCGTTGAAAATGCATTGCAATACATCAAAATGTATGCAGCAGGAGTTTGAACCAAAACTGCCATGGGATATTTTAAAAATGTCGAGGAACAAGGACAACAAGTCATTCGACGTGAGAGCAAAGTTTTGGAGCAATTTATAGTGCTTCTAAAACTGAAAAGTACCTTTTAAAGAATAGCACGATAGGCAATCGGCTTCTGTTTTCAGAATTAGCAAACACTGAATTTACTTGTCACGAAAATTCAAACTGGTGGCTCCTTCTCGCTGATGGTAATTTATTTTTGAAATTCCAAAACAATTTCACAGCTGAATTTTGAGCGACTTTTAGTTTCGGACTTCTGCTCCAACGATTTTTCTGAAATTCCTCTGGCATATTTATTATATCAATTAAAGCCGATACCAGAAATTTCAGTAAAAAATATCAGCAAAATTTTTTACTGGACGCGATTTTCTTTGAACAGTAGGGTCCTTTTAAGCGCTAATGTCTCAAGAAATATTTACCATCAATGAAATCGGAATATTTCGTGTTATTGCCGAATGATATCTGTTGTTCTTTGCAAAGTTTCGCAGCCATCGCGTTAAAAACCAAAAAGTTATGACGGAAAATTTGTCACAGCTAAATGCTCTTGTATTAATTACGGAGCCACCTTAAGTGGCCATTAAAATCCAGCACGATCTCTGTATTTAAATGACAGTAAGCGAAGGCCGTCGCATGCACACAAAATCCCTACGACGTATTATTAACCTGTTGAAAGGGCGTCCCAATATAAAAACCATAACGGATCGGCAGATTTGCATACCCCTATTCACCCCCCTCATAAAGGGTATGGCTTTTGAACCAAGGTCAAAAAGGGACAGATTTTTACTGTTGCTACCTAAATGTGGACTCGATAGCCTAAAAACTGTATTTTGCGCCTTTTGCGCATGAAAACACTCAATTCAGTACCACTTCAGAACACAGCGACAACCGGTTCTCAAATGAAGTTTAGCCTTTTAAGAATCTAGCTTATAAAAGTCAGGGCTTTATGAAATGGTTGAGATACACAAACAATACATTCAGGTGTTTTATATTTATATTTGTAACATATTATCTTGAGAGCGGATGAAAAATTAATTAATTGATTAATTAAAGCAAAGTATGTTTGACTCAGGGGCATAGCTGGGGGGGGTGTCCTGGGGTGCCCATGACCCCCCCTTGGTAGCCTTCTTTTGAGCAAACGACCTACAATATTCAGGTAGCAAAAACGCCATGACAATATCTTGGCCGTAGAAGCCATTGTTGAAAAGCCCACTTTTTTAAAATGTTTTTTGGTAAAGTATTTTCGTCAACGGCTCTTGGAGGTCAACATGACAATCTGGTGAGTAGCCTCTGTGAACCCCCCTTTGAGAAGTCCTGGCTACGCCCCTGTGACTTCTGTGTCAAAGAAAATTAGACTACAAGTAGTCCCCCATTTTTCCTCAAGGATACTAGAGGGAGCAAGCGAAACACAAAGGGGACTACTCGTAGTCTAAAGAAAATGAGATCATAAAATATAATGTAATATTATTATACAATTCCCCTTATGTAACTTGAGGTAACAGTTAACCAATTTGATACTTAAATTTGTTAAGACTCCATGTTGTCTTGTCTAGATGAGTCTCCTCCCCTAACGGAATCAACCCAGGTTTAGGAGAAACATAGACAAAACAAGCTGTTATAATAGACTGTTCCTCAGGTGTTCAGAAAAAGCCACTAGTGATGCAAAATGGAGAGACATCCAAAGCCCAATGGAGTTTTTTTTCAGGCTCACTTTTCTTTGCCCTGTCCACACTACCTGATTGCCTGGGACAGAGTAATTTCTTGTTCCTTTGGAAAACTTGGTACTGAACACATAGATTACTACTTAAAAGAAACATATTAGCATAGACAACTTAGAAGAAATGCTTTTTATTTAATTGATTCATTTAACTTTTCTTCTCAGCATGTTACCATGTTACTACAAAACTTTTTCTTTAGGCCTTTAACTTTATTTGTCATCTAAGAGTAGGGGGGGGGGGGGCTCACGACATGTTGTTACATGGGTGGTGACATAAAAGTTAAAAAGTGATTAAATCTTAGAACTCAACAAGAAACTGCATGATTGTATTCCTTGCCACTGTATTTATTTGTTAGTGGATTACTTCTCTTAGTACAAAATTATTGGATAAAAACTCGTTTTTTCGAATGGCTTTTGGAGAAGAGACTACTTATCATCGCCTGCCTTTTCTTCTTCATCTTGCTTACCCACTTTTGAAAAAGGGCAGCCTGAACTGGAGGCAGGGCTCTTTCTTTTAGTACCTGCTGGCAGTACATCCTCAGCAGGTTCTACAAGTGGCTTTCCCTCACTTTCGACGTCTTTAAATGGACACCCTTCATTCTGTAGCACTGGACACTCATCAGCCTTCTCATTGCCGACACTGTGAATAACTTTCATGGCCTGAACTACAGCTTCTTTGTGGTGGCCGTCTTTGTCACTGCTTGGCATCTGCGATAGTTTGCTGTGGATTTCTTCCACTGATTTTGTATCCTTGAAGGCACAACCATCTTTAAACTCAGGGCATTTTTTGATTTCTTCCAGTAGGGCTTCATTATCAACCTTGGCAAATGGACATCCTTCTTTAAAAGCAGGGCACTTCTCCTTCAACTTACTGATGTCAGCGGCAGTCAGATTTTCCAGGACATCACTAGGCGGCTCTATCAGAGGCTTCCCTTCTTTGCTGGCATCCTTAAATGGGCAGCCTTCCTTTGTTTGGAAAACAGGGCACTCTCCAACTTTTTCTTCCAAGCTTTTTGACTCAGAATGGATAGCCTTTAGCGTGTTTAGTAATTGCTCATGTGCTGAGCCTGTGTGGTGCTTTGATTCTGGCATCTTAGAAAGTTCCTCCAGCACCTCCTTCACGTTGTCAGCACCTTTGAAGGGGCAACCCTTTTGGAACTCGGGGCACTTTTTCAGTTCCTCCAAGAAGAGATCTTGTGCAATCTTGGAATAAGGGCAGCCCTCCTTAAATGCTGGGCAGTGGTCCTTAACAGACTCTTTGTCATAGTCATGCTAAAGAACAAAGTAAGATAAGAGAATCAAGGAAAGTTCTAAGTACTCCGTCTTAAAAAATGTCTGCTTTTCATGCTTTGCTTAAAATTAGTTCCTTTTAAAAGCAATAAAAAATTGGAAATTGTTTGAAAATAACCGTCAATTTCAACACTAAGAAATCTGTCCTTAGATTTTCTGTCCATTGGTTACAAGAACAATTTTGCCACTCTGGTTACAGATAAATATTTTGCCAAAACAAGACATCCGAATTTGGATTTCTTAATCATAGTAGGTAGGGGAGACTGATTATGACAGGTGACAAACATCAAAGATCGAAAAGAGCAGTGCTGCAGCTTATGTTGGAAGCTTCCTGAGTCCACAATCCTTAGTTTTCTGTTCACAAGTTGTGACTGAATATAAAATAAAATAATTTTTGTAAGTCAATAAAATCAAAATTATAGGAATACTATTGAATGTTGTGCACTTTCAGGCCCCCCAAAACATAATATTATGTGTGACAAGTGAGTCTGAGAGGCTTCACCACCATTCAACTCTATTTACTGTCTTAATATTATTGCCATCTACCTAGAGGATGGATTTCTCAGTATGGAAATCTGTTTTTGGATTTTGGGTTTTATAACAAAATCTGCATTCTGGATTTCAAATTCTAAATACAGATTTCCTAGTGAAATGCACTCCAGTAAAGTTTTATAGAGAGCTCAAGTAAGGACGTTTTTGAGCCATGCGCATTAACTGCAAGTGGACATTTTGCATTCTTTGGCAGCGACTTTGTACCAGTTTTCGGGCAAATTGTCTGTAAAGTAAGTAAAGACACTTAGCAAAACAAATTTGGTAGCATCAAGGCATATTGAAGGGAAAAACATCTCACTTCCGGTTTATATGGGAATTCAGTTTCCCCCTAGTGCTTTCCTTTACCTACTATGCTTTTATATATAGTATTTTTTATGATGATGATTGTTATTATTACTTGTATTATATTTTTGTATAATGGTAAAAAGCATTATTAAACTTAACCTTAAACTACGTGCCTCGTCCAAAAACACCTTTGTTTGAGATCCCTACTATGTGACGACTTCCGCTGAATCACGTGTCAAGCTGAAATTTCTGTTTCGCTAAAAATATTTCATGTACTAACAACAACTGCAAGTCAAAAGGTTTAAAACCATGCCACTGTGTTAATTTAACCTGTAGTGTTAAACGGTTTGAAAAGATTCAATATTAACAGCTGCATTTACGGCGATAAAAGCTCTCCATAAAATCATCAAAACGAATGTTTTATTGAAAGTCAATGGCCAATATCGAACGATATTGCACGGATCGATGTATTAAAGATACGAACGGACAATAAAATATTTTCAGTAAACTTTGTTTATCTATCCTGGACTCTAAAAAAATGAAAGATTATCAACCTTAAAGCGAATTCGTAAGGTTCTACAGTATTTGATTCTTTGGGCTGGGGCTTCGTGAAAATAGCGGTTATGAAAACAATAGACTTCCAGCTCGAGTTGAATATAGCCTTCTACACGAAACGGCACACGTACAAAAAAACTCAATGATCTTTTACCAAGTAACATTCTTGTCGAAAATCTACAAAAATACTTTGCTAAAATACGAGAAAAATTACTGTACGTACCTCAGACTGTTCAGTTCCCGCCATCTCAGTGAAATAACGCTGGCTGAATCAATCAATCAAACCGCAAATGGCACTAAGAATGTGTGACATGTCATGTTTGACGTCATATGCACAGCGGGTATACGTCACGATTGTCACGATAATGCACCAGTCATTTGAAACCCCCGCTTCCGCCATTGGGGGATACCCGGGGCAAACCAGGGGTTTTCACCTCGTTTTCAACTCGATTGGGTTCCCCAGTGAAACAGGCCTGCGCTACTCCTTTGCTCGTGTTTTAGCCGTTATCACAGTTTTGCTCTAAGAAGTGTATATCCTGTAAAGACCCCCCTTTCCTGTATGATGGTAATGGCGGCTCCTCAAATATCTCTTTAAGTAATGGTTGGTTTGTAATCAAATGCCATTTGCTCATAAGAATTTGTTTCAAGTTAGGCACTGATGGTTGAAATTGCGTTACAAAAGGCAAGATACGTTTGTTTTCTTTACGCTTGTTGAACGGCTTTTTTCCTGTCCTCAAAATTCACTTTAGCCTGCTTGGCAGGCTTTTGAAAGGGAGGGGGAAGGGAATTAGGGCGCGAGACCGCGCGCAAGGGAAATATGTCTTCATTGTCTTTATCTAATAACTCTGCAAGTGTGGAAATGTGGAAATCTGGAAATGTGTTTTAGTTGTTTTAATCTAATAACTCTGGAAGTGTGCAAATCTGAAATGTGGAAATCAGGAAAGTGTCTGGGATGCCTGCTGGAGGGGGGTACTTGGGATAATTTTTGCTGGGTATGAGTCGCTGGCCTCTGAGAGCCCCTACCCCATTATAGTCTATTCTGTGGCCAATTATAGACCCCACCTTAGTCACTTTTGGGCAAATCAGTAATTCTCGGGATCCCAACTATATGGTCACTTTATATTTTTATGAATTGATCCATTTTTTAGATTGAATGAAGAACACTTGACTTTCCATCTACAGTGCAAACATTCTGGTAGGTTTGCTAACCGTACATATGAAAAACTACCCTGCGAGCAGAGTCCCCTTCGATCTTCCTAGATCGCAGGGTAATGAAAAATTGTCTTACCCCAAAGAATCCGAAAACGTGCGACCCCATTCTAGTAACTCTATTGAAAATACGACCCCATTATAGTCATTCCCGTCGTGAAAATGCGACCCGATCCAGCGGCAAATCCCCAATAGCCTCTTGTAAGGAAGTACCCCCTCCCCCTGGCTGGGATTACTGAGACACTCCCATATGAAAGGGGCGGGAATGCAAAAGTGCCCTCCGTTGGGGGTATGGATACCGTAAAATTCCGAAAATAAGCCCCGGGGCTTGTATTTTTCAAAGGCCCTTTTTGAGGGGCTTATATACGGAGGGATATTTGCGTTTCAAAATCAATTGGGCTAGCCTTATAGTTGGAAGTAAATGTACCGTTTTAGCTTTGTTTTACTTTGTATTTGAGGGCAATTTTCCAAGTACAAGCCCCCGGCGGGTTTATATTTGGAGGGGCGATTTAACGGAGGGTTTTTTTGCGTTACCGGTTTGGGGGGCTTATATTTGGAGGGGCTTATACACGGAGGGGCCTATTTTCGGATTAAATTAACTGCAAAAACCGTGGACGAAGATCCTGCTAGTTGTAAACGTTGGATTTACGGTATTTCTGGAACTTTGCCATACAAAGTCACATATTTTCAACGGTCACCCGTAAAGCGACACTGTCGCGTCCAGTACAAAGGAAGCCTTGTCTCCTCCTCTCCCCTAGACCCTTTGGAAGGCCTGATACTCAGGCTAGCACAAAGGTCACGCGTCACCTATGGTATGTAAATTACTTTACATCCTTTCCTCGTAGGCCGCCTCTGGCTGAAGGAGGTTTATACTTTGCTGTTTGCTCGATTTGTACATCTCTGATAGTGAAACGCCAAAGCTGATAATTGTTTCCGCTGCTATAATTTGTAACAAGGGAAAATGCTTAGCGTCAAATTAGTTTATGCAACACTGAATTTGCTTGCCGGTTTCATGGTAAGTATTGCTTGATATTTCTAGTACATTCTTGTTTTTCCTTAATGGTCTTCCGGAATTGTTACTGACATCACTGACGACTGAGATAAAAACTTTACCGCCCTGTATAAAAGTGATACCGGAAGTCTTAATCACAATTCTACAACAAGCATAGGTTGTTCTTTCAAAACGGGACGAATCAAATTTCGCTGGATTCAGCCCGAGGGGGGGGGTAATAATTTTTGCGTTTGCGCCCTAATCTGATAATGTAACGTATAGATTTCAGAGGTCTGGTCTGAAAACAGGTGTGGATAATTACATTTTTTGGACTGAAATCCGGTCAGGATTTGAAGCCCGGGCGGCACACCCCCACCAAGATATTCCTAGGAGTAACCCCCCGGGAATTCCGCTTATTTAGGAAACAAATAATACGATAGTTGGTTTTGCAGTCACTTGTAGATTGTATTTTCAAATTACAGCTTACCTATCATGATTTATTACGTCTCAGCAATCTGAAATGTTTGGTTTTAAGAAAGACGATTTTTCTCAGAAAGCGATTACTAAAGCGTGACGTTTCCGAGAACTGATTAAAGCAGTCACGCACTATCAGCTCGAGGAAGTAGAAAGCTCTGATGAAAGAGACATGGGGAAAGCGAAGGACTGGGCCCCGCTTGCATCTCATGAATCTCAGTAAACTTTAAAATAAGTATGCGTGGTCGCTTAACAAATGGCGAGCGGTGTTTTAGCTTGTTGGATGAGTAGAAAACAAATTTAACGTTTTTTAAAAAAAGATATTGTCGTTTAACAAGTCGCTACTTTAATTGAACGGAATCGATCCCACCCATTTTTGTTCTCGTTCAAAAAAACGTTTAACATGTTGAATGGCCTATTACAGCATTCAACATGGCACGATACGCGCGCTTGGTTGCAACATTTGTTGGTCAAAAAATGACCTTTTCCACATATTCAGGGGTGTTATAATTAAAACGACCGTTCCTTGCACTAATCTGCTGACTTTAATATTGTTTAAACTGTGTTGAAAAAAAAAAAAAATCTGGGAAAATGGAACACCGCAGATGCACTAAGCATCTTTTCTCACAGTTCTCTTTCACATCTTTTCGTCTGTGTGATCAATCGCTTTTTGTTCTAGGTTCTTAGTGAGATGAGCAGTCAGGTATGTGATAAACTATCGGAAAGGCCATGGCAAAAATACGATACATCGTCTGTACCAAAGATTCCAGGCATTTATGCCATAGGTGAAAAAAAAGTTGGAAGCAAGAAAATTGAATACATGTATGTTGGAAGATCAGAGGATATGAAAAGAAGATTACAGCAGCATAAAGGTCCAACCCCGCAACAAGACATAGACCAGCGAGTCGCTAGAAAATTTAAACAGCAGAAGGAATCTGAGCTCAGGATAAAGTATGTTTCCGAAAAGCAGCAGAAAACAAAAGAAGGTGCGTATATTGACTGTCTGACGAAGAAGACTGGACACCGTCCTGTGATGAACAAGCGCTCTGGTGACGGTTGCGCGTCCTGTGCAGTGGGCCACAAACAAAGTACCAGAAACAAAGTTCAGAAGACTGGTTCTAAGATGAAATCACCCAGCAAAACATCTACCATTAGACCAGTAACCAGTAGATCTAAAGTGGGAACCTCTGGCCCTACAGCACGGTCATCCAGTGGCTCTAAAGTGCGATCTTCATTCAGAGTGTCTTCTGCTCGATCTTCGAGTGGGTCCAGAGTGGGGTCCTCTGGTGGTACTAAAGTGCGATCAGGAGTCAGAGCTTCACCTAGGTCATTTGGTGGGAGGAGAGGGAGATAGGCGTTTTCTGATAGGCCATGCTTTATAGATGTTCGCAGTAGCCGCTTAATTAGCCTCTGATGTTAGCTTACCTTATTATAGGAAATTAACGCTCCATGAAATTAAGGTATTCTTGGAAATTACAGCGACTTAAATTAACACCAATTTAATGGCAAACTTCGAGAGAAGGAAATTAACGCGAAAAAGACGGTAAAATTTCAAAATGAGGGAAATTATATTAACGTGACGTTCACAAAGAAGCAAAGCTTGTTGAGACAACAGGAAAAACGTTTAAACGCGGTATAAATGGTTTTTCCCCTCCGTACGAAGAAAAAAATCTGGCCACTTTGAGGGTTCCACCTACACTTACAATGGCAGGTCTCCACCCTGATAAAATACTCCTCTTTCTTGGGTATAAAAAATATCTGAATTGCATGGAAAATTTTTGGTAAAGATAATGGAAATTGAAGTCGCAGAAACTAACGCTACACTTAATAAACGGCGCAAAAATTAACGTTTACAGAAATTAACGCGACTAAAATAAACGCGAATTGTTGACTTTCACGATAATTTCATGAAGCGTTAACCTATAGTAAGGTATTCATTTGGGTTATAAGTTGAATCAGGAAACATTATTAACCTGTTATGACTGTCTTAATACTTAGCCTGGGACCAGCCTCTGCAGTGGAGGAAAAAAACCAAAAAGCGGGGTCAAATGGGAAAAACATTGGCGAGCGGTTGCCCGAGCGGTGCCACCCTTTCCCCTCCTCGGAATACTTCTCGGTTCGCTTCGCTCGCCGATTTTTTTCTCCTTCTCCCCCAATGCGGAGCCTGGTCCCAGGCCACTTAATACTAGATTGCCGCAATATCTCGCACTTGTCACTAAATGGAGAAACATTCTCATTTATTTGTTGATGTTTTGCAGATAAATACAGCCTTCTTGACAGGTATTCGAAATTTAGGGTAAAAATAAGGCGAACTAACGCAACAGTAGGTGGTGTTCAAATTTTGAGCTTTGGGCTACCTGAGCACTAAGTTGCTGCCGATATCTCTTGGATCTGTGACGTGGTAGATTGTAGTCTAAAAGGAAAATTAGGTTTACCCAGCTAGCACTGCAAGTTATAATCCGGCCTGTGATCCCAGAACCACATAAAGGAGCTTCAATTAAAACAAAACGAAAACACACTACATGGAGTTTTTCTGTGATCAGTACTAATTCGCTCTTTGCTGAACTGAACAATTAACAATTCTTTGAAATCGAGGTGAATAGTGGCTAAATATTTACCGAGCCGCTAAAGCAGCGAGGTAAATATTCCCAAAGCCACTATTCACCGAGATTGAAAAGAATAATGGTTTTAGTATATACACAGGAAGTGATCTCAACAAAATCAGAGAAAAAACCATTAAAAAGTACGATTTGATTGACAGATCAAATCACGCTTAAGTTTAAAAATAGATCTTTGCAGAATTTTCAAACATGGCAATTCACAAGTTTATCATTTCGCAAACAACAGCGTAATGGCTTAACTGGAACCGCTAAAAGTTTGAACTGTTTCCTTACCTGAGAAGAAAAGTAGAGCTTTGTTGTTCAATTTCTGTTGACTCGCCAAGTTTATAGCCAAAAGGGTTTGTTGTGTCGTTCTTCGCATGAAGTGCTGACAAAAATGGCGGCTCGGTTGCTCAAGGTAGGACGTCGTCTTCCTGTATCATTCTTTTTCCTGTTTATTTGAAACGTAGAATTTCTGCAAACATTTCCTTTTAAATTTGTTTGTCATAAATAAACTTCGATTTTTGAGCCCAAATTTTCTTCTTAGAAAACGCTGAGTTTTTCACGAAACGGCTTCTTCTACACGAATACACAGGAGTTGTAAACAATCCATCGAGCACAAAACTCAGCTACAGTAAATTGAAAAACGCCGTATTGAATCCTTCCAAGTCTTTTCTTGCCTTAAAAAAAGTCAGCCCTAGGATTTTGTCGACTTTTAAAAGATCGTTCTCTAAAAATATGGGAAAAACACCGAGCTGAATATAGCCTTCTGCACGAGACGGCACAAGAACCAAAAAATCAATGATCTTTTACCAAGTAACATTCTTGTCGAAAATCTATAAAAATACTTTTCTAAAATACGAGAAAAATAACTGTACGTACCTCAGACTGTTCAGTTTCCGCCATCTCAGTGAAATAACGCGGGCTGAATTAATCAATCAAACCGCAAATGGGACTAAGAACGTGTGACATGTCATGTTTGACGTCATATGCACAGCGGGTATACGTCACGATTGTCACGATAATGCACATGCACATTTCAAGGCGGAAAAACGTAATGAGCATGCGTGAACTTTTTTGCCCAGATCCCCTGGCCGGGTTTGAAAAAATGGCGGGATTTCAAATATTTTATTGCCTAAAAATAAGATGTTTCCACTCATAACCTGGAAAGAACAGGCAATTTGTCTTCAAAAGTTGCAAGCTGTGGTTATAACCTTGTCGTTACTTAATTTTCTCGAAGAATACCTCATAGTAAAACGGACTTTAACGACATCAATTTCCTTGCGTTGTACTGGAAATGTGCATGCGTAGGTCCGATTTTTTTCAAGATGCATTCACAAAATGTGTTCATATAAGGAAGTTCCTGGATATATAAGGTCCGGAGCTCCACCGTGGACACAAAAACAACATATCTTTGGACAGTGATTTGCCCCAAAAAATTATCGCTTGCCCACAATGTGTTTGAAGGCACTGAACTTGTCGCACTCGAGCTGATATTTTAAAACCCTCGCTCGATCGGACACTCGTAGTTTCGCAGATAACTAAAATATAAACAAAATGCTCAATGTAGAAGTTATTGCGTTGATATGCGGGCAGAAAAAAGGTCAATCTTCATCTAGTAAAATCTTCCCAAAAATCGGTTTTAAAGCAACCATAGTTTATTTTTAAACTTGATCGTTTCGCGATTGAATATAAATTATGCTTTGTGTTGTCAAGTTGAAAATACATAACATCTGTCAAAAACCTACACGTAAGTAGGATTTCCTTCAAACAAAGTTAAAATTACATTACTGCAAAAACTTCTTGCTGACAATGAAGAAATGAATTTTTTGTACGAAAACAACCAACCTAAAGATCTTAAAAGCAAAAGATCAGTTGCAGTGAGCTTCGCAGCTAAACCATGATTCACCATGTAGCTCTTCTCCTCGCTTTAAAAACTCAGTGAATAACTGGTCCATGTGAGGGTCTTCATTCAAACAAATTAAACTCAGCCAATCGTTACAAAATTCAGAAAACTGCACATAAGGGTATTTGTTTTGCTCGCTTCAGACAAATCCAGCTCCAGCAATTCAGTGTTACGGGCAGAGTCAATTGTTTTGAAGTGACTGCCGGCAGTTGTCCTCTACTTCACAGCGAGTGAAATGGAAAATTTGCGTACAGAAAGTTATTTCTTATAAAGAACAGAAACTTTCACAGTGCAGTGGAAAACAAAACTATGTAATTAAAAGTGAAGAAAACTCTGACTACTTATGGTATTTGAGCAACAGAAAAATGATTCTTTTCTTCTAGAGTAAGTTTACTGGCCTTCTACCGGTATTTCCGAGAAAGTTTTACGGCGCACAAAATGGTTCTTTGACTGAAGAGAAGGATAAAGCTGGTTCTACAAAGGGAATAAATCTGGGCATGTGAAAAAGTATTTACTAATTTAAAAAAAGAGTGGGTTTTAATTCAGTCCGGCGAAAGAAGGCGAAATCAACTCACAAATAAATCGAATGAACAATCAAAAAAATACTCGCCTCTTTGGAAATGTTCAAAACTCTTTATTCCACCTCAGACTGACGGAATGATCCGTTTTTCCTTTAACATTGGTTGTTCCGAGTCCAAAGTAATTTTCAAGTGGCGAAAAACAAAAACCACACAAAAGTAAAAAGTCTTTTCGAGGAGCAAACGTTCACACCTTGTGCATTTCATTCAGTCTTAGTCAGAACTCTCTCAGTGACAAACAAACAAACTGTACAGTCAACACACTTCAACACACAGAAAAGCCCGCCTTGAGCCTGCGATAAAGGATGCGCAGAAGCTTGCGCAGAACGTTTTTCCGCCCTGAACATGCACATGGACATGCATACGGGTCCCAAGCCCCTCCCAGTCCCCCCACAACCGTTCGCAGAGCCTTTGTTCTCCGTGCTCCTACTCCTTCCAAGACTGTTTGGCCTGGAGAATTCCTGGAAGTACAGCTCCCAGACGACGCTCCCGTTGGTTTAGAGTATGCACTTGAGCCCCGTACCGACGCACCTAGTTTATACGTAATCTCAAGCCCTCTCAGCTGTGGCCGCAACCCGGTGTCGTTTCCAGTGTTGTGCGGGCAATCCACATACCAAACCTGTCAACCGAACCGCGAACGCTTAAGCGTTACGAACACTTCTGCCAGGTCACCCCTGTCTTCGAACCAAAAGAAGAGTCACCGACAAGTCAGTCTCCTACTCAGCGTCCGTTACCACCCTCTCATGTTAGTCACTCCACATCCGTCCACGTAGACCCAGGCCGCATTCTCCCTGAGGCTGTCAGAGCCGACTTCCAATCTCTGCTCAGTGAGTACCATTCCGTATTTGACCCTCAGTTCCCAGGTTACAATGGATCCGCAGGCTCTTACCAAGCAAAGGTCAACTAGGCCCCGTCGAGCCCCCACAGTGAAAAGGCCGCCTCCCCCAATATGCCGGCGATAAGCTCGTAGAACTCCAAGAGAAGTTTGACCACCTAGAGCAGCTTGGTGTCTTCCAGCGCCCTGAAGATTTTACCCTGGGTATCAGAGGTTTTTCTCGCGTGCGGCGAAGCCGCGAGAGAAACCTCTGGCACGGAGCGGTGCTTTTTACCGTCCCCGTTGACCTTTGAGCTTTTTTATCGGATTATATTTACGCCAATCAGATTGAAAGTCTCCAACTGTGATCATGTGGGTGGGCACTTAAAGAAATGTCCAAAGACCCACATTATCCTCAGCAAAACAAGTTCGAGTTTAAAATTCATTGCTTTAAGAGCAATCATGACTGGGTCACATCGCAGTTCTCCATAGTTGATGTAGCTTCAGTTTAATCTGAAGATCCATTCTTCGAAATTTGGATCTGAAAATCACTATCCGTGAGAATTTAACATCCTGCTAAAAACGCTAACGAGCTGGGCCCAGCGTGACAAAACATTGCAGAAAACCGTCACTTTCACGGACAAAAAAAAGATAGCTTATAATTATTCAGATCCAGGAGGCACTTTGGAGAAATTAAACAACCTAAAAGCCTTATTTAGCCGCATTGAAGAGCTTAACATTTCAAAGAGGTCAAAGAAAATGCTCTTGCATCAGAGGGCAAATCATATGCCGACCAGACACAATAACCACAGAAAATCAATATGTGTGTCACGACCTCTCAGTATGAAATGATCGGCAAAAATCAAATTTTTTCAGTCAAAACGCTTTTCTCCAGAGCATAATCTGCCCATCACGGAAAAAAATTCATTGGAACAAGCAGCATTTTGGCATGAGGTAAGAGTCGTGAGTCGCCTTCTGACCCCCTTTTATACTAAAAATACATGTTTTGTTTTTATATTCCTAATCCATGTTGTAATCGTTTGAAATAGGAAATTAGTAAAGCTTAACCGTATTGCTACAAAAGCTGAATTGGTGATTTAATGTTAATTGCGTTGAATAAAATTAAATATTCTTGTCAACTAATTGTAGCGTCTGATAGATTCAAAGTCCCTCAGGCGGTCGTTAGGAGCCAATCAGCCGTCGTATCCAAAATCTTGACGAACTGATTTAACCGTGCTAACGATTGGATCGGCGCCATCAAAGCAATAGCGCTCTGCTCCAGAGGCTTTTCGCGCGGGTCACCATAAAGACTTGACAGAAACCGGAAACCGCGCTAGAAAAGTCTCTGGCACCCAGGGTATGAAGATGTTGTAGAATACCTGAACCCTTCTTTCCTTGTAAAGAAGCCGAACGGCGGTTCTCGTCTTGTCACTGCCTTCGCTGACTTAGGCCGGTACAGTAAACCCCAACCATCCTTGCTGCCTGACGTTGACTCCACCCTGCGTCGCATCGCCCAGTGGTCTCATATCATCGTCACAGACCTGACAAGTGCCTTTTACCAAATACCTCTGGCTAAAGAGTCCATGAAGTATTGCGGCGTTGCCAATCCGTTTAAAGGGGTACGAGTCTACGTTCGTTCCGTTATGGGTATGCCCGGATCGGAAACTTCCCTTAAAGAGGTTATGTGCCGCGTCCTAGGCCCACTACTACAAGGCGGATCCGAGGCCAAAATCGCTGATAATCTGTACTGCGGCGGCAACACACCCCAAGAGCTACTCCACAACTGGAAGAGGGTCAAGACTATCATCAGTCCCAAGACTACCACTATTCTCGGCTGGATCTGGAATGCTAGCTCCCTTTCCGCCAGTCCCACCGTCTTAACACCCTCGCCACGTAGCTCGAGCCGAACCCTGTCGCTCGCTTGAGATCCTTCATTGGCGCTTACAAAGTACTTTCCCGTGTCATTCCAAGGCGCTCAAGTTACCTCACTCCACTGGATGCTGTAACAGCCGGTCGTCCTTCTCAGGAATCCATTAACTGGACCGATGATCTAAGGGCCCCATTCCGTAGTGCTCAGAACGCCCTTTCCTCTGCACTCACCATCACGTTACCCAGACCCGAGGACCAGCTATGGATTGTAACTGATGGAGCAGTCCGGGACCCTGGAATAGGTGCCACCCTCTATGTAACGCGCGGAGACAAGGTACATGTCTCTGGCTTCTTCAGCGCCAAGTTGTGGGGCTCCCGAACAACGTGGCTTCCATGCGAGGTCGAAGTCCTCTCCACTGCGGCTGCAACGAAGCACGTATCTTATTCAGTCCGTTAAAAAGGCCTGCATTCCTACTGACAGTAAGCCTTGCGTTCAAGCTTATGAGAAACTCTGCCGTGGGGAGTTCTCTGCCAGCCCTCGCGTATCCACTTTCTTGTCTGTTGTGAGTCGCTACCAAGCTTCATTCAGGCACGTCTCCGGTGCTGCTATCCTCCCGTCAGACTTCGCAAGCAGAAACGCCGCCGCCTGTGAAAACGAGACCTGTCAGGTGTGCTCCTTCATTTCTCGAACCAGGGACTCTGTTGTCCGAGCCGTGTCTGGTCAAGATATCCTCCAAGGCAATGTTCGCCTTTCCTTTCCTTTGCCAGCCGGCCCGCCTGGGTTGCTGTTCAGTCTGAGTGCCCAGATCTACGCCGCACCCACGCTCACCTCGTCCAGGGTACGAGACCTTCCAAAAAACTCACAAACATAAAGGACGTCAAACGTTAATTACAAGTTGGGTCAGTTGCAGATCATGGCCTCCTAGTTGTGCGCGTCATGAACCCTTGTCACCGTCAAGATAGTGCATCATTGTCCCACGCCAAGCTTTGGACGGCTTTTTGACCGCTCTTCACATACAACTCAGCCACCCGTCCTGTCATTAGTTGAAAATGGTCATCAAACGCTATCTATACGCTCTCGATCTGGACAAGGCTGTCTCTCGTGTCTCTGATGGGTGCCACTCCTTTGCAGCAATCCGAAGCTCTCCAACCGCACGTATTGACCAGTCCACTTCCCCACCACCCAATTGAGCTTGGCCAGGCCAAAAATCCCAACAAGAACCCCGTAGCTGAGAGAGCAGGCCAGGAGTTGGAAACGGAACTTCTCCGTCAGGAGCCTTTAGGCGGAGCCGTTTCTCCCCTCACTCTCGCTGTAGCCACTTCTGCCTTGAACTCTCGTATCCGTTCACGTGGCCTATCCTCGCGAGAAATGTGGACACAGCGAGACCAGTTTTCAAACCAGCAGTTACCCCTTGCCTACGACCAGTTAATTGCCCTCCAGCACGAGCAGCGTCTATCCAACCACCACCACAGTGAGCGCTCCAAAGCCCCCTTGCACAAAAGGCGTCCTACTCCTTTAATTGATGTTGGTGACCTAGTGTACCTTCATTCCGATTGGAACAAGTCTCGAGCCCGCGACCGCTACCTTGTTGTAGCCGTAGATCCACCATTCTGTGATATCAAAAAGTTCATTGGATCCCAATTGCGTAGCTCATCTTACCGCGTCAAACTTACTGAGTGCTTCAAGGTACCTTCCGACTTGGCTGATCCCTTACATGCTCCTCGCCCGTGTCGCAGTCACGACTCGGATGACGAAGACGATCCTGATACCACACCTCACTCTCCACCTTCGCTGCCTGACATCCCTGATGCTATCTCTGCCTCAGCCCAGCATCTATCTAACTCTCCTCGCTGTGTTACACCACCTGCTCCTGTCTTTCCTGCCGACCGCATCATGGACGACACAGCTGCCCAACCATCTTGCCCTGAGGACCCCTCTTTGGAGAAGGCAGTCGTTTCAGCAGACCCTGACCCTCCTAGCCTGCGGAGATCATCTCGCACCAGACGTCGTCCCGCGCGTTTTGAAGATTATGTTACTGAACTATAGCCTTTGTTACTAAACTGTGACGTTTAAGTCAGTTTCAGAGTTTAAGTAGTTCTTTTAAGTACTTCCCACTATGTTTTTGGTTTCAGTTCTCTCGCTTAAACGTTATGTATATTCAGCTTAGTTAAAAAAAGGGAAAAAAAGTCACGCTAGTACCGGTCAGCGGTATTATGAATTAGCATGCGTTATCTGTTGTTCGTAGCCGAGCGTCCGCCATAATGTTACTGTTACTCGGCTGCTAGTTGTATCCCAGTTTGATTAAAGCCTTACAAGAATTGGTCGTGCCTTGGTTCTTGCCTTATCTTCTTAACTAGCGCTTACTCTTGCGTGCTGGATGACTATGCCCCCACGGGTCAGCTCACCCATGCCAACATACGACGATATCCAATGTCGGGAAACAATGCCTGCACGTATCTAACAACGCCGTCTAAATCTTCGTCGGAAATGGTGGAATACGGTAATAGGTTTGCCAAAACGTACTCACGAATCCTACGAGCCACAGTACTTAGCGAAACGCGTAACATGTCTGCTACCTCTCTTGTTGAAAATCGTTCTCTGAGAAAATATACCAGTTGTTCTCTACTGATCTGGTAAGAAGGTCTTCCTCTTCCACGGCCACCAGAGATTAGTAAAGCTGCTCTGTAACCTGTTTCCTTACTTTCCACTCGTTGTGAACAAAAAGTTAATTTTTCGTAGGCGAACATGATGCAGTTCAGAACACTCGAATCTAAAACATTGGCGGTTACAAGTCTCGCTACCTGTCGTGCTAGCTGTTCGCCACGAAAACACAGTGCATCTAATGTTTCATGCTCCACGTTGTTCGCATGAACCTCCCGCTGCACATCGTGTATCATTTCTTCTATCCTTGTTATCAACATCTGTCGAAGCTCACCACATGCGTCCGCCATGTTTGTTTACGAAGAACAAATCACGTGATTCGTTTTGGCGGAAAATAAGTCCGCATTGCATGCTTTCTTAATGTCAAGACGAACATCATAATGTCAAGACCACCATCTTTTTAAAAAGGCGTTTGTTTTGTTCATATGCAGCTATTTCGAAAAAGGTTGTCGGAAAAAGTGCACGCGACAATCCCGAAAGGGATTGTGGGTGGTTTTGAGTTCACTGTTCTTCGAAGAAACTTGAAAGAATGGCACGAGAGACCATGGACACACGTTTGCAAGTGCTAAAGGAAAGCAACAAAAGTAGGTTCGACAGCTACAGTGTCAGGAACAGTGTATTGACCATATCCCATATTGCCTTTCCGGATTGTCGCGCGCACATTCTTTCCGACAACCTTTCTCGAAATAGCTGTATATTATACATATGAACCTTATAATGTCAAGACGAGCATCATAATGTTAGACGACCGTTCAATTTTTTAAAAAGACGATTGTTTTGTTCATATGTAATATACATATCAACATCATAATGTCAAGAAGAATTCCAAGACAAACGTCTTAATGTCATGACGTAATCTGTAATGTCACGTTTAAGCTCCACATGCCAACGCATTAATGTCACGACAGACATTTTAATACCAGTATAAAATTCAAAACATTAAGACAAACATAATTTTGACACTGATAACGCGCCATATTTTTCTTAATGTACGTAGAGTTGAATGTGAGTATCAGTGCCCGCTAAATTTTTGCACTACTTTCAGCATATAATTATAGTGGTCATTAAACTGCTTGTGTGGTCATTGAACTACTGGCGTGGTAATATTGAACTGTTTGGTGGTCATTGAACTGATTGTCTCTTCTGAATTGTGCACACAAAACACACAAAAAAAAAGGAAAAAAAAAAAAAGAAAGGATTCTAGTTCCCTAAAGACGAGACCCTGCTAAAAGGAGAATGTTGTAAGTCATTCTCATGGTTTATTATCAAGAGGTCTGAAATTGTTTTTGAAGATTGATTCGATACCATTAATGAAGATTAATGAAGAAAATACGGAACATCCACTACCTCCTATTAAAGTACTTATATGGGTTAATTGAATTCGGTGCGGCAATTACAGTAAACCGGGGCCCGCTAAATTGACCAATCACAGCGCGAGCACGACTAAGAAAATGGCTCAACTATACTGAAAAACAATGATTCTCCAGGAATATTAAAGTGTAGACCACAAAAGGTAAGTATTGTGCAAGGAAATAGTTTTCCATGCATATTGTACACGTCGAAGACATCTAGTGCAGGTCATAGGCTTTATTGATGTTATCTGATTCACAGCAAATAGAACCCAGCTCACATTTAACACTGTTGTTTGTATCTAACCTTTGTTTACAAATTTCCATCTTTATAACTGGTAAAAGGCAAAATCCTTTTGCATGTGAAAAAGCCTTCTCTGGTAAACATGTTTGTGGCAGATCGTAGGAAGCTGTTGTATTTGTATCCCTGTGGCAAAGAAAACCGAAAGGACGCGTCCATGTCCTCACACTTTATCTGGAAAAACCAAATGACCAAAAAAAAAAAAGACACTGCCGAGTTAAAACACAGTTTTATTCCAGTTTTACCTAATACCTCAAAATCCTTGAATCTATTCCTGTTGGGCAGGTAACTGTTCTTGTGATCATCTGGAATGCCGTGTTTTAGCTCTTACGACTCTATTTGCTTTTTTTAAAATAGATCTAGACAGGCCTCTTTTTTGTTTTGGTCTGGTTATGAGGTAGCTAGGGGACGTAATTCTGTAAGCATGACTAGTAAACCTGTATTTTTCTCTTTAAAAGCCGAACTGTGCTTCCTTGACAAACATGTTTGCCTGAGATTTGCACGTCATTTAAACTACAAGCGTATTAAATTATATTTCTCAAAGGTACAACTCTACAACAATATATTCATGCAGTTTTTTTTTATGTAAATGACGTTACTTGACCGAAGCATTTTTATTAATTTTAATGTTTTTTTTGGGTTTTTGGTTCCAGTGCAAGACTGAAAAGCTGCAAAGCTAAAATGTAAGAGCAAAATGGCTCAGGTCAAACCAAGTTTACGGTGGCACCGGTCAGGCCCAAACAGTGCCACATTATTAATATCGTATTCTGGTTTTCCCAGACCCATGAAAAACTTGATAAATGTTTCCTTAAATTATATACTATATCCTATACCAGCTTAGCGCTTGAATTTATACTGCAATGAAATATAGATTATTGCAGATTAAAAGTGCTGTTTATTTGTCGCGCTAGAACCTTATAAAATGTGTTGTCAAGCCCAACGATCGTAGCATGAAAAAAAAAATGATGTTCTTATCTTATTTTATTTTAATTACATCAGTAAGTTAAACTTTGCTTCACCCGTCTTTTGAATTAAACTGTGTTTCCTTGCAAACTCAATTGTTTGGAAGTTCTTTGTTATTTAAAACTTCCAAAATCATAAACAACTACAACACTCAAGGCTACAATCCTACAACGGGTGTTTATGATTTCTATTGGCATGCATAATGAAACAACTGATTGTTTCTGATTATAAATAGTGTACGTCTTTTCACGTATTTTAGTCGTTCCTTTCTGTTCCTCCGAGTATGTGCTTTTCTGTTTTACTTTTTGTCGACAGTTTTTTATCCCATTAAAATGCCTAAACAGGAAAAAAAAAAAAAAACTTTTACAGTTTCCGAGTCGAAATGCGAATCTCACCAGGGAAACCTAACGGGAAAAAAAAGAAACAAAAAAACACTTCCTTGAGGTAAGCACAACGATTTCAGTTCAATATCCAGTTAAAATAAGATTACTACTAGTGAAAAGGAATTCTGGAGAATAAAAGGAATTAATCTAGGGTCTATTGTCGGTCCATTGAACGTTGGATACAAGTTTTCGACTCTAGTTTGAGAAGTCCTAAACGAAAGACCCCGACAAATTTTCCTTAAGCAAAAGACGTTAGTGAATCAACTTATGCATTTGAAAAATTATAAATTCAGTTGTAAACAAGTTAAGCTAAGAAAGTGGGTACTTAAAAGGTGATCGGTTTGGAAAATTCACTAAAATTTCCACCACGGCATTACCACTTTGTTTGATCATGACATTTCGATCGGAGAAGAAAAACTCAGTTTTGAGAGAATGAAAGATCTCTGCTCATATGTTTCCACTTAGCTTAAGTTAGGAAGGTAAAGAAAATAACTTTAAAGTGAACTTTTAGTGAATAGCTGAAATTAAAAATAAAAATAAAAATAGAATAGCAGTTGGACCGATCTACTCCATCTGAGAGATTCCAGAAAATTTAAGATGAAATATCACACTTGGTTTGAGACGGACAGGCATTATATTGTCATTGCCGCATTGTGCGAACCTAACGTGATTTGTCCTCTTCTATGAGATACGTTCTGCTGGAAAATTCTCGAATTAAGATTCAGGTGTTTCGAGTGTCGTTTTGTAGAACAGGACTACACTTAAGTCTGTAAGTCTCAAATCTTATGTATCTACACTCATCTCACTAAGCTTAAAACCTCCTAATTTCATTTGAACTGGTCAACGAAAACTATTAGTACAGTCCAACCTGTATGTGCGACCACATTTCGCAAGCGACCAGCTCCCATAAACGACCACTTATCCGAAACACCAAAATTTTCCCGTTCACAGCCTTTTAGTTGGAATTTTTCGTAATCGAACGAAATCACTTTTTAGCATGACAGTTTAAGAATTTTCCACTGTTCTTAACCTGTTTAAGCAACTGCTACTTGGTACAATGGTCTGATCTTTGTGTTCCCTGTATGTATAGTACTGCGCTACTCAGAATATGAGCAGAAGTTTTAGAGAAAAAAAACAACATGGATTTACATATACTGTAACCTTAAAATGCAGTGCAATGTATTCTTTCAAAAACTTAGATGTATCCGAACTTCTCAGTCCTGTCAAAAGACCTCCTTTGACTCTCATAACTGACCACATCATGGAAGCGGCTACTTATTCTTCGCAATTTAGGGGGCCACTTTCGGGAGGTTAGATTGTGTAGGTTAATTAGAGTTAGTTAAGACCCCTTACCATTGTCAATAAATTATACTGTTAAATATCTTGTACAACTTGGATAATTTGTAACTTAGAACCAAGGTTGCTGTCAGTAAGAGGAAATAATCCCTACTCATAACATTTACTGACTCAAACGAGGGAATGATTTCAATCCTTATACTACTACATTAGAAATTTCTGCAATTTGATGGGCTTAGAGCAGTGGTATTTCAGCTTAATGTGAAATACCTACATGTGAAAATTACAAACCTTTTGCGGGTAGTAGTATGAACAAATAATAGCATTATTTGAACGTGCTATTTAGCATGAATACCACTTGTGATATTTCAAAATTGTTTCAAATTTCACTCGCCTAACGGCTCGTGAAATTTCGTATAACAATTTCGAAATATCACTCGTGGTATTTATGCCAAATATCACTATACAAATCATGCTATTACCTATACTAATTCATGATTCTATACCTTACTTTACCTAACGCTAGATAATCTATTTTCATCCTTCTTTATGGAGAAAGAAGACGTAGTGGAACTTCATTTTTAACTCGTCAGACACGTTTATATACTTAGGGTCGGTTATTCAGTAAACGGAGTCTAATTTAGGCCGCGCCTTAGCAAAGCTTTGTCCCTCCAAGCAGATATCTTCCTCTGTGGGTTATTTTAAGAGAATAAGTGCTTTTCCAGTACACACCTCATGATCATGCTTTCATGAAACCTTTCACGATAAAAAGTGTTAAGAAAAAAGCGTTGAGCAAACTGAAAATTGATGAGAACACGGTTTTACACCAGCTAAACTCCGTTTAAATAACTGGCCCTAATTAGAGTTTGGTTTCGTAAGTTTCTCTTGGAGGCTGATGAATAACCACCTCTACAATTGTCTGAACGCCCTGTTCAATGCTTTCCTCGTCAGTTGTTGTGTCCTCTTTTTCACTTTCTTCATCATGATCTTCAAGAGTAACATCAAATGCCCCACTCTCCCCTAAAGTACTAGCACAGATCACCTTTGCAGTTGTCAAAACGCCCTGTTCAATGGTTTTCTCGTCAGTTGTTGTGTCCTCTTGTTCACGTTCTGCATTGTGATCTTCAAGAGTAACATCAAATGCCCCACTCTCCCTTAAAGCACTAGCACAGATCACCTTTGCAACTGTCAAAACGCCCTGTTCAATGGTTTTCTCGTCAGTTGTTGCCTCCTGTTCTCGTTCTGCACTATGGTCTTCAAGAGTAACATCAACTGCCCCACTCTCCCTCAAAGTACTTGCGATGGTTGGCAACTCGATGTCACCAGTTTGCAGTTGCTGATTTAGTATGTTTTTCCCTGTTAATCCGCGTATCTCTCCTTGTAGTTGATTAAGTGGCAATAGCAAGGCCAGGCAGCAGGAGAATGACCACTTTGGATGCTTGCGCCATTCTTTTACAAAGTGGTAAAGATACACCAGATATTGCACTGAAACAAAATAAACACTCGCTCAAATTAAAACTTGGCCTTTATAGATTCAATTTATATTAACCTTTCATCACAGAGGAAAGACCTGAAGGCGGCTACTTGCACGAGCACAGTACAATGGTGATAATGATTAAAAAAAACTATCTGTTTTCACAAAAAGCCTGGAAAGAACTGATTTAACAATTAAAGGTAAAATACCCGAAGTGCTAAAGAAGTAAAATAATATTGCAGAATGTTTTGAAACAAAGTTTGAAGGTACCTTACTATGTTTTTAAACCTTTAAGTCCCAATAGTGACCAACATCAATTTTCTCATAACGATAGACATTCATTGTCAAGAGATTAGGTTATGAGAATTAATAAAATGATCAGCTAAGAGAAAATGTTTGATCTTTTATCAAATTCTCTGAACTCATTCTTTAAGGAAATATATAGAGATCCGTTTGGAGAATTTGTATGTGGATATTGGGACTTAAAGGGTTAAGCCTTTCTCGGATCATATCACGGTACGGTACTATCACCATCAGAGTGTCTTTTTTTAAATTTCTCCTGTTTACCTTTCATTTGTTCTTCATTTGCAGTGCCACAAAGGCAGTAAGTATATACAGGGGATTACTACAATATTATCATCTAACTGGTGATAAAAAGGTATATCACGTGGAAAAAATCGTTTAGCATTTTCTAATTCAAGTGAAGCGTTCATGGTAATACATTAAAAAAAAAAATAGAAAACTTCATAATTTAGAAATAAACTCAGAGGTCATTACATTATTTTATTTCAAAAGTACCGAGATTGACTCTAAACAAAGCAAAAACAACCTGACTGGTCAAACGGTTTTTCTCACAAGTGAAAAATGTTGTATGAACAATTACGCGCCGCATACGAAAAAAATTCTCAAAACGACAAAGATGGTATCGGTTATTCCGCTTTTTAGAGCGTACATACATACACACATACATACATACAACTTTAAGAGCGTGTCTCCGTAAAAACCGACCAGTGATTTCGGATCAAAAAATTAATTTCCCTTATATTCTGGGATATTAAAGCCTTCATCTTAGTAGTTACAAAAATACATTTCGTTTGACCGAAAGTGATAAATATATTTTTTTACGAATTTTTGAATTTTCGGACGATTAGCGCTGGCGTCATAGCCTTTGAAACTGCAAAAATCGCTAATATTGACCGCGCCCTAGAAAACGAACAACTCGCTCAAAAAGCCTGATTTTCTTTTCCGTATACAGATACACCTATTTGCAATAAGGTTGTCATAGAAAAAAGCAAAAAGCAAAAAGCAAAAGGCAAAAAGCCAAATAGGAATTAATTAGCATTTAATTATCATTGCTTGCAACATTCCCAACACACACGCTTATAGCTGAATATTAATCACGTAACATGAGAGAAATCATTTGCATCAGTTTCTCGGTGTCATTCTAATGCAATTCGAGGCTGATTCATCTAGCGGATTTCAAACGTGCTCTAATTACAAACGTACATCGGATAACTACTAAAGAAAAAATGGCTCCATTTTTTTTCAATAAATATAGCCTAGGGTAAATTCCAGGAACGCGACGCGTCTTTTTGTTTAATGCTAAATAGAAAAGCCAGTCTGCGTATGGTTTGTAGTGCACCACACCATCAGATCACAATTTTCAAGCAACAAATCAGGGGCGTACGCAGGACTTTCCATCGCGGAGATGGTGAGGCGTTCCTCAGCCAGTCCCTCTCCCGCGCCACAAACTAAGCTTCGTTTGTCAGGACCCTTTTGTTACACACATCAGTGTTTCATCTGCGGAATCTTACAGCGCGGAATTACAGAATTATTTCTTGTCATTGTGACTGACTTCTTAAATAATTGTTATATTATCAAAATACGCAAATGTAAATCACATGGCTATTTAATTAATTCCTATTTGGCTTTTTGCTTTTTGCTTTTTGCTTTTTTCTATGACAACGTTATTGCAATTAGGTGTACACCACTGTAGATTTCCTAGCCATATCACAGTTCCGAATTATTTGTTTATTTCAACGGCAATGATTTTTTCCCCAGCACGTGTTTTCGGCTCTCCATCAAAACACGAAAGTAGCTCAACTTTGAGGGTAATTTTAAAAAGTGTGGCACCTGTCTGAACTTCGCTATCTGTATGAATACAATCTAGGAATGATAGTAAAACACAAAAAGGAATAACATTTTTGTGCTCTCCACGTTTTCAGAAGAGACCGCCGTTTGAATTTCCAGAAATTTCGTAAACTTGATAAGTAACGAACACTCGCCTTGTCGATCTGCTTGTCAAGGTCCAACTTCATTTGATGGCGTGATATATCTTATCCAAGTTCTTTCACATTTTAAGGTTATTTCTCAATCATCTGAAACTATATTGGCCGTTGATTCCATGTCCTTTGTCCGTTTAAAGAAGTTATCTGGTTTATAAAATGGCAGCCATCCGCGAGCGTGACTGGTTCGTGACACCGTCCTGAAAGGTCTTTTGCTAAAATTAGTTGGGTGCAATCTTGTTCATTGAGATTATACTCTTCAAGACATCGCAGTGAAATTTGTAGGGCAAATAAAACACGTTCCTTTGCAAATACGACGCGATGAGTCGCTGACAAAGCGTTTTAACCAAGTCTTCTGACAAACTTGAAAAATGCGTGACTCTGTATTTCATCCCCAGTTCTCCTGCATTGGGTGATGACCTGAACAAATACTAGCTCGTTCACTTGTTTATTAACTTCTTAGGTTGTAATGTCCCTCTTGGTTTTTGTGGAGGATATTTTTGCTCCTGAAGTAGCCGCTTTAACTCTAAAAACATCGAATTTTTTGTTTAAAACCTGTCCTTCAACGGCATCTTTTATCTAGTTTGTATAAAAGTAATAGAGAGCGTCATCAGTTGCGAGCGTGACACGGTTGTTTCGTAACATTTTCTGTAAAGTTCGATGTAATTAACATTGAATCGCCATACTTCGATACATTTTCTTCTTCAGCTTAACGTAAACGCACTGACAAAAATGGTTCAACACATTTCAGCTAAGAGAATTGAGAAACCACCACGCTACCACAGTTTCCACGTCCTTCCCAGGACCCCACGCTGCGCGGAAATTCATTGAACTGGACCCTGGCATTCACATTCCGTGCTGTTCTCATATCCTTTTCAACCTGAACAGGGTCCGCCTTGCGGCCAGTTCGCTCACCAATTTCAAACTTGGCTGTAAGATATTCTTTAACCTCACGAGAAAACCGGATGGAACCTGCGTGGGCCTTGCTTAGTGCCCATCCCATCTGCAGGGTTTCTACGTCAGTTGATGATTCGGACGCCAACATAAATGGTGTAGATTTTTTCACAGCCACATCCACTGATGTAAATTTTGTTGCCCAGTCCTTTCTGATCTTGTTTACTCAAGTCTGGGCTTAGAGAAGATAATGTCACAGTTTTTCAAATTTCAATGACCATGAAAGTCAGAGTCCGGGTAGTTAGTTAATCAATTGTGGCTCTGAAAAAATTTGAAGGAAAAAAAACTACGAATTTTTAAGAAAATGCTGTTTTCGTGAGAAGGCTCTTAAGAGCGACTGCACAGAAAAATCGAGCAAACCGTGGCCACGGCTCAAAACCTAACCTACCCTCATTTTAAGTCTGTAACAAGGTTTTAATGAGTTTATAACACTGCTGAGGTTTAAATTTCAAAATGCGGCCGAATTTGGGAATTATTTGAGATTTTCGATTTCAACGGTTTGCGGGCCTAAAATTAGCCGCCGAACACGGCAATATAGCCTAGCGACAGAGATGAGCTGACTTTCATAAACGAGCGAATATATTGGCAATCTTCCACTTAAACAGTCAAAAAACAGATATTAAAAATTTCTAAACAACACATTTTTTTAGATTTAGAGAATAAAATATCGACGAACGAGCACAATTTTGAAACGTAATTTGCATAATGCTTATAAATACAACAATTTACCGCTAAAACCAAAATCGAATTTCCCATATGGGGGAATTCTCCAAATCACCCCAAATCCCGCTTACTACCCAATGAGATATAGTACTTCAACATTATCTGAAAGTTAGTCTGGTGTTCTTGCGAACGCTTGTAAAATAGATTGATTATTTTGAGGTTATTTTGCCCCAAACAACCGCTAATTGACCCCAGGGTCAATTGACACGTGCACGTCACCTTAGTTTTATGCATCGATTTGAGCTCGTTAAAAGGGAGAAACTAACAAGATTCTTTTAATATGTACCTGTGTTAATGAAATACACGCAATCTTCAAAAGGAGAGGCCGTTCAATGGGTAGTTTCTGTTCTTGAGATCTTGTAGGTTGTACCATGGCGTCTGCGAGTGGACCTGAGTCTAGGTCTGTTTTCCCGTAACTGCGAAATCAGAATAACATTATGAAATAATTCTCGCTCGAATCTTCGTAAGTGAATCAGCTTTGCAGTGCCTTACCTGAGATAAAAAGTGGGCCGAATAGGAAAACATTCTAGCGCAATTTGGATCCTTTGCAGCAAGTAGTGTATTTGCTAAGCGGCGATGGTATCGATGACTTTTAATTAGTTACTCACCTCCGATTGCGTGACCAGGCAATTATCGATTGTCTCCTGCGAAAAAGAAGTGCACGGGAAACCAAAGCTTTCGGGATACAGTAAATTCATTTTCCTGTATGACCAGGTGTCCTTTTGTCCTATTTTAAAAGCGGTTAACTAAGATGATTAGCAAACATACTGTCCCACTTTTAAAAATGGTACAGTTAAATTTCTGTAATTTGTTGTTAAATGCAATTCTGCAAACAACTAAGTATTTAATTTTGCGTAAAAGCTACATGAAATTGTACTGTTTAGCCGTAAATCATTAAAAAGAGAAAGCATCATGCTTTCTCTTTTCAAGTCTAGTAGGACTTAAGCAATGGCATTGCTTAAGTCCTAGTAGTTGTTCTCCATGTCTGCTAAGGTGGAAATAGTTTGCTCTTTTCAAGAAATTGTTCTTGCCCATTGCGGTTTCAAACCAAGGATAGCAGCAAGTCTGTCGTGGTCATATACTGCTACTTCAGTGCAAACGAAGCATAGGCGCACAAGTCAGCACTTGCGTTTAGTCAGGTGCCGAAAATGAAGTGGAAACTTAACCCCAAGGGCGTCCATGTTCGCTCCGGCTCGAAAAGGTACAATCAGTTGTGCAGTAAAAAGTAATGCGAAAAACCTGCGGGAGCTGGGGAAAGAAAGGTGTCTTATTTTTCTTTGGCTTGTTCTATTTTCGCGACGTGGTACAGGCTACCAAATACTGACAAGCTCAGTATATGTCTTCACCACCGAGAGTCACTTGCCCTTAGCCGGACACGCCCCTCACGTATCATGTTTCGTTCCTAAAGTTATTTCAAAGCACAGAACCAAACCTAATCATCGGCGGAAGGCAGAAAGGGGGATGAGCAAACGGATGTCACAGCATATTTTGCAAGAATCTGGTATCCTTGTGCCTATCGGCTCAGGAACGATTGATTACTACTAGAATTAATATCAGGGTCAGAATTTGAGTGCTACAATGGAAGGGAAGGAAGAAAAGGAAACCGCCGCGCACACCTGTTAAGTCTTTTATAAACTTTCTTGTCCTGACGGTTTCAAAGAAGGGCGTCGTGGCTGCTATTTAATTTACAGTGTCTGTTGCAGGTGTCGAATTAATCTTACAGCAACTGGAAACGTGGCCACGCCTGCTGAAACTGAGATTGCTTGTATAGGATGAATGGCTATAGTTTGGTATATTCACGAGCGCGTTTTGTCCAGTGGACTGAGTGCGTAGTTTTTCTTAACGAAGGGATGGGGTGGGTCAAGTGAGTAGTTCGGGGAACGTTTGCTCTCTTTAGGGGGGGTGGGGGTATATTTGTTGATATCAGGAGTTCTGGCCCGGATAGAGTCGTTGTAAAGCTATTTTTGCTTCTGAGTATCGGTTTACCGGACGCTGAGCAAGGAAAAGTCAATGGTGCATTTATGGAATAATAATAGAGATTCTCATGGTCTAACAGTGCGAAGATTAGACTTCTGGTAAGGTGGCAACGATCAAGGGCCGCATTATAATTCATGATAATTGAAGGTCATAATGTGGAAAAAGCGACTGAAATGATGGATGCCATGCAATCCTCTCGGGTGCGGGCGGCGTACCTGGCCTTAACGGTTGCCCCTGCGACAGAAGGCAAGCATGCCCAGATTGTCCACGGGTTGCTAAATGAGATCGTCCCTTTCTTAGTACCCGTTCCCTGTCTTATAATTAGACCCGGGCAAATTTCTCGATATTGCACTATCATTTTGGGCTTAAAGCTTCCAAAGTCAAACAATAATAGCGCATGTTCGCGACGGTTTTTTAAGTCAGTCAAGTTCTTAAATCAGGCCTTAAACGGCCAGTTTTAAGTGTCGATATCAGTTAAAAAGGCATACAAGCCTCATGCAAAAAAGACAGTGAGAAGGAAGTGCACATCGGTGATGGGGAAAAAGGAGTAGCCCACAGTTATTTAGGGGTGGATCTTTCGAAACATTCTTACACTCTTGGACAGATATGCGTTGTTTAAAGTTTTAGACAAACCAGGTGTAAATTTATAGTAACAAACTGTTAAATATACATCAGCAAGATTTTTGCGAATCCTATTTTTCGCTGGAGACTATCGTTTACTGGCTGGTCACGCAATACTCACCTTTCGCTCAGCAATACACTGCGTTCCACAAAGGATTCAAATTGCGCTAGAAATGTTTTGCTGTTCGGGCCACTTTTTATCTCAGGTAAGGTACTGCAAAGCTGATTCACTTACGAAGATTCGAGGGAGAATTATTTCTTTACGTTATTCTGATTTCGCAGTCACGGGAAAACAGACCTAGACTCAGGTCCACTCGCAGACGCCATGCTGCAATCTACAAGATCTCAAGAACAGAAATTACCCATTGAACGGCCTCTCCTTTTGAAGATTGCGTGCATTTCATTAAAACAGGTACATATTAAAAGAATCTTGTTAGTTTCTCCCTTTTAACGAGCTCAAATCGATGCATAAAACTAAGGTGACGTGCACGTGTCAATTGACCCTGGGGTCAATTAGCGGTTGTTTGGGGCAAAATAACCTCAAAATAATCAATCTATTTTACAAGCGTTCGCAAGAACACCAGACTAACTTTCAGATAATGTTGAAGTACTATATCTCATTGGGTAGTAAGCGGGATTTGGGGTGATTTGGAGAATTCCCCCATATAGAAAATTCGATTTTGGTTTTAGCGGTAAATTGTTATATTTATAAGCATTATGCAAATTACGTTTCAAAATTCTGCTGGTTCGTCGATATTTTATTCTCTAAATCTAAAAAATGTGCCGTTCAGAAATTCTTAGATATCTGCTTTTTGAGATTTAAGTGGAAGATTGCCAATATATTCGCTCGTTTATGAAAGACAGCTCATCTCTGTCGCTAGGCTATATTGCCGTGTTCGGCGGCTAATTTTAGGCTCGCAGACCGTTGAAATCGAAAATATCAAATAATTCCCAAACTCGGCCGCATTTTGAAATTTAAACCTCAGCAGTGTTATAAACTCATTAAAACCTTATTACAGACTGAAAATGAGGGTAAGTTTCGTTTTGAGCTGTGGCCACGATTTTCCGATTTTGCTCGATTTTTCTGTGCATTCGCTCTTAAACGCTGACAAACGTCAACAAATAGCGAAAACTATAATTTCTATATGTTTGCTTTGCTCGAAATCGCGCGCATTTACAAGGCCCTAAAGCTCTTTGCTGACTTGCAAGGACCCATCTGTTATAACGATGCCCAAAATAAAGGGATGAATCTCATAGTTTATTAGATATAATCGTGTAAAGTTTGCTTATCATTTTCGCATAAATTATGACCTAAATTTGGAAACCACTGTATTTCTCGAATTGGGTCTTTGCGATTTTGGTTGGGCAAGGCACTAATGCGCACTATGTGTAGCCGAGAAATTTTCACGAAAAAATACCGGCAACAGCAGATTTTTGACTCAGACCTCAAAGGGGCGTGGCATTATAACCACATGACATTTACTCCGATCGCCAAAAATTTTATGTTATATTGTAGATTGATCTATACGTTATACATTCTATGTGTTAGACTTACGATAAAAGTAAAGGTGGGGATACCAGAGAGCTTCAAAGTAGGATGGTACCCCCCCAAAAAAACCGGGTCGAGTCACCTTAAACACACCTTGTCTCTTCATATTCCCCTAATTTCTCACTCTCAGTGTTTTCCCCCAGCCAACGTTTATTTTCCTCATATTTTTGTCTTTGCTTCTTGACACAAGTAGTGCAAATTGCTGTGCATTAAAAAGTATCACAATGATGAATTTAACTTTTAGTCAAAGTCGATTCGTAGCGTAAAACTTATTTTTAGAACCAACACTGAATTGATAATTGACAACTGGCAAAATAAACTCAAAACAGTTTTTAATCTCGCGGTTGAGGTGTCGGAAAAATAGTTTTCAGGATATAGCATATAGCAGGGTTAAAAAATGTTTCAAATACAAAATCCCCGATACTCACAAAATAGGGTTTTTAAAGAAGGGGAACATTGCCAAGTGTTTCGCATAATTTCGTGGGTCACGTGCATGTAAGCTACTTTACCGAAATTATCTCTTACTTTGAAAAATACAACGCTATGAATCAGCGTAAAAAATAGACAGTCCTGTAAAGACATTCTAAGCACCTTTTAAATCTCGCAAAAATCCAGGAATACTTGTGTATTTTTGAACGTCTGTGTTGTAACAAATATACTTGTCCTAATTATACTAACGCGCTTGACCAAACAATGTAAAACAAGAATGTTCATTTCATACTTGTTATTTACTCAATCCAAGATTTCTACACTTACATCGTGGCACTGTTGCCAAAAAATATAACTGGTTATGATATAAATAGCCGGAAAAATAAACACCTTATGGAACGATTCCCTTTCAAGGTTTTACAACAACGTTGAATGGTTATTCCCTCGACCTTCTCTTTTAGTCTTTATTTATAATTAGATTTAAAGTTTGTTACACAATTCGGAATACTTGACCATGACATTTACCTTGGTTTTAAGAGTTCTTTTATTCTATTGAAAGTTAAAAAGTAAAGGCGCCTTACATACGTCGGTACTTCGAAATGATCATTTCATCATCATCTGAAAGACAAACCTTTTTAAACGCCCTCTTCATCAGTACTCCGTTTTACGGGTATTTAAGCTACTTGAAGCTACACGGAAAGAATTTCTCACACCTTGCCATGGACATCAATCTCAAGACCTCTCACACAGAAGACTCCAAGGGCTACGCAATAACCAACTGTGTCAATCGTTGCTCCTCAAAAAAGGGAAAACGTAAAAAATTGTGTAGTAGAATGCTTACCTGACCCAATGGGAATTGTGATTCCAAAAATTGCGTGAATATTCTTGGACATCTCCATGATTATTTTTTAGCTTTTTCCTTGCTCCTGAATGAAGAGGATATCGACATGTCCTCAAAGGACGCCAGTTGCGACCCAAATTATGTCTGTGTTTTGGACACACGAACATTTCTTCTTGCCGGTGTTTTGGCACATCGAATAGCCCCGCCCTGACTAGAATCAGTTCGTACTCCATCATTCCAGATAGTTTTGAAAGATGGCATGTCTTCAAGTGGATCGTTATATCTTCCTGGCATTCTTGCAACCTACATACTGTATCCGAACCTCGAAAACCTCCACAACTAGATTTTCCGAAGCCCGAGAAAGAACACTTCACTGTACCAGTAGCCATGTTACCCCTTGTTTGATTTGTGTCCAGTCCAGAAGGACTGGGGATGAAATACAAAAAGTCACGCAAATTTCAACTTTAATCTGAACTGGGTTAAATCGCCTTGTTAGCGACTCATCGCGTTTTATTTGCAAAGAAAAGTGTTTTATTTGCTGTACAAATTTCCCCGCGATGTCTTGAAGAGTAGTCTCAATGAACAAGATTCAGTGCATCCAACTAATTTTAGCAAAAGACCTTTCAGGACGGTGTCACGAACCAGTCACGCTGGCGGATACTGCCATTTTATAAACAAGATAACTTCTTAAAACGGACAAAGGACATGGAATCAACGGCCAATATAGTTTCAGATGATTAAGAAATAACCTTAAAATGTGAAAGAACTTGGATAAGACCCATCAAGCCATCAAATGAAGTTGGACTTTGACAAGCAGATCGACAAGGCGAGTGTTCGTTAATTATCTGGTTTACGAAATTTCTGGAAATTCAAACGGCGGCCTATTCTGAAAACGTGGAGAGCACAAAAATGTTATTCCTTGTTGAGTTTTATTATCATTCCTAGATTGTATTCATACAGATAGCGAAGTTCAGACAGGTGCCACACTTTTTAAAATTACCCTCAAAGTTGAGCTACTTTCGTGTTTTGATGGAAAGCCGAAAACACGTGCTGGGGAAAAAATCAGTGCCGTTGGAAATAAACAAATAATTTGGAACTGTGATACGGCTAGGAAATCTACAGTGGTGTATCTGTATACGGAAAAGAAAATCAGTCTTTTTAAGCCAGGTGTTTGTTTTCTAGAGCGCGGTCAATATTAGCGATTTTCGCACTTTGAACGGCTATGGCGCCGGCGCTGACCGCCCGGAAATTCAAAAATTCGTAAAAAAATATATTTATCACTTTCGGTCAAACGAAATGCATTTTTGCAACTACTAAGGTGGAGGCTTTAATATCCCAGAATATAAGAAAAATTAAATTTTTGATCCAAAATCACTGGTCAGTTTTTACGGAGACACGCTCTTAATTAAGTGTAATTAGGTCTTCTAGCATGCCTAAGGAGGCCCACTAATATAATCGGGAATACTTTTACGTGAAAATTAGTTATTACAGTATAATATTAAGATTTATTACCATAGCTAAACTAATTATTTCAAAAATTGTTAACATATAAATGTTATTAAAAGTAATTAATAAAAGATATCGGCTTCTGAAAATCCAGTTCAGTCCAAATCTGGATTAATTATCAACTATCTAAGATGAAGGTTTCTAAAATAAAATAATCTTATTGCAATACTTCACAGCTACTTTTATACTGACGTAAGTCATACATAATTAACATCCCTTACATGTTTCTTCTTGAATTAACCCCCCTGCCCTCTCCAAGTCCTTTTTCTTTATGCTGTCTATGATTTTCTTTAATGATATCTCGTTTCTATCGCTCATACCTAACTTCGACCGTTAAGTAGGGTCGAAAAACCTAAGATAGTGTTTTCCGTACGTAACAGTTGCTGCTCTTGGTATATAATAATCTACCTGTGAGCGACGAAAGAGCTGCGATGTATTTGTCAGTAATAATGTTTTGTTGATTTTAAACATAAAAATGGCAATATCCTGTAACCTCATTTTAATTAAGCTAGTTTCACCCACAAGTGCAAGTATATCGCTGTTCGTAGAGGAATGAGCTAAGAAGACCTTTCCAAGGCCTATTTGATTTGGTCGTGATTAAAAGTAAGAAAAAGAAAAAGAACTTTCGTTAGATCTTAGTACTCATTTAATAAGCAAATTACTTCAGATTATCACTGCTATGGTTCGCTCAGTACAACTCGTGAATCGTGCGCACTCATTAATTATGAAGTAAGCTATGTATCTTTCATTGCAAGAACTTTTACCAAGTAAATCAGTCTGGTGCCCAGTTAAGGTATGAACCTGACTGTTAAATGTAAAGGGATTGTGTGACAGAAGAATAGAATGCATGATGATAACTTACCGACAAGGATTCCAATAACAAAGGTGTTGGCAACAAAGACCAAGCCATTGAACACCAGAGTATCCACGATTGGGTCGACTGTTGTCGAAAAACCTTCACTCGGGATTGTGCTCACGGCTCCTATTGCAAGGTTTACGAACGTAACGGCAAGTGAAGACAGCATAAGGTTGTTTTCGAATCGATCTTTTATGGGCTTTTTTAGCCCGAAATACATCCCGTACAGTCCAGATAAAAGCAATGCTAGCGCAATGTAAGCTCTGCTCTCGCCACCAAGAAGGATCAATCCAGATGTCAAAATAACCTTTCGAACTGTCTCCACTAGTTCCCAATACCAACAACGGGGGTCGTAGTTTTCGTGTAAGAAGCGCAGTCCTGATTGTTCGGTGCCTTGGTCTTCAAAATCATTTGTGTCGTTTTTTGTTTCTTCCTCAACGTGACAACTACAACGAGAGTTGTAGGTTTCGTCTAACAAGCGCAGTCCTGATTGTTCGGTGCCTTGGTCTTCAAGATCATTTATGTCGTTTTTTGTTTCTTCCTCAGTTTTCTTCGCCGCTCTCTGTTGTTTCCAAATTGCTATGAAAGCAGCAGCAGGCAGGACAATTACATACAAAATGGAACAGTATCCCACGATGACTAATCGGTTATATCTCTCTCCTTTGCAGTCAATGCTGTAGTCAGCCTTTAAATACTTCTCGCAGCTTTCAGCATCTTTTTCGTCAACGCAGATCCTGTGGCAGGCAAGAGGTACGACTTGAGCAGTTTTTAGGCAAGTGTTCAGATAGGTCACGTAAAGAAAGAAAAACAGATTTCTCTTTACGATCGCTTTAATGCGCTCCTTTTTCTTCCTTTTTTCTTCTTCATTCGACATACGTCGTGTTGATATCCAAGTGGCAAGGGCGAGGCTAGAAAGGGCGACGATGACTGCTGCAAGATTAAATCCCATAACTGCAAATAAACTTGTGAATGCGTCAATTTTAAAGCCAGGAAGGATGCAGTGGAGGGGAGCTATCTGAACGATGTTCATCTGAATAATCTCGGAATATTCCCCAACAACGGAAAGACTTCCAGGCCATTTTACGTATGAAAACGCCTCCATGATCCCATACAGCACCTGATAAAAGCCAATCACAACTTTAATCTTTCCGAGGAGCTTGTCAAGGAAAGGTCGTCCAGCGTCTTTTTTGCTCTTTTTCTTGCTTCCCCACACCACAAGTATAACAAATATTATAACTAACGCCCCAATAATTGCAAGCTGTCCAATCATCCATCCTTTTGTTGGGCACAGCTTACATTTCTTCAGTTGTTTGTGATATCCATCGCTGCAAACTGCACATAGCGGTCCTTCATAACCAGCCTCACATGAAGAATTTAAACCTCCCTTACAAGCTTCTGCCATGGGACATCTGTACGGTTGAGGTATGGTGTACGGGTATTCAATACCGGAATCATTTGCTTTGTGTAATTCAGGAGTAAAGGAGAAATTCTTTAGGTTTTTACTGAAGTTTCTGTACTGTTCTAAGTGTGTCTCATCTTTCCACCGCCACCAAAAGCCAACTGTAAGATTCGCAAAATCATCGTGACAATTTAGTCCCTGTTTCTTCTCACATGGTGTACAATTCCCAAACAGATTCGTTCGGTAGTAATTATCCAAACATTTACAGGCGCGAAATCCTGCAAATGCATATTGGTTAGTGCCTGTCAAACAAAAGAAATCGAAACCATTGTTAGGGAGATGATTGCATAAATAATTAAAATAAGGTTAAATAGTTTTTTCGGCAAGCAAGTTTTTTCTTTGTTGCTGTGCTTTCCTTTTTTAACGCGTGCTTAAAAAAGGACTTAGTAAGAACTAAATAGTAAATAATAATTTATTATTTATTAGGTGCAAAATAGCAAATATATGATCTAATGCGCAGTAACAAAAAATAAAAATAAAATAGAATAAAAACAGATAATAAATAAATAAATAGATAAATAAATAAATAAATAAATAAATATAAACCCTAAAAATTTAGTATAAATCTCTCTATATATACAATTAAAAAGGCAATTATAAGATACGATTAGAAAATATATTGAAACTAAGTAATTGACATCATCTTAAAAACGTTAATCGACAAGTCGTTCATGAGTCTTAAAACTATAAATCATAGGCTTCTTTAAAAAGTAAAGTTTTCAGCTTGGCTTTAAAAGGCTTCAAGCTTCTTTCCATCCTTAATGCACTTGGAAGTTTGTTCCATAGAGTCGGCGCAGCCACTTGGAAAGCCCTGTCGCCTAAGGTCTTTTCAGACTTGAACTTCGGTGGAGCAAGTAACAGTTCATAATTTGACCTAACTCGGGTTGTAGGAGGACTCCTCCTTGACTTCGATTAAACTTTGTATATAATATGGAACCAGTCCGTGTATTGCTTTAGATGTTATAAGGATCACGTTGAATTTAATCCTGACACCTATTGGTAACCAGTGCAACTGACACAGTACAGGTGTGATGTGACAAAACCGCGGAGTATTTGTATTAACTTGGCAGCCATATTCTGAAGACGCTGTAGCTTATTGATATTATTTGTTGCGAGACCGTAGAGTAAACTATTACAGTAATCTACGCGCCCCATTACCAGTGTATGAACCAAACATCTGGTTGAATCCAACGTTAAGTATTTCCAGATCTTTCTTATATTGTACAGATAGTAATAACCTGCACAACATGTTTCGTAATTTGAGCATCAAACTTCAGATTTTGATCAAACAGAACTCCAAGATTTCGTGCAGTACTAGCAGGCTGGCAGGAGCAACGCTGATGTCACCAACAGACAATTCTGCTACTCTAACCTTTTCAAGTTCATAGTCGTTATCACAGTCTGTCAAATAAAGACCACAAATAAAAAGCAGAGACTTTTCATGTAATTCAAGAGTAGCATCGTTTACTTGTGCCGCCGGGTATATAATTTGGCTCTCAAAGACAAAAAATTAAACCCGTTTTCAGTTATTCTTGTCTGTATACACTTTAAGAAGCAAGAACATAAGATTGACTTGACGCCGAACGTTACAAACGTGCAATTGTTCCTAGCAAAAATCACCGTCGTAAGTATGTATGTATGTATGTATGTATGTATGTATGTATGTATGTATGTGTGTATGTATGTATGTATGTATGTATGTATGTATTTTTGCAGCATATTTTTCTTTCCTTTGGACAGTGTTTGGTTGTGTTTTTTATTCACGGAACTTGACAGACTAAGAGTCTTCTCGCTTTTTGTGGCAATGGAAAATTTCCTACTGCGAAAATAAGCCTAATCGTTTGCCAACCGAAGAACTTCAAATATTATAATTTATGCTTGCCGTTTGTCATGGTTTGTGTTGCTACGAGTGTTATGACTAAGGGCCTGTTTACATGGAGGTGGGGGACCCCAGGTAGGTGAGGTAACCCGCCTGTATAATCTCTCGTTTTACTTGGATCAAGCGGATGATTTCCTTCAGAACCCGGGCTGAAATCTCAGCCAGTTGCCATGAAATCATCCTCTAAGTAAAACAAAATTATGTTGAAAACTAAAAAATACTATTTGATTTATAAAAAGCGCCGTTTTATCTTATCTTACGTTTTATCTCCACAACAATTGTAGCAATCGATGAGATCTTTTTTTTTCATAAATCACAGGAAATTAATTAGGATCGCGCATACATGTACTTTAGCAATGAGCTGATGATTACAGCTGTATTCTATAGTATTTAAGAATTTTTGAAACACAAAAATTCGTTTCGCCGGACGAAATGTCGCCTTGACTAAACGGAATTTCGTTTCGATTCGAGCAAACGAAGAGACGAAATTTCTTCTCACGCAGCGAAATTTCGTTTCGGTTCATCATCAAGCTTGCGAAATTTCGTCAACGTTAGAACAATAGATGCATTAAGACTTAGCCACTTTTTCGTCTGAATGGAAAGTTCACAATTTGTTCGATTTCGGCGACATCCGTTTTCATTTCTTTTGCACAATACTGTACATCAACCTGTTCTCAAAGTTGGCGTTAGTAAAACTCAGAGGTTAGAGCATCCGATCTAGAACACGGAGGGTCGTGGGTTCGAATCCCATCTGGGGCTCAGAGTTTTTCTGTGTCCTCTTATGGTTGATTCTTTACATCTCCCTTTATTTCCTTTATAAAAAGTTTTAAACAAAGCATTAGGAAATAGCTCAGCGCAAAATTCAAGGGTAGCTGCATGACTTCGGCTTCTCGAGGCACTAGTTTCTTTGAGTAAAGTTAGCTGCTATTAGGCTTTGAAAGATTGTGCTACAACCAGTTGCAAAAGTACTTGAGACACCGTACCGTATTTTGGCATAAATGGCCTGTCCATGATCTTGTGCTTGTGATCCCCCCGACACCCCTTATCAAAGTTGCTAGCAATAAAAGACCATACTACAAAACTTGGAGGAACAAATTTGAATGGGATGTTTATTTATGGCAGGAAAGTAACGTAAGATGCCCCGCTAGATCAAGGAGATAGCTTTTTGTTGTTGTTTCTGATAAGTACGTGGACGTGGAGTCCTCTTTTATCGCCTGCCATTTACAGGACAGAAAAGTTATGCTAAAAAGCAGCTGTTGTCGAATTTACTTTACTTAACACAAGTTTGGATTTTTGTTTACTCTTTGGTCGTCTTACAACTTTGTTTCGATTTTAAACCCCGAGTGTGGCTAGGCATCAGATAATGAAAATTCACGCGCGTATTTCAGTAACACAGTCGCGAGAGCTCGCATATAACGTGGATTTGCAGTTCTGTGCTCGGTAAGGAAATTTATTTCTTTGCAAAAAGGAAGACACTATCCCCAAGAAAAAGCAATTTTCCAGCACAGCAAGGTCAGGAATTTACGTGCTTCAACGGTCTACACGGTCTACCATCAAATGAGATAAATATAATAAAATATCGTATTTCTTATTGTTGCAGAATGGTAGACCGTGGATGATGGTAGACCGTCAGAAAATAGAAATTAACATAGCACACAACTTTTTCTGCTCTCTAGCTCTAGCGGACTTTAATAACCATCTTATTTTCGCCGTAGTAGATGAAAAAAACTAAACGGTTTTACTTTAACAGCGATGTTGAAAAATAAGTCACGTGGTATACCGATTACATAACGCCATTGCATATCAAATGCCGTTGAGTTACAGATACAGGGGTGAAAATGAAGGTTTGGCAGCTTTATTCCCAACTATAGTATCTCTAAATACCAAGAAAAGGAAAATTATGCTGTGATTCTGCACTCGTGCTTCTCAGAGTTTAATGTCAACGCCGAAACTTTAAGCTATGTCACATTAGATAATGGCGCATGCGTTACAACAAAACTGAGGCAAAATTTACAAGTCACTACATTCTTAAGCGGTTTTTTTAGGCAGTTTGCTATCAATGACAATGATGTATCGGCTGGGAAAAGCAACACAAAGTGCCATTCTATTTATTTATGTCGCTACAGTCTTCGTTTTGGGAATTTAAGACGTGGAGATCGCTTGTTGAAGTAAACCTTAAATGAGACAACCAGTTGCAAAAGTGCTTGAGACACTGTACCGTATTTTGGCATAAATGGCCTGTCCATGATCTTGTGCTTGTGATCCCCCCTACACCCCTTATTAAAGTTGCTAGCAATACAAGACCATACTCAAAACTTGGAGGAACAACTTTGAATGGGAGGGAGGAGGGAGGTCAGTATCATATTTTACAGACCTGTGACCAGGAGCGATTTGAAGCAAGAAAGGTCGTTTTTCCGTGGGAGTGTGTCAACATCTTTGCAACTGGTTGTAGCATAATTTTTGGCATAATTTGTCATCACAAGCACTATTTTCACCTATTTTCCGAAAAATAGCACTCGTCTGCTGGCATATTTGCACTTTTATCTAGTTTAAATTTGCAGTACAAAATTGTCATTTATTGATCATGCAACCGAACCGAGCTCAATGTTACAGGCAAATTGACGTAACGAAATCAATTTTTTCTCTTCAGGAAGTGACCCAGGACTATTTGCACAGAACTCAATGCATGCGCATATCTAATTCAGTTAACCAACTGAAGATGGCATCCGCGTGCTGGTTGTTAATAGTTGTCAGACAATGAATTATGCACTCTTAAAGTTTCTAGATGTAAATAGGGTGAACGGGTTTGCCATTTACTTGTACACAGTAGAAGCTATCAGTATTTCTGCATTTTTGACTAGCGTAATTCAAAATAAAAGAGACTAATAAATGGCATAATTTTAGAAATAAACGAACATTGCTAAGTAGAATATTATGCCACTTTTGCGAGCAAAAGCTGTCAAAGCCTAACTGACGAGTTACGAGTCTTCATTGCCAATATCATCACGGCTAAACTGACAGACGACCAATAACATCCATCTGACGACCAATACTATCAACTGACGTGATACAACTCGCTTTGACTCTGAATATGACTAGCGCAAAGGCTATCGAAACGCCAGTCACAGTCAACAACAGCAGTCCTTTTCGACTACGTACACCCGGACCGTACTCAACCTGCTTACTATCATTATTATACACTTAATTTTATATGTTTAGCTAGACGTCTTGCGCAATGGCACTCCTTTTGCAAGACTAGGAATTTTTAAATAAAGGTTGAATAAAGGAGGAACTGTGAACAAAGAACGGAATTGTCAAGCAAGACAATGTGACTATCACGGAAGAAATGATAAGAGCACAAAGCAAACAGAGTTCAAGGATTCTGGTTAAAGAAGCTGACCTCCCTTCATGACCGAATTGCAGAACAGCTTGACGATGTTCTGAATGGGAAGAAGGTGATCGCAGAGTGGATGACGCTGGGCAAAAAAAAATGTTGTGTTTAAAGACCCTGGGAATGGGGTAGACAATTATCGTCCAATATATCACGTCTACCCTTTATGTGGAATCTGTCGACAGGCGGGGTGGTTTCGGAAAGCACGTACAACTTCCTGATTAAAAATAATTTTCTGCCAGAAGAGCAAAGGGGATGCCGCAAAGGAAGTTAGGGGACAAAAGATCATCCGTTGAGTTATAAGATGATTCTGCAAGACTGAAAGAAGAGACAAAAACTTATCAATGGCATGGGTGGATTACGGGAAAGCTTTCGACCTGGTTCAACACAGATGAATAATAGAGTGCCCAGACCTCTTAAAAAATTGCCGACAATATGCATCAGACTGTTTACAATAGAAAGCATGCAAGGTTAGAAGACAAATTTAATATCATCGGGTGAGATTAGAGAAAGTTAAAATTCGAAGAGGGATCTTTCAAGCTGATAGTTTGCCACCACTACTGTTTGTAATCTAGACGACCACTGACCCTTTACTGAGAGAACTGAATAAAGGCTACATCATAAGAAATACAATGATAAATCACCAGTTATTTATGGATGATTTAAAGCTGTTTGGGAAAAGCGAGAGTCAAGTGGAATCCCTTGTGAATACTGTGCATACAATGAGTAAGGACTTGGAATGGGTCTTCAAAAATGCGGGGTGTTGGTTTTGGAGAGAGCTAAGGTGGTTGGATGTGAAAGACTTAGCTACCCAGCAGGAAAATAATAAATGAAGTGGGAAAAGGTGGATACACTCTTTTTTTTTTTATAAGAATATTGTTTTTCCGGCCCAGGCTGAATGTTCTTATTTCTCTGCCGATTTTAGGCTGAGAATATTCTTGTATTATTCTTAAATTATAGCTTATGACATTTCCGTTTT